GTCGGACTGCGCCCACGGCTGCACTGAACAATTGCAGCATGAGGTCGCAGTCCCCATAGCTGTTGCTGAACGTTAGAAAGCTCGTAGCTAGGTCAAGGCCACCGCTGTTACTTAATGTTGATCTTTAATTTATTACACTATTCACATTATTAGCTATTGTGACAAAACACAAATAACGGCAAAGCACTATTGTCTGTCTGGCAAATTAAAATTGCAATTCTATATTATAACAAAATTATTACTGTAGGGAGCAAAATAAACTATTTATTTTCTAGTGGAGTTACATTACAACTGCTTTAATTTTTTCATCATACCATATTTCATTATACCATATAAATGTTATCTATACAATAAAAAAATTAAAATGGAGATGGGCAGGACATATTATGCGAGAAAAAACACAAAAATGGACAACAACTGTAACAGACTGGTACCTTTGAATAGGCCTAAGAAGACAGGAAAGACCATTGACACGATGGGTTACAGTTATAAAAGCAGTAGCAGGTGCACTTTGGACAAGGATAGCCAAAAACAGAATACAACGGAAGACTCTGGAGGAGGCCTTTGTCTTTGGACAAGAGAGGGGCGACAGAACAGTTACTGATTGAATATTAATTACATTGAATTGTTTATTATTTTACTTCTTTTATAAAGGCTTATATTATTATTATTTCATTATACCATTCAATCAAATTGCCGCGTGGTCCCGGCATAAAATAGGCCACCCCTTCCTTTCTCGTGGATGTCATAAGAGGCGACTAAGAGATAGCGAGGGATGGACAACAGCGTCCCTCTTAGAACACCTCTAAAGCCTGACTACGGTTGCCAATCCATCTACCAAGCGTGGCAACTGGCAAACCCCCCTTAATTATGAAAGAAAAAATTGTTACTGCTTTTTTTTGTATATGCATTTTTTTATTTCTTTTCACTATGTATGCCTGTTGTTATGTGTGTGCTGTAAGTAATACAAATAAATTATCTATCTATCTTATGGGGAGCTCTATGTTCAGCAATGGACAATTGATATGAATGTATAAATGAATCAAATTAAAATTGTAATTATGGAGATAAAAAGGAATCATATCTCAAAATCGGCTTCAATATCCACTGTACCGGCTATGTGATAAACCGATCTGTATGTCGGATTCCACTCAAATTCGTTCAGCCGTCTATGCGTGCTCCAAATAACAAACATCCTTATAAACGTTAACATTTATACTATTAGTAAAATTTATCGCCAAACACGCATGATTCGAGTCATGAGACTCGAATCTCAGATGAAGTAATAGGAGGCATTTGGTCGAATGGTAGATACGTATAATGTCAATTGGCAAACGCGACAGTTTGTGAGGATGTACGGATGAATGTTTGTTGCTCTGTCACGCTTAAACGGCTGGATTAGTTTTAATAAAATTTGCTACACAGATAGGTTATATCCTATCTTGCGGAAGTCCATATCACTGGTTATTTAATTGGAATTACTTTTTGCTCCGTTACCATTAAAATGTAACTGCCAACTCTTGAAGAATGAAAAAAGTCGTTAGCTTGGGCACCTCTGTCCCATTCGTGTTTCTACCGTGAAGCTTGAATTTGTGTTTGCATGGTTGTGTTTCGGTTTGAAGGGTGGGATATGGCGTGAATTTACAGGGTACAGAGGAATAACACCCGAGTCCTCAGGAATGGCAACGCATGGGGGGTATCATTCCGTCATCGTTCCACTACTATTAGTATGTATCAGTCATCAATCTTCAACGACACGTGTCACAAATCGTGCGCGAAGAAAGATCGAAGTGCCAGTCGAAGATTGATAGCTAATATGGAAGGTTGTGGAAGTGTAGTAATAGTGGTTTTTTTTATGCAACTTAGAATGGCAAACAAGCTGTCGGCTCACCTGATGGAAAGTGGTAACCGTCGCCTATAGACATGAGCAGTACCATGCACATAACAGAGTATACTGTTCCGTCCATGATACTCCCCATGCGTTGCCATTCCTGAGGACTCGGGTGTTATTCATCTGTACCTTGTAAATTCACTGCCATATCCCACCCTTCAAACCGAAACACAGCCATGCAAACACAACTGCTTCACGGTTGAAACACGAATGGGAGAGAGCAGACAGATGACGTTTATATAAAGTTTAACTAAGAATAATACTTATGAAGAAGAACATAGGCAACGTGGACATTGTCTAAGAAAGGAAGAAATTATCAAGTCGGTAGTAATTTTATTTATTATAAATATAAATAGATAGATACTCTTCATCGTTTCCTCCAAAAGATTACTATAGTAAACTTATTATAAATATAAACAATTATAAGAAATAATCACAATGAGAAAACAATGGACGACCTTATCGCTAAAAGCGGTACCTTCCAGGCAACCTTTGGATGGAGAGGAGTAAACAGTTTAATCGGAGGCACGATGAAAATTCTATCATTACTAAATATGGAGATGTATTACATGTAATAATGTAAATATATATCCCTATTAATTAATTAATATGGTTAATTTTAAACATTCGCGTTGTTTACGCCGTGGTGCAATCCACGTCGAAACGTCGCCAATAAAAAAACAGGTATACATACAAAAAGCGAGGTACCTCTGTATTCGTGTTGCATACAGCTGTGTTTGCATGGCTGTGTTTCGGTTTGAAGGGTGGGATATGGCGTGAATCTGAATAACACCTGAGTCCTCAGGAATCTGGGGGGTATCATGGGCGAAACATTACTGTTATGTCCATGGTACTGCTCATGTCTATAGGCGACGGTTACCACTTTCCATCAGGTGGGCCGTCAGCTTGTTTGCCATTCTAAGTTGTATAAAAAAAAAAAAAAAACATATCTGTCACGCCTGTCTCCCATTAGGGTAGGCGGAAACAATGGAACGCCAAATGCTTCGATTCAAACAAACCTCTTTCGCTTCCTCCACATTCATCAATCTTGTCATACACGCTCGCCGGTTACGGGTACTTTTAATTTGTCCCTTCTTCAGCACGTCGCCTATTTGGTCGACATACGTCCGTCTAGGGCGGCCCCTACCGACATCTCCATTCATTCTTGCTCGATAAATCTCTTTCGTAATTCTTCTTTCATCCATCCTCTCCAAATGACCAAACCAACGCAGCATTCCTTTTTCGATAAAAACAGGTATGTAAATATTATTTACCTGTAAAGGCTTTTACATCGCGTTAAGTCCCAATTGTGTGTTTAAAATATTATATCATATTTCACGTGGTCCCTCCTGGAAACCATCGTGGGCTAACTCACCTGCCTTTTTCATTCCCACCTGTCATCTCTCACTGGTGCCCCGCCAGCATATACCGTTAGCGCAGGCGAGGTTATCGTTTCATTATCATTCATTAAAAAAAATCGGTTACCGTAGCCTATGAACACTTGCAACACTAGGGGCATTACGCGCGCATTGCTGACCCTGAAGAAACTTCTTCATTCTTTTTTTTTTAAGAACCTTAAGCTGTAGTCTCTTGAAAAAACCTCGACAGGGAGTTTATTCCATAACGTGGTAGAAAACATCTCTGAAACCGCGCTGTATGCGACCATCAAGATGCTAAGGTATGGGGATGATCTCCCCTATACGTCAATAGCAAGCTGTATGATGGTAAAAGGTGACCATGGGTATTACCTACCTACAGGCTATATACGGTAGATTTGAAGACTGAGCAATTGGTGCGAATGTGATCGACAGATATTCCGCGGCGATTAAAATACTACAGTAATTATACCTGCGGCATAGTTGATAGATACTTCCTCATGATAATAATAGTAAATAGACATTCTGAAAAAGAAATAAGAAGGAAAATATGTTTCCTTAAAGTTGTTGTAAAACATTTTCGTGCATACTGTACTAGCGGCCCGTCCAGACTTCGCACGGGTAGACATTTTTACAATATTTTAAAAAGTAATTATTGTGACATAACGATAATAGTTGGACATATAATATCGCTAAGTTTTTGTAGTTATTGATACTTTCTTCAATATTGTACAACTTTGTAACATACTTTTGTTCTATCACCAATAGTTTCCGCAACACACGCGACGAAAGATATTTTATAGCATTTTTTTACACCTTGCGTTGCATTACTAAAGTTTTGGTAAGGATCCCTAATCTTTTCTAGCAATAAATATAGCCTATGTTACTCAGGGTGAATGTAGCCTTCTAATGATAAAAGAATTTTTGAAATTGGCCAAATAGTTTTTGAATTTATTCATTACAAACATACATACACACAAAAACACAACTCTTTCCTCTTTATAGTATTAGTGTAGATATCATAAAATTGCTATTTGTTTTCATCCAGGGGCTAGCATGTATCGCGTCGTATGTATTTCTTCATAATGACATATTATCTTGTATAGTATAAAAATGTAATTTAATTTATGTAATTATTTATTTATTTCTGTGGTATATCAACTGATTACAAACAAAAGTTTTACCAATAGAATACAACAATAGCATTATAAGTTTGCAGTCCAATTATAGTTGTACTCAACATTCACAGAGGTGAAACAGAATACGTTGATTTTATTTGTCGTTGTATTCTACACACATACATTGAATATGATATTTTATCTGTTCCAACGTTAGGTTAAAAGAACATGTATACCTATATTTTACTACGTCTGTAGTCCGAGTATTTAGCGTGAATTTACAGGGTACAGAGGAATAACACCTGAGTCCTCAGGAATGGCAACGCATGGGGGGTATCATGGGCGAAACAGTATACTCTGTTATGTCCATGGTACTGCTCATGTCTATAGGCGACGGTTACCATTTTCCATCAGGTGGGCCGTCAGTTTGTTTGCCATTCTAAGTTGTATAAAAAAAAGAATATTTAGAAAAATATGAAATAATATCATCGAATCAGACTTGTCGCCAGTTGCATACACACCTGTATACAATATTTTACTATGTCCATTGTAATATTTACTACAGTGGGTAGGTATATAGGATCAGTTACATGGTTGATAATACAATACAAAAAATGAACAAGTGTAACAATTTATTAACAAGTATAATTACTACATTACGTTTACTGTTAAAATATGAGGTTTGTTTATTGTAGTTAACTACGTTAAGTTATCTCTTAACTGTCGCTCTCTTAAGTTTCGCCAGTAGTTGCCGCGCTTGGCAAACGAATTGTCAACCGCAGTTAAACTTTCAGAAATGTTTAAAAAGGGGCGCTGCTGTCCATCCCTCGACCATTATGTTCGTTTAGTCGCCTCTTACGACAGCCACGGGAAAGGAAGGAGTGGCCTATTCTATGCCGGGATCACACGGACCATATAATGAGTCTTACGACTAATAATAGGATTAAAAATTTAAAATCACTTGACAATTTAATTAACAAGGTATTTAAATAGACACATTTGTAATATTATGTAGTATTTGTTCAATTTGATCTATATTTCTTTTTTTTTTATTTTTTTTTTCAGTGGTATTTCGCGGCTCACTTTTGGCCACAACAGAATATCAGTGTTTTGCTCTTTTTAGGGCAAAGCAAAGAGCTGAGTTGTGACCATTTTGTATTATTGTGGCACACGCGTGGAAAAAAATGTTACTAATTTTATGCATTCTGATTTTGTTTTTTTTTTATTTTTTGTATATGTATCTTTTTTTATCTTTTTTCACAAAGTGATGCAAATAAATTCTTTATCTATCTATCTATCTAGTATTATTATTTAATTGATGAATTGTTCTTCCAAATTACATATTTGTATTATTACTATTTTCTTTTATATACTGAGTTTTACATACAGGTACACACTTGTTGTTCAGTGTTGACCAACATTTTACTTTACACTATACTCGACCCATCGTTGAAAAAAAACAACTAATTTGTGTGTCATGATCAAGAACAAAGGCTACTGATCTACAGCCGTCTCTGAGATCGTATAATTTTAAATAAACAAACGTAACAACATAAATAAATATATATGTATATATAATATGTACAATATTTGAATTAAACAAAAATCTTATTAACTAACTAGTGATATGAGTGTCAGTAATAATACCATACGTATACCTTGAAATTATAATACAATATTTGTTTTGTATGTAGATAGAGATTATTGCTGTTCAGCAGGGTCAGGCGCTGACGGGCGGCGCTGGCGGCGGCGGCTGCAGGTCCGCGAAGGTGTCGGGCAGCCGCCGGTGCAGCGTGTCGGGCACCAGCCGCGTGAGCAGCGCGCTGCACAGCGGCAGCGCTCCGAACAGCACCGTCGGGATCCACCAGCCGTACACCGCCTGGCGACATGCAATGCATGCAACCGGTAACGATACACGGACACTGAACAACGGATCACACGCGGAAAGGAGATATTACACTGACGAGTCGTAGACTGCAAAAATTAATACATAAAAAAGCAAGATAAGGAGAAAATAAAGAAGAAAAGAGAATGTAATAAAGAAACGGGATTTTAGTTACGAGAACAAGGTGGTTGGTATCATTTCATTTTCTTCTGTTTTGGTGTATTTTTGTTTTGTTTTGGCTACTTTCCTTTCCCCACAGACGGCAAAAACATGAGTGGAACTCATGGGGGAGGTCTCCAAACAGGTGAATTTTGTACAATCTCCTTCTGGTAGCATATTCTGTTATCATTCAATTCCAATACTAGATGCTATGAATAGGGCATCCAAGCATAGGTATGTGGAGGAGTGTATCAGGTAGTAGTAAAACGAACAGCTTACAACTCCTTTCCCCATAGTTAGTTAAAACAACTGCACTATCCATACACGAGCTTAACTGCTAGTGAGAAGTTTTTTTTTATGAGTGAAAGTGGTATGGTAACCCCGCCTGCGCTAAGGGGATACGCTGGCGGAGCACCAGTGAAGGGTGATAGATGAGAATGAAAACAGGCCAGTTAGCCCATCATGATGAATTCATCAGGAATTATTCATGATAGTTTCCCGGGGGAACCACGAGGAGGTCGACCTGATTGGGTATATTGCTAGCAATGGGATTTTTAGCCTACTTTACTAACAATCCCTTTTCCCCCGCTAGTGAGAGGTTTAAGTGCATATGGAGGAGATTTTTAATGGACGATACGGGATACGCTGGAGGAGCACTAGTGGATGAGGTACCAGCAGCGGCGCGAGGGGCGCGAGCACGGCGCCGAGGCGGCCGGCGGCCGAGCAGGCGGCCAGCAGGCGCTGCCGCGCGCGCGTGGGGAACAGCTCCGCCGTGTACACGTACAGCGCGTTCAGCGCCATGGTCGCGCCCGCCTTGCCGCACAGGTACAGCGCCGTGCCCGCGCGCGGCGCCGCTGCGCACACGCACCTCGTCAGTAACGTTGTATTAAGGCAAGTTCACCTCACAAGTTTGCAACTTAGAATGGCAAACATGCTGACGGCTCACCTGGTAGAAAGTGGTAACCGTCGCCTATAGACGTGAACGATACAATGTATAGTGTTTCGCCCATGATGCCCCCATACGTTGCCATTTCGGAGGACTAAAATTTCCTTTAAACCGAAACACAGCCATACAAACACAACTGCTTCACGGTCAAGAGACGAATGGAACAAAGATGGTACACAAACAAACGACTTTTGTACAGTCTCCCCCTGATACGAACATTTCTATTAGGTTCGACGATTTTTCAAATACGTAAATCTTAGAATTATGATTAACAGAATCCGACACTTTTTTTGAATGTCATAATCATAACACATATCTAAATAAAATCCTTAAAACCTATTATAGAACCAGTGAGTCTTTATTACATGCTGATTAACGCTGCTGCATTGCTATTCCAATATTCAGACCATTCCGCATTTTTAACGCATATAAAGAAAACTAATATAATAATGAAAAATTGTTGATAAATAAACATACGAGTACACAAAATAGTTAAAGATTTCACAAAAGAAAAAGTATTTTTTTTACTACAGCAAAACAAGTCATTTTGACCTAACCTTTGAATTTTGACATGAGAGGGACATAAACAGAACAGAGTATACAGTGTCGCTTACGATACCCTCATGCATTGACATTTCTCAGGACTGAGATGTTATGCCTCTGTACCCTGTAATTTCATTGCTTCACCGCCATATCTTTACTACTCTTTAAACACAGCTACGCAACACAACTGCTGCGCAGCAGAATCACGGATAGGACAGAGGTATCCAAGTACAAGTGCTTGAGTACCTTTATCCCATTCACTTTAATACAAAATTTCCTTCTGATGCTAGTCCTCCTCGTTTTCTAAGTGTATTAAAACAAATTATAGTCACAATTTATTAAAATCCTATTTACTAAAAACGAGATGAGGGTCAAATTATGCATTTTCATTAAAAACTTCAAATACAAGGTAAACTGTTATAACGATATTGTGTAACGATGGCTCACAGTCAGGCAGGCAGGGTATCCCTATGAGCGAGAGCGCGGTGAGCAGGAAGGCGCAGGTGAGGAGCGGGCGGCGGCCGGCGCGGTCCAGCAGCAGCGTGTTGAGCAGCAGCGCGGGCAGCTCGGCCGCCGCCACCAGCGCGTAGTTGGCGTGCGCCGAGCCGGCCAGCGCGTGCGCGCTCACCGCCAGCCCGTAGAACACGAACACCGCCGACACCCACCACGCGAAGCACACGCACAGCCGACGCCGGAGCTCTGGGTATCTATCGTCATCGTTTCAGCCATTATCCGTCCACTGCGGGACATAAGCCTCCCCCATACACTGCCATAAAGAATGGTCCTGACCCACCTGCGTTCTCTGACTCCCTGCAACGCATTTTAGGTCGTCACTCCATCTAGTAGGGGATCGTCCTACACTGAGTTTACTCATACGTGATCGCCACTCAAGAACCTTTCTTCCCCATCGGTTGTCGGTTCTTCGAGCTATGTGACCAGGTATGACTGGGTGTCTATGGCACATAATAATAATAACAGTTGCTGCGTGGTCCCGGCATAGAATAGGCCACCCTTCCTTTCCCATACGTGTCGTAAGAGGCCACTAAGGTAGCCTATATTGGAGAGATTGGCAGCAGCCTCCCTCTTAAAACATCTCCAAAGCCTAACTGCAGTTGCCAAGCGTGGCAACTACTGGCAAAACCCCTAATGGAGAGGCTTATGTTCAGCAGTGGACAGTTAAAGGCAGATATGATGATGATAATAATAACAATAACAATTTACATAATTTACTATTGTAGTAAATATGCAGTGCCGGAATAAATATACAAACACACAGAAAAATAAACAAATTTCCTAAAAATTTTTATTTTGGCTTCTATTTCTCTTATGAAGACGCTTTACATGAACTTCTCTTAAATATTACCCACGTACAATGCTTCAATCCGAAACAGGTTTAATTCCTTCACAATTATTTTATAAAAAAAAAAATATGAAATAAAAATTCCATAAGGATGGAAACGGATACTAATAATACGTGGTTTTATTTTATAAAAGTTCCTGAAATAACATTATCCCCTAAATAAATATGCAGAGACGAATGAACTTTACTCTTGAACTATATACATATATATGCTCACAGACCTCGACTTACGAGTATTACAGTTTTATTGTATAAATAAGATGCAGTATAATGCAAACAAAAGTACACTCATTCATTTGTATCTTGACCATATCAATACAACACAGATAAATTTTAAACTCTGGAAAGAGCCTAGATTTTTATTATCATGGCAATAATTAACCCACATTGATTTATATTAAAAAAATCTATGTATCCCAAAATCGATTAGTAACATCCAATTCTTTTACACACCGTCTAGCTCTATCATCAAATCAATTCGTATTTATTGTCATAGTATTATCATATATTGTATTATCATCCACATTTGCAAGGTCTCAAACGTATTCTGTAATTAGATTGTTATTTATAAAACGAAACTCACGTAAAGGATATCTATCCTTTACGTGAATAAAACGTATTGAAATAGAATTTGCCCTTGTAATTGTTTTATATTAATACTCACTTGATAACGGCTGCAAACAAGCCCTCGTCTGCGGTGATATCCTCTTTGTTGTTTACCTGCTCGGTTTCACTGAGCAACATTTTCTCAAGGCCCTCGGAAGGAATGTCAAGCTTATTACACTTGGCTACCTGACTGAGCACCCGCACAGCTTCCGTATATCTAAACATAAACGGGAAATATTAATACTTACAGAGTATAGTAGCTACAATTGACATTCCCAACCGAAAAAAAAAGCTAAAGAACAGTACGGAAAATGTTGACAATCCTCCTCATATTATAAATGTGAAATTTTGTAAAGATATTTGTGTTTGTTACTCGATTACGCTGAAACGGCTTCGAAATCGGGATGCATAGATTATATCCTAACTTAACGCATAGGATACTTTATATATATGAATATCAATTCACGCACGCGACGCCGCAGGATACAAATGATATAATAATCATAACTTTTCGAAACCTTGTGAACCTACTCATAAAGGACTGACGTCCCTCTGGTTTGAAAAGTTTCTAGATCTCTAAGTCGATCCCTAAATCCCTAAACAGTAATCTTGTAACAACATCGAAATAACAGAAGATCACCAAAAATAACCGTATCTTTGGTGATCTTTTGTTATTTTCGTACTACTACCGTACCGTACTACTAACCGTAGTACCTCGTTTTTTAACATATAAAGCAACAAAATACTTACCGGCCTCTAGTGGTCAACCAGCGGACACTCTCTGGAAGCAGCCATGGATACAGCAGCACTAGGAAGGCTATGGGATACGCGCACCGGGCCCACAGCCTCCAGTAGTTAGTGACGTAGTCGAGCAGGGCTACCGACGCTGTTCCCGCCGCCATCGGCACACCCAGCACTAGGCTCGCCAGAATTCTCTGCTCCACGCCAAGCCATTCTATCACTGCAAAATAACAGTGCTTTAGTTAGTCGACTGAGCTTGTCGAGTAAATTTAAAGTGAGTGATGTATTCGCCAGGAGTTTAAAAATATCTTTCAATGTAATTGTTTAGAGTTTCAAGGAATTGACGTCGCCCTTTTTTACATCTTTCTATATTGGAATGGGTTTCGTACTCTGGGGGTCTACCATGAAATGAAATTCCGAATTTTCGGACTCAATTTCGTGTTTTTGTTCACACCGAAATCGACCCAGTAAATGGAGCTTAACATTTCGTTTGTCATAAATCCTACCATAAAAGTCCAAAGAAATCGTTCCTTTAGCATTTTTAATATTTTTAAACGGTGTGTATCATATAATTTTAACATCAAATTTGTGTTTCGTTCGGACCTGAAATTTCAGAACACATTTCATGGTAGGCTCTCTGGTTCTGTACTCGGATAGACATCGTGGACTTTGTAAATAAATTTCGTAAAATAAATCTTTCAAAGATAATTAAACTTTAGATGTTGTTCAATCAAAGTCCTGCCCAATAAAAAGTTGCATTCTACAACTTTTAGTAGAATATACTAGTGAAGACAGCATCATGAAATAATTCAAAATTTGATGACATTTCAACTAAACGTCTCTATAATCTATATACGACTATCAGTGCCGTTCATAAACAAAAATACAGAAATTAATTGAACAACTGAGTTACTACAGTATCGTTGCAGTTTTTATTATTGCAATTAGCAAACACAAGTACTCACTTAACACAAAAGCGGAAGGATAAACGCTAGCGCCGAACACCGTTTCTAAAAGCTCAGCCAACAAGTACGCGTAGTATGAGGTGACGAAGGACTTGAGGAGGCCAAGAACGCCCGCGCCGCACACGCTCGTCAGCAGCGCACCGCGACGACCCCATCTGTGTAACAACAGATCTGAGCTTGACTTGGGGAAACTCTTTACATAACCTACTGTGGCAAACGAATCCGTCGGTTAAAAGATTTTCATTCACGTGAAAAAGAATATTCCGCTGAAGTTTTCTTTTTGCAATGGGTTGTAATAAAATGGAAATCCCGCCTATCGGTATACTCGTACGCTGGCGAGGCACTAGTGAGAAATGAAAGGTGAGGATGAAAAGGCAGATCAGTTAGCTCATCATGACGAATTCCACTGGAATTAACCACGATGATTTCCAGGGGAAACCGCGTTGGAGGTTGACCTGATAGGGTGTACTGCTGGCAATGGGTTAATAAGACTCCATTACTAACAAGCCCTTTTCCCCTGTCAGCCGCTGAAAATTGCTGTCTCGTTTTATATCATGCATGCGGTAACGACAATGAATATATCGAAAGATTTATTTGCCACTTATCTAAAAGACTGGGCAGATAATAGTGCAGTTCGTACTTTGAAATATGATCTCGTTATTTTAAATTTCAAAAATTAAGTCATAAATTCTTTGGATATAGAACACAACACTCGAATGATACGAATACTTTTACAAGATAATTCCCAGGATATTTTCGTATTTTTCTATATGGAAATGTCCGTTGACATACCTGTCCGAGATGAAACCTAAGATCGGCAGCGAGATGAACATGCCCACATTGTGCACGGTGCCTACAAGTGATCGCTTCCACTCCTGGCACCCGAGATCGAACTGTAACACCAACAATAATTGCATTTCTTTCTTTTTTTCTAAGATTCAATAGACTAACTATCCAAGTTATAATATTTAAAAAAAAAAACTTAGTTTAACTAGGTCAGGTTATTAGTGTAGTTGATCATAGCATGGCAAAAAAATATAATATTTTGCGGAAGATCTAACGAAAGACGCCCAGACACAGTGCTCACCCTGATATAAATAAATAGTTCTTAAGTATAATTTTTAGTTTTATGTTTCCCCTCTTAATAAAAGCAAAATTCTCCAGCAAGGAGAGGCCTATATTCAGCAGTGGACAATATATGATTGACATGATAATAATGAATAAAGTGTACAATTCATAGTTAAGCTGTATAATTTAGCACACCGTATAACAATGAGAACCTTCCTTGTGATAAGAGAAGCCGATCTTTAGTAGTTAGCAGGTAATGTATGGGTGGATATGGATGACTCTATTGTAAAGTAAACAGAAGATTCACCTCAGCAACAATGCTGCTGTTCGTCTTATAAACAAACCGCTCGCAAGGAATGACGGTAGCGTTGTCAAAGGAGCTCGGTGTGCAGCCACCGTCCAGCGGTTGCCATCGGTGGCAGCGATCATTAGCGCTGGTGGACGGCAGCGCCCACTCCGACCACGCGGGCAACCATTTTTCTAACGCTGGTGAACCCGATGTAAAGTTCCCTTCGCACTCCGGTATGTGACATCTGTAAAATATATTACGTTCTATGCTTAGCGATCTGCGTAAAAATACATTAAAAAAAATAAGCTTTTGTTTACGCCATCTGTCTGCAACCATTTTAAAATTATGTCTTCTATTTTATCATTACCTACTTACTCTTCAAGCTAATTCATTTGACAGGGAAAGCAGGTGTACCTTAATACTACGTGAACTTTAATCTTGCAAACTTTTTAAAATGTTCCCGCCCTTTTTATCGATGATTATCTATGGTAAGTTGACATTTAGAAAAAAAATCAACATAACGTTATTTGCAGGCTGGAATTTCTCAGCGTTTAGAGGTGATACTGCTGTACCAAGAACAGGTGTTTAAAACAAGTTTTTTTTATTAATTAACATATAAAATATACACAATTCACTGTTTTGTGTCGGTGCTCATTTCGTAACTATTACAATATTGAATACATATAGTATTGTAGCCAGAATATACAAGTTTTCAGTAAAATGGTTTAGGAGGATCTGGTTGTAATTTAGCTTGCAAAATGTATCCTAAAAATTAACATCTGGATAGATAGATAGATAGATACTCTTTATTGTTTCTTCCAAAAGATTACAATAGTAAACTTATTATAAATATAAACAATTACAAAAAATAATCACAATAAAAACAATGGGCAACCTTATCGCTAAATATACATAAAAATATAAAATCGCTTATATTACAAGTTAAAGATTATAAAAATTATTCCTAGAGTCCCTGTATCATCACTGGGTAAAAATACAACAAATCAGAAGAAGCAACTAGGAAAATATAGTATAATAGACCGACGCAAGATAAGGAAAACTAGAAATAAAAAGCTATAAATGGCGAAGGTGCTTTGCCATGTTAGACTAGACATGTTCCACGTTAATTTGGATTACCTATTAATTATTTAGTTTTACTTTTCAAATACTAAATAAAGTCATATACATCAATATGTTGTAGTAACACAACTGCTCGTATATTACGGGGTACTAGCAGTCTTTAATAGTTAAATACGTTGCATACAAGTTCATTCGATCGAATCAAGTCAATTGGATTTGCCGACATGCAAACGAATAACGTTTCATTTAACCAAATTCCAACAATACGATGTCACTGGTCATTACGTTTGGTAACAGTTAAGTTCAATTGAGACAAATGACACTTTTTTTCTATTATTTAATTAAAATTTATTAAATATCCATTTATTTGTTTGTACGCTCAGTGCTGTGATCAATCAATGAATTAGGAAGTCGATGATTGGTCTACATAATCATCTCTAGTCCCTAGGTCTAATTGTTTAACTAAATTTTGTCTATTCTTTAATTAACGTGACTTTAGTTAGTGATTTACCAATACGTATCTTTAAATATCGTATCGTAGCTTGATTACTCCGACTCTAAAAGGTCGTGAGTTTAAATCTGGTGTACACCAAAAACTTTATTTGTCAATATAAATTGCAAATAACTCTCCGGTAGTAGCAAATACCAATAAACCAAATTATGTCAGAAAATAAACTTTTTTTTTATTTTATTTTCCCGTTTTTTAGTATAAATAATAAACAAGCAATAAGAAAATAAACTACTTAATGTAATACAATCAAACTGTCATTATATCATGGCAGAACTGCAAGTTACTTTACAAATTAATTTACTATATTTATATTAACTTACAAATTAAATTAGTTTGAATTTTAGTTTCTCTTTTTTTAACTTTCTTTTTTATTTTTAATGTAAAACTACTCGCATCTAGCAACTTTTAACTCTCGGTACTAGGATAACCCACACGCCAATAGGTTATCATCAAATCATAGTATACGTACTTTGTTGTCCGACACAGAATTCTGTGGCTTTCTCATCATCTATACACCCTACAATGATAACTCCCAAATGCAATTACCTAAATAATACCAGTATGAGACTTTGTACAAAAGTTGCATGCTTTCCTACCTCTGTCCCATACGTGTTTCAGTTGTGTTTACATGGCTGTGTTTCGGTTTGAAGGGTGGGATTGTAGGGAGTGAATTTACAGGGTACAGAGGAAAAACACCCGAGTCCTCAGGAATGGCAACGCATGGGGGTATCATGTACAAAATGGTATACTTTCTTATGCCCATGATACTGATCATGTCCAAAGGCGACGGTTACCACTTTGTATCAGGTGGGCCATCAGCTTGTTTGCCATTTTAAGTGGCATAAAAAAAGTTAATATAGCCTCAGAAACAAAACCGTTTCTCAGGTATTTTCAAGAAACACGTGTAGACTCGTGCTTATAATATTCAATGAATTATTCCCTCAAACTCCTAATCGTTAAGGGGTTAAACCTTCTATTATCAGCCGATTAACTTACAAGGGTATAACAACTATGGGACTTAAAGTTTAAAAAAAATATCCTCCAACTCTTAACTATTGAGAGGTCGTTCCTTCCATCATCAGCTTAGCGACATGAAATAATGACTATCAGATGCAAACTTCAAAATATGTTTGAAGAACTGTGAAACACCATATGTGTGCTTATAAAATTTTAGGTTTGCCGTCGATTTCCCTAGGATCCTATCTTGGTGAAAATCACCTCAGGAGTATACTCTTTCGAATCCAAAAAAAAGATAATTTTTAATGTCGACCCTTAATTGACGGAGCAAACATAAACTAAATACAGTGGAACATTAAACGTCCTCCTTCTTTGAAATCGGTTAAAAAGATGGTAGACTCACTGTCTGCTACTCACTTGCTACCCATGTCGAATATTACGTCAAATACAGTTGAACAATGTCTGACCACCTTTTCTTAGATTCTATAGTATAATTTTTAGAAAATTACATTTCAAATGTTATATATAAGGCAAAGTTCCGCTATTTCTAGTCACATCAACAGAAGTTACCATTTTGTTGGCTAGCAGCAGACTCATCCTCGCAACTGGATACTGAGAACTCAACACCGGGTTGCAGGAGCAGTAGGTATTGAACTCGCTTGACCCACCTTCTAATTTAAGAACGAACAACTCGTGTAAAATTATCCCTCTATTTATACACAACGTGTAGTATCAGTGACGAGTGTTTCTACGTCCGTTTACGTCTCTACACCGCCCGATTAACTCGGGGCAAAAAGGTTGTTAGTATTGGGGATCTAACTGCCCAATTGCTAGCAATATACCCCATCTGATCGACCTCCACGCGGTTCCCCTGGAAGTCATCTTGATTAATTCTTTATGAAATTGTCACCCACCAGTATATACCGATAGCACAGGCGGAGCTACCATTTCATTATGACCTATTCTAAAAAAAACCAACTAACTCGAACTTACTAATCTAAACTAGATGTAATAACATAACTTAGAACTTATAACAGAGACTTAACATGTTTCAAAGAAATAGTTATTGCACGGCTATTAAAATATATAATAAATTGTCTAATAATGTTAAAAATTTGACCAACACACAGTTTAGGAGAAGATTGTTTGACTACTTAATTGATGGCTGTTTCTATTCTGTGAAAGACTTTTTGAATAGATGTAATTTGTGATACTTGACATTGTAAAAGCTTATTAGTGATTGTAATTTGAAGTAATTGGTTTTGTTGATGTTAATTTGACTTATTTTGGATATTATAAAAAAAAAAATACATTTACACACCGAAATGGTAAATATTGCTGAACAACTACTTAACAATAACTTAAGATCTGCTACTGGCAATCGCCAATATTTTGTAAATAAATGATTATTATTATATTATTATTAAATGGTAAGCAAGTTGACAACCCAGCTTGGGAAAACTAACCATTGTTTATAAGCAGGAACACTACAATCATTATCGTTATATCATTAGGCATTATGTGTCCACTGCTGAACTTAGGCCCCTCCATAGACTGGCATAAGGAACGGGTTGCTCCTTTCGTATTTCATTTCACATTGAATAACATATATAAATAGGGGAGGAAAAGGATTGTTAGTAATGGAGACTGAGAATCACATTGCTAGCAATATACCCAACCAGGTCGAACTCCTCGCGGTTCCCCCTGGAAACCACCATGGTTAATTCCTGATGAATTCATCATGATGGGCTAACTGGCCTGTTTTCATTCTCATCTATCACCCTTCACTGGTGCTGCGCCGGCGTATCCCGTTGGCGCGGGCGGGGCTACCATACCATTTTCACCCATCAAATAAAAAAAAAATATAAATATAACTCACTACTAATTATTATCACAGTGCTTATACAAATATAAAATTATCTTGTAAATAAACGAATAGAAAAGAGCAACTGTCGAATTACTTGCAAATTCTTGTCAGCAGATAACAACATTCCGAACGCAGCTGTAGAATCTTAAAAAATGACCACTTAAAAGTGCTTGTAAACAAGTCTCTTATTTCAATAAATATTATTTTTATTTGCTTTTATTCTATTCTTATCGCCGAAATATTCTAAATTAAATAAGCAAAGAATGGAAACATTTAATCAAACAATCTATTTTTATTTGTACTATTATTGAATATCATCTAGCTGTCGTATGATCAAGTCAATTTATTTATTGATTACATTACTCAAATTGTTTATTTACGTTATCATTAAATTCTATTGAAACACTGACCGACTATACCACACTACCGTGAAAACTAAATATCTCTCGTCTGCGCAGGTCATAAGTAATTTCTAGCAACAAAACAGCTACAATTTTCACGGCCAATAAAACCACTACCGCTGGAAAACTACATTTATTATAAAAAACTAAATAAAACATTAGAAAAACTAAGTGCGTAGACACAATACAATGTGCCTATTATTTGTTTTGTGACAATCTCACATTCCATTCAGAAAAACTCTTTACGTAAATGCATTAGATAGAATTAGGTGTTCGAGCGATTTATAAAAAGAGGCTTTATATCTAACGGTTTGTTTAAGTGGTTTTTTATATGGGATATAATATATAACAGGTGAACGTGAAGCCAGATCTGTTGGTTTAGCGTGAATTTTCTACGATGGTCTCCAGAAAGAGCGCCTGTCAATTTTACACAGATTAACACTTTGGTAATAGATAAAATACAGCGCAATTAACAATTCACATTTATGCAAATAATGTTCAAACCACAATACTGTCGCGATACATCTGAAATGACTGTTTGTTGTTTCTCTTTAAGAAAAATAAAATCATGTGGACAAAATATAGCACTAAACAAGAAGCAAAATAAATATACTATTGCATTTAAATTGCAGAACAAATACACGGTACACTGCAATGACCGTCTCACATTCATATTTCCTTATTAGATATGTAAAAATAACAATATCATATTGTCCACATGTCATAATTTTACAACAATATGCTCGGTAAATACATTATTTTGAAATGAGCCACCAAATGAGCATCTATCTTCTGTCTTCTGCACGCCAGCCTCTGGCGGAACGCGCTTGTCATTCAATAATAGTCGATAGTTCAAGTTTCGCTTTGTTGGAACTAATTTAAAAAAATCATCTTGGCATCTTTACGACTCAATCAATCGTCAATAATTGCAGTACATTTTTTTTTGAGGTTTTCCCAAGTGACTACAGCATGGGGTTTTTCAAAAGGGGGGTAAAGAGGTTTCTTCAGAACAAATGGTGTAAAGTGTGAATGAACTTTGCCGAATTCAAATAATAAATGGCCATTTTTGATAAAAAAAAAATCATGCAACAATGCTTTAACGAATACCTATATAATATTATCTGTACCTATGCAAACCTTAAATTAAAAACAAACTGTAAATCCTCTGCATCCGTAGCCAGCCAGTTGAAAAATATTTTCGTATAGTAAGTAGATAAGAATGATTAGTAATTATCTAAATGTATTCAATCTGAATTAACACTGCATCCAATTGTTACTATTTTAGATAACGGAGCTGTATCTAACTTGTGTTTAATTAAAAACTCTCAATTACTGTGCCTTGAAATCATCTTCCGCGTAAACTAGACGATTTTAGAAATGCATTTGTGATGTAAAGCATTAAGTGACCTTGAACTTGACATTTTTTCTATTCCCCGTTGTTGGCAATTTAACGTTTAAAATAGTTCTCGTGTGACTAATTTATATTTCACATTACTGCATTCGCGATGGATATTGTTTTGTACAATATAGCTATTCTGTTGACTCTCTAGATAATAAGTAGGTACTAAACAAAATCGCTGTCTGTATCCATCTATCTTTTCGAGTATTTTTTCTAAACCTTAATTTTATTTTATTTTTTATAACAGGGGACAAACGAGCATGCGGCTCACCTGATGGTAAGTGACTACCGCCGCCCATGATCATCTACAACACCAGAGGCCTTGCAGACGTGCTGCCGGCTTTTTAAAAACATATTATTCTCTTGAACGTTATGATGGCGTATTGGTTCGGAAATACTACTGCTGGAAGTTGATATCAAAGAGTGGTTGTGCCTTGAAAAATACACACCGGAAGACCGCCACTCATCCAAATTGACATAATATAGATATTTTATACTAAAGGTTTGTATGTACAATTTATCGTGTGGTCCTGACATAGAATTGGCCACCCCTTGCTTTTCTGTGGATGTCGTCAGAGGCGACTAACGGAACTTAATGGTCGAGTAACAATAACAGTACGAATAAGCGATTTTTTTATGCGAAACTGGGTTTGCCCTTTGTCTAGCGAGACTAAATTCTTACTATGATATCTCCAAATACACAGGAACGATTTGTTGAAATTAAATATCCTATGAGCTCTAAGTGCAGTCTGTTTAAATGTATAATTCTGCGTCTAAACTATTGATGACGTCTCTAAAAAACAGGTCTTGGTGTGCCAAACAAACCGACAGCGGTACCGGTATACAGATTCACTAGACAGACGAATCAACGTCACCATAAAAACAATATGTATTTACATATATATCCATAAGTTATCAGTTTTAATGCCCATCTGTTGAAGAAACCTGTAGAACTGGTTGCAACTTCTATTGAAAACAAATATGTCTCCGAAGGGCGGTCACATGCTCGCAATAAAATTACAAGGCAACCTCAGCTGTGCCGTCTGCTCGGTCAGTGACTGGAGTACGCTGAAGGCACAGGTGGCACATTATGAATACATTTTAATAATCCTAGTAGATCTGAAACGTATGCGATTATCATACGACCTTTTTGTGAAACTACCTGTGCGTCCCAATTTAAGATTAAAAAAAAAGACGAAACCATTATCAGAAAAGTACAAGTAACAGAGGAGAATTAAGAAATCTGACTTTAACAATAAAATACTCGTATGTTTATTTTGGTATGTGTCTAATGCATTAAAAAAAACACATATAAATCCCGTACTATACAACTAATTTAACTTCGTTACAGACATCTTCAACACGAGGATATGGGGGGGGGGGGGGGGGGAAGCTAATTGTTAGTAATGAAGAAGTTAATCCTCATTACTTTGCCGATCGACCTCCACGCGGGCCACTTGGAAACTATCATAGTCACAATGAGCTAACTTCATATTTATCTATCATTCTCACTGGTGCCCCACCAGCATATACCAATAAGCAAGCAAATCATATTTCTTTTTAATAGATGATAATGGAATAGTAATCCCGCCTGCGCTATCGGTGTACGCTAGCGGGGCATCAGTGATAAATAACAGGTAAAAATGAAAGCAAGTCAGCTTTCACAGAATTCCACAAGAATTAACCACGCTGGTTTCCAGGGGGAATCACGTGAAGGTCGACCTGATAGGTATATTGTTAGGGCTGTTATACCTCATTATTAACAAACCCTTCCCCCCGGAGTAGGAGTTTTACCACGCAAACATCTGCACCACAAAGTCAAAACAGCAATAACCAGCAGTAACCAATATCGGTTATTATGTACCGACTGGGATTTTGCCGTTAAACTCAAATAACAAGACTGTTTCCCAGAAAACAACTTTTTAACGAACCTAGTTGACTTCCATCAAGAGATTAGTACTACATTTATTGCAACTCAACATACTTCGCATAAAATCAAGCATTTTAAACCGCCATATCAGGCTCCATGAAGCCTGTTTGAGGACTAACTGTGACACTCACTGGACTTAATTTATAAAGTGGAATTATATAATGACATAGTTGAGAATTGATAATAAGAAACCACTATATTAAGGTAATATTTATTTACTTTATATGCTAAAATACGCTAGCACTTCGAATCATTGCAGCAATGTAATTAGCACTTACCTCTATCTAATATTTTTATGTAACTTAGAATAGAATTAAAATATAATGTTCATACATTATAATCTTGTATATAAATTGGAGACTGTACAAAAGTCGATTGCCTGGGTACCTCTGTCCCATTCGTGTTTCATTCGTGAAGCGGTTGTGTTTGCATGGCTGTGTTTCGGTTTGAAGGGTGGGATATGGCGTGAATTTACTGGGTACAGTAGAATAACACCTGAGTCCTCAGGAATGGCAACGTATGAGGGGTATCATGGGCGAAACAGTATACTCTGTTATGTCCATGGTACTGCTCATGTCTATAGGCGGCGGTTACCACTTTCCATCAGGAGGGCCGTCAGCTTGTTTGCCATTCTAAGTTGTATAAAAAAAAAGAAAAAAAACAGACACGTGTTATAGTGATGGCAAAACAGCGTTTTAAATAAAATACTTTACAATATTTATTTATTGATTAAATGTATATAAAATTCATGAACTTTAAAAGCAAAGATATCAACTATAACAAAAAATAATTCCTGTTGAACAAAATTGTACACAGGAATAGAGAATTCCAGCCCCGCCTACTTATTCCTAGTATTAATGTAGATTTTGTAGGTCAGACGTCAGCACATTATAGGTGCTCCCAGGTAGGACAATGACTTAGCCCTTAGACTTATATTTCACACATTTCTCTTCATTCCAGCAGTGACAGGAGACTAAATATATTATAAATGCGATTTTTCTCTCCCTTCTTTTTCTACCAATGAATATAAAATATGGACAGAACCAACCTTTTTATCAACCTAATTCATTTTCGATCAACTTTGAAGTGAATGAAGGAAAATCTTTTTTTTTTTTATACAACTTAGAATGGCAAACAAGCTGACGGCCCGCCTGATGGAAAGTGGCAACCGTCGCCCATAGACATGAGCAGTACCATGGACATAACAGAGTATAATGTTTCGCCCATGATACCCCCCGTACGTTGCCATTCCTGAGGACTCAGGTGTTATTCATTCTGTACCCAGTAAATTCACGCCATATCACACCCTTCAAACCGAAACATAGTTATTTTTGCATGCATAGTAGCCGATGACCACTATAGATAGTCTTAATTAAAAAAAAATATATATACACAAAAATTACAATATAAGTATATCGTGAACCGTTATGTCTCTCAAGATAAGGACAAATAAAATAAGCATCACCTGTATTGCGTGGGAGCAGCCAGGAACACGTAGTTGGTGTTGAAGAGACCGGTGAGGAGCATCGGCAGCGCCAGGAGCGCCGCGAGCCGCGCCTGCCAGCGGCCCCAGCCGGAGCACCACGCCTCGCTGCCCCCGCCAGACATCCTCACACCCTACCCACCAAACCCGCGTAACTTAAAACACAACAACGCAGTTTCACTCAAATTGTTTATCGCAAATATTATACCATTATTATACGACTTTCCCAAAAAAAAAAAAACCGATAAAAAAAAATCTAGAAATTATACGAAAAATATCTGTTGAAAAAGGATCATGAAATTTAATTTTACAATTATTTTACAATACCGCGTAACTCACAAAAAATACAACCAAAAAACAATTAAACTTCCTTTTTAAAATATTCCCTTTTTAAATAATTTAAATACGCGATTTTCAAATAATAACGGTCGTATGAGAATCGTGTGGGAGAGACGTGTCTCCGGGTGAGAAGCCGCCACGGCAGTAGTGAGCGCGTGCAGCGTTCAGGACTATTTCAGTGGTCGGTGCGGAGGAGACGCGCGTAGTAAACACACGCCGCTCGACGTGACCTTATGGCTCGCCGATAACCACCGGAGAACCGGCTCGTGATCAAACCCTCTAGCGCTTCAATGGTGATAAGCAATGTTAGCAACTAGTGGTAGTCCAGGGATAGGGGGGAAGGGATTGTTAGTAATGCGGACTACCAGTCTTATTGCTAGCAATATACCCTGTCAGATCGACCTCCACGCGGTTCCCCCTGGAAACTGTCGTAACTAATTTATCGTCGAATTCGTCCCGATGGGCTAACTGACCTGCCTTTTCATCCTCACCTATCACCTCTCACTGGTGCCCCGCCAATGTATACTGTTAGCGCAGACGGGGCAGCCATTCCATTATCATCCATTAAAAAATATATTTTAGCAGGTCGATCTCCACGCAGTTCTTCCTGGAAACCATCGTATCTTGGATACTTAACAATGGACTAACTTATCAGACTTCATCCCCACCTACCACCCCTCCTCCGGTTCCTCGCCAGCGTATACCAATAGCGCAAATGGGATTACCATTTTATTATCATAATTAAAAATAAAACTTAAGAGCAAGAAGAAAGAGATCTACTAAAAGAGTATATTAAAGTTTCTTCAGGGTCGGAACTCGCACGTTACACCCCTAGTGTTGCAGGTGTCCATAGGCTACAGCGACCGTTTACCATCAGACTCAGCTGTACGCTTAAGCGTTGATACCATTCTGTTATCATATATAGTCATTAAAAGTGCTGCTGGTCTCTCCTTAATATTTAATGTATTCTATATATTGTATATTTGTCTGGTTAGCATACGTATTTCATCAGATATGTAAAAATTTTATATATATATATATATATATATATATATATATATATATATATATATATATATATATATATATATATATATATATATATAGTAGGGATATATATATATATATATATATATATATATATAATAGAATTTCATCGTGCCTCCAATCAAACTGTTTATAATTACTCCTCTCCATCCAAAGGTTGCCTGGTCGCTCTCAGCGATAAAGTCGTCCTTTGTTTTCTCATTGTGATTATTTCTTGTAATTGTTTATATTTATAATAAGTTTACTACTGTAATCTTTTGGAGGAAACAATAAAGAGTATCTATCTGTCTATTCAAGGTACACTTATTATAATTTGTACAAGAATCTCTTTTGTTATAATTTCTTTTCATTCCATTTGATATTAGTACATTTTATATGCTATTTTTACAGCAGATAAAATACTTTTTTTTGTATACTACTGCGATGGCAAACAAGCATACGGCCCGGATTGTAAACGGGGTTACCGTAACCTACGGACGCCTGTAACAACACGGATGCCATGCGTTGAGGTTTTATAAACTATAACTAAATATCACATACATCGTTAAGATACTTATCATATCCGAAATAGCTTTAACCCATATTAATCCAAATACATTTATGGCCATTTCAATATGTGGCCATATTATTTCAGTAGCCGTTTAAACGTGACTGAATGACAAACATTCCAAACATTCAAATTCCTTTTTGAATTCTAATCATTCAAACGTCTCTATAAAATTTTATATTTACATACTTAGGAATTACGTGACGCAGCTTTGCCCGCGTGAATAAATATAAAAATAGCCACATATTTGAATGTCAATCTGAGATATTATGACCTATCTGTCCACCAGAACTCAGTTTCTGGACATGAACTGTAACAGTGAATACGTTACATGTTGCTTATAATTTTAAATCAGGCGTTGTAGAGGAACCGAACCTCATATTACAGTAAAATAGATATTGGACTTTTTTAATGGATGAGAATAAAATGGTAACCCCGCCTGCGCTAACGGGATACGCTGGCGGGGCACCAGTTAGAGAAAATAAGTGAGAATTAAAAGACAGATCGCTTATTTCATCATTATAAATACACCTGGAATTCAGCACGATGGTTTCCAGAGGGATCACGTGGAGGTCGACCTGATGAGGTATATTGCAAGCATTGGGTCTGTAATTGGGCATTTAACCTCATTACTAACAATCCCTTCCCCCCTGCCTCCACGTTAGTCTTTGGTACAAGTAGTGGTGGGTTCATTAGATCCTATCACACCAAATAGCAAAGTAGAGAGATGTAGCTTTCTCCTGTCGGCCAATTTAAGCACGTCATACTTGTTAAAGTACTGTGTCACAAGATGTCTTCGTGACGTTATGAAATAAAAGCGGGCACAAGCATTCTAGAATAAACTTTTAGTCCTTAATAACAAACATGGGCCATACACTACATCTCTGTAATTTAATTTTGACAATATGTATCAACTAGTCACTTGCAGTTCAACAGATAGATAATCACGCATTTTGTACAATATTTTGAGCCTGTAAAAACATTTAATATAAGTATTAAAAAATTGCGTCGAGATCCGATTCACGGCGCATGAAATGAAAGGGACTCCCAGTATTCTTTGGGGTATAAATGCATCCTCGACGTGTCCATACAAATCTCCATCCCAAACGACGACCCATTTCCCGCGCTTTTTGAAATAGTTCTCGGTCGTAAGGGGTAAGGCTACACAAAATCGATGATATACATTCTGATTTTGTTTTTGTTTTTTTTTTTTTTGATCTTTTGTACATGTATCTTTTTTATCTTTTTTTACTTTGCTTTTGTATCTTTTGCTGTTTGTGTTACAGCACACAGTGATGCAAATAAATTATCTATCTATCTATCTATATACAATATTGCAGTTGTTACACTTCGTTGACGTAGAAGCATTCTAAAACCTGCCGCATCCCCCACACTTAGCTATACTTGTTAATGAAACTAGTCTTGCATTATGCCCTCCAAATTATGGTAGATTATACGAAATTACCTAAGATTTTGCTATAAATATCAAGAGCGTAGTATGATGGTTGATGTGTACTTGAAAACATTACTGACTTGAGGGTAATGAACAAGATTAACTAGATTATGAGTTAAGTTTAAATCCAATTTACTCTCTCCACACACTGAATCCAGACTGAACAACAATGTATGCACTGTACCACAACTGCATCTATATTGAAATACACTTTTCGAAGTCCATTGATTTATTTAAATACATGTGTTGTAGCTAATTATGGTATATTATTCATAAGTCCAATAACTGCATCTTATACTGATCGTCTGGAATTCTTCGGGATGAAGTCACTGAGTCAGCGTAGAAAGATTATAGATCTTATAATGTTGTTCAAGATTTTAAATGGCCTTAATTGACGTTGTTAAGGATATACGCACGTAATTTCAATATTAGAACTGCTAAAATAGTTAACACATTTTCAACATACGCTTGTCGTACTAACTTGATTCTCCCCTCAACAGAATGTTATCATCGTATAATAAAGCCGTAAACGTTGACCATGATATCGACATCTTTGGTAATTCTTTAGTGCAGTATACTAGGCTTATTAATAATATGGATTGGTAGTTAGGTCTTTTCTAGTTGTATAATTGTTAGTTAGTATACATTGACGCTTATCTGTGAGAGCTGTATACGCCTTTAATTGATATGTTCATATGGCCTTAAGCTTGGTAGTGAGGAGTAAGATTTTTTTGTTCAAACTTAGATTTAAGCATTTTGTAATAGTAGTTTTTCTCTTTTAATTACTAATAATATTGTACATTGTCTGCTTAATTATTGTGAGCATATTGTTGGTGTGTCTTTTATAAATAAATAAATAAATAAATAAATAAAGATAAATAAAGAAATATAATTATGTAATCTCAGCATACAGTTCACACACCAATCTATTCCATATATACCATAACATACCGATATACCATGCACCCATACTTAACGCACACAAACACACTACACGCCGTCACCTAATATTTTATAATATAAGTATTAGTAAAAAGGGATTAAAATAATGTAGTAAGAACACGTGTCATTTCATTTTCTAAAACAGATCAAGCAAAAACATTATAACACTTAAGTGCTACAACAATATCAAATCACAAATTAACAACACAACTACTAGTCAATCAATTGTTTACTGACATTATTGCACCAAAACACGCATAATTATAAAGTAACATCTTTATAGCGGGTTTTTTAGCAAATAAATAAATAATTATTATAACCGTGCTAGATGATGTTTTTTTGTTATATCCAATTAGGTACCCCTTATGTGTAGATACATGTTATAGTTGTACAAAACAATGATTCGCCACAGATCGTCGCAAAATTTCATGCTCTTCTCTCGTATTACAATGCAACCAAATAAACGTAGCACTTAAACGTCCACAGCATCTGCGACTACACAGTATAAGAGTTTGGGTATAATTTTCCACGAGTGCGTCAAAATCTTATCAAGGCGAGCGTATACACGTAAAAATAATAGGCACGTATGAGAGCAGACAGTTTTCAATGTGATATGGAGGAGAAAGCGGTGTCCGACGGCGGTGCGTCTGCGCCACCGCGCTCGGATGCGTGTGATTACAAAAATAAAAAAACGGGTGTGAAGACTAGATGCAGTACTGATGGAGAATCGGGACCCAGTACGGGAAGACCGTCAGAAACCAACGCTGCAGGCCCTGCAAGTGACGCTGGCTATATCCTGGAGGCGGCGTTGGACCAGCTGGGCCCGTTCGGCTTCTACCAGCGCTACGTGGTGGTGTTACTGTGTATACCGAACATATTTTCCGCCATGTACTCCCTAAACTATGTGTTCGTTGCCGACCAGGTGCCTTTTCGGTAAGTCTTCTTATGCTATATGAAAGAACCGACGCTTGAATTTGTGTATTGACGAAGGTTATACCATCAGACAGACCGTTTGCTTTTTGCCATTCTTTACTTGTTATTGTAAAAAAAAAAACAAAGTTTGTTTTCTCGATACTATAAATATGTATATTTACTTAATGTTTATTTATTTATCTCACAGCTTTTTTGAGTACAATGAAACATTTAAAATAATACCATAGATACATCAAAGTTGTTGAGAACTGGTGCCTGAACTGGGTATCCAAAGAACCCGTATCACAAGGCACCAGGACCCCTCCCTGGCATGAAACATTTTATGGTACTTAATATACAATAAATGTGTTTTAATAAAACATGCTATTGTTTATGTCTGTAGGCGACGGTTTCCACTTTCCATCCAATGGACCGTTATTTTCTTTGCATACAAAAATTAAAAATGTAGTATTATTGATAAATTTATCAGTTTTATTCTACATTAAAACAGGTTCATACGAAATACTTCAAATGAGTCATTATTTTTAAAACACCTGTTTCATTACATTCCTTTGTTCTAAATTACATATACGTATTTACTATGTATATGTCGCCGCCAATCTATATAGTCCGACATTCTGTACAATTAGAAGAAATGCTAAAACAGCAAAAAAGAAGTCCCCTAGGACTATAAGTTATTGAAGCGCTATGGTTCTATAGTTAACCAACAGGTCAAAAACATATGTTGGTATTTCCTGTGAATACTTCAAATCACAATTAATATAAACTAACCTAAAATTAAATAATATTATTTAAGTAAAGTAGGTAATGGACAATAATATTCATAATATTTAATACATTCTCTGGACACCCCAGGTATAAAATATACATGGCTAGGCATTGTATAAAATCCCTGAATTATACCTATAACATTTAAATCTGCTTAAATACCTCGTCTGTTTATGTTCATCCAGGCTCAAGCAGGTTGTACATTTAATTTTTATTTATTTATTTAGCTCACGTCACAAATTGAAACCAAAACCAAATGCCTTATATATAAGTACTAGCAGACCCTGCAAACGTTGTTTTGCCACATACATTATTTTTAGAAAATATTTTTTTAGATCAATCATTATAGCTAACACTATAAGTGTGTTAGGATGTAATTATAATTGAAAGGGGAATGAAGCGTTGTAGGCAAATAAAGTATACTTTATTTATGTTAATAAATTATTCAAAATAACAAATACATATTAAATTACAATTCTTGATAGCTATCTATACATCGATAATATTTTTTTTTTTTATATTTCTACTAATAATTATGGCAATTAAAAAATAAACAAAGATTAATCTCTCAGCGCAATGGAGTGTACAATATTTTTGGTCAATCCGTCTTTAACCAATACAAATAATCTGGATGGTTTCCCCACGCGAGAACATGCCACATGTAGTTGTGGGAAAAGCATGGTGTACCTAAATCTGAGTCACACACAGACAACGTTTGGCCTTGTGTACCTTGTGACTTATCGTCATTACGAATGCCAATCTAGTTGGGAATTAATTGCGTTTGAATTCAATTGGCACATCTATAGTAATTATAGGGATTCGTGGTAGCAATACATTTTCGCTTCTGAACTTGCCATTCAAAATGCTGGCTTCGATAACGTTTTTCATTATCTGCATTGTTTTGTTGAATTTATGGGTCACCCTTATCATTGAGGGGTATGAAAAATAGATGTTGGCCGATTCTCAGACCTACCGAATATGCACACAAAATTTCAAGAAAATCGGTAAAGCCGTTTCGGAGGAGTTTGGTAACAAACACCGCGACACGAGAATTTTATATATTAGATAATACAGTACTGAACTACGTTACAATTCTTAAACTCTGTATACATACATTTATAATCGTAATCCGCGATAATGAAACACTAATAGTCTATCACATGTAGACAAAGGATTATGTTAATGCAAGTAATATATTTAAATATGTACATTTGATAAAAAGAAATTGTATGTAAGGCAATTGATAAGAATATACTTACCTAATAAATATTTTTCAAAATGAATCTTTATCATTTATGTATTATTATTATGCACAGATAAAAATATTAAGTAAAACATTCATAGACTTTTAAAAGTAAGTAAGAATTTATGAAAATTGTTATCTACTAAAGTATGTTATCAAGCAATGCCACAATTAATTTTATAAACATTTGAAATCAGCCTGTTATTTGAGTATACTCGTACATACTAAGTGAGTCGCCAGTCTAAACACTAGCGCGTTACCAATATCATCGCGTGTTAGAAATCCTATCGTGTCTCCAGTTCATTTCTACCTCCCACAACTAGATTGCAGAATGAACTCCCGTCTTCAGTTTTCCCCTTATAATATAATATGGGGAATTTGGGAAAGCGACTCCTCTCGTATTGCAGGTATTCATGGGCATGGGTACGTGGACCATCTGCTCGTTTGCCTCCCTTACAATAAAAAAATCTTTTTGATAACGCTATTCCACGTTGAAAGGTAGTCGTGCATACGACTCTTGTACAAAATTGACAACCATTTTTGAACTATAAATTACTTTTAATGAAGTCTAATTACATAACAAGACTTTTTATTGCCTCGAAGACCGGAGACGGAGTACACAACTACATAATCTCAGCGTTAATTACACCACGAGATGTATATGACTTTATCTCTAAGTAGTTCTGCAATAGATTCATGACGATAAAACATGTAATGTCGATACCCCGTACATTCTTCGTCACGGTATCTTATCGAGATAGCGCGCGATAAGACGCCGTGTTGTTACCACATAAGAATGAATATCCCAATATTTCTAGTAAAGATTCTGTTGGTTAAAATATGGATATAATTTAAATTCTATGTTTAAAATCGTGTCATCATCATCTTCCTACCTTTATACCAATTATTATTTTGAGGTAGCGTATTATGTTTTTCTATTTCATTCTTCTCTATTCGCGATCATTTCCGCATTCACTCTTAATCTGGCCATATCATCTTTCCCACTGTTCATCCATGTCTTTTAAGTTTGTTTAAAATCTTCTATTATACTATATTCTTTATTGCACTAAAACATACAGTAACAACAATAAATTAACAACAATGTTAGCAAAGGCGAACTTATCTCTAAAAGAGATTCCTTCCAGTCAACCTAATGCAGTGGCATAGGAAGTAGTGGGTGATTATTTCTACGTTTGTGGCGTTTACTCCTATCAATAATATTTAACATTACACTCGATGGATAATTTTTAAAAAAGGCCATCTCATAGATTAATTGTAGACACAATTTTCCTCTGAAAAACCTTACGTTAACCTTTTAAGAATATATTTATTCTTGTACTTGTGGTATTTCAATACCGACCGGACCAACCGCTCTGTTGACACGTGACAGTTATAGTACTTTATGGTACGGTTATACGACTAGAGCCGTAATTAGTTATTTAAATAATACATACATTCAATATACAGCCGTGCTAGTACAGCTGTTGCGCAAATACGTACCTACCAACACCACACACCCAAATCATGCAGGCGACAATGGCAGACACACTCTGGTGAAAAAAAAACTAGAGAGATATAAAAGTAATTCATTTATATTATGTACAATTTAATAATATACTATAAACTGTAATATAATATAATAAACTGTCTATAATTACTCCTCTCCATCCAAATGTTGCCTGGAAGATACCGCTTTTAGCGATAAGGTCGCCCATTGTTTTCTCATTGTGATTATTTTTTGTAATTGTTTGTATTTATTTATAATAAGTTTACTATTGTAATCTTCTAGAGGAAACAATAAAAAGTATCTATCTATCTATATGTCCTTAGCCCGAATTGTCAACTTGTTTGCCATTCCAAGTTGCATAACTAATTATGAACACTCTGGGAGGAGTTCTGATAGTTCAGAGTCCACTCTTGCTCTCTTTAAATACCACTACGTGCACTTTTTAGGAGATTCTTTTGAAAAACTACTAAAATATGCATATATGAGCTGTTATTGGCAGCTTGGCCAGTCGACCCTTTTTATACATGGGCACTAGCGAACGGAATTTTATTTATATAGAAAAACAATGTTTTAATATTTTTTTTTTCTGGATAGGAACACCCTAATCACTATGTAATATACTGTACGACCTATTCTCATATTTACCAAATATACATAAAAAATTTCATAAAAACGGTCGAGCTATTTCGGAGTGCGACCACAAAGGCCGTGGCACGAGATTTTTATATAGATTTGTAATTTTATATATTTTTTATTATTTTTTATTCATATTCCTTTTGATATAGGTTTTATTGACATATTTTTTTTTATTATACTGTATATATTGATGTCAAGTGACAAAAATCACATTAGACGGTAAGATTGATGAATGTGGCAGTGGAACAACCAAACTTTATATCAAAACAATATAAATTTGCGTTGCAATTCCGAAATTTACAAACGTGAAGTATATATATTTTTTTTTTTTTTACAACACAGGAGCAAACGAGCATGCGGCTCACCTGATGGTAAGTGACTACCGACTAAATTTTAGTTTATGGCGGGTTGTACGATGGTGAAAATCTGCAGCAGGTATCAATCCGAACAATTCTTCAGAGTTATATTTTCTTATAACATTTTAGTTGACTTATTTTTAATTCATTTTTGGACTTCATTAGTTCAAAGTTAATATATGTGCAATAACTGGTTACTGATTAGCCACTGGTTAGAACAAAATAACCAAACTAACAAAGTACAGGCAGAAGTGCTCGATTGTAAAGTAAATCGAGACAACAACGACAACTATGTAAGCAGGTAGATACAACTGTGGTACATTCTCTGCAAACGGCTCCTCGATCGCTATCTTATCACAGCTTGTGTGCAATCCCAATATATCACAACGGAAATATTATATTACGTACTTGACCTATAATAACTAGTCATTCAACGACTCGGTGATAGTAATCAATGAATATATATTTTTTTGTTATTATACTCACGGCTATATATTAAGTGTCATAGACATGAGCAGTACCATGGACATTCATTGTTTTCGCCCATGATCACATCATGCGTTTATATTAAAACAATATAAATGTTGAGTTTGTAATTCCGAAATTTACAAACGTGAAGTATATTTTCTTATAACATTTTAGTTGACTTATTTTTCATTCATCTTTATTGGACTATGCCCGTAAAAAAAAATTAATGTTTAATATATGCGATTTCAAACTGGCAAAACCAGTCATTTCGATTTTAGCCACTGGTTAGAACAAAATAACCAATCTGTAAGCATGTCCTTTCAGATAAAAAAGTGTTTTATAAATCGATTATACAACTAAAGTTCGAGTAACAAGTGTATATAAAAACATACCGAATTGAGAACGTTCTTTGTAAGTAGATTGAAAATCACACCTATCGTTTGTAACAAATTGTCTCTGCAAAGTTTGTTTATGGCCTCGATAACGCCAATCTGATGAAAGACTTGTGTAAAATCCCAATATATCACTATACTGTGAAATATTATATTGTATCCAGTCAGACTTGACCAGATAAAAACTACTTCAAATATTCTATTCTATTTGAAAAGTTTAAAAGTCACCGTAATACCAATAAAATGGGGGGAAGGGATTGTTAGTAATGGAGACTGAGAATCCCATTGCTAGCAATATACCCAACCAGGTCGACCTCCTCGTGGTTCCCCCTGGAAACTATCACGGTTAATTCCTGATGAATTCATCATGATGGGCTAACTAGCCTGTTTTCATTCTCATCTATCACCCTTCACTGGTGCTCCGCCAGCGTATCCCGTTAGCGCAGGCGGGGTTACCATACCATTTTCACCCATTAAAAAAAAAAACAAAATTTGCGCTCAACCTCACGTCACAGCATTGTTTGATAAAAATTTTTGGTAAGGTTTTTAAAATATATAATAAATTCCCGAAGGCAATTAAAAAAAATAGAATTTAAATGTCTTTAGGAAAAAAACCAAAGGATTTTTGACAGCCAAATGTTACTATAGGTACGTTACATGACTATTACAATGATAAATATTAAGGGCCGCCTGAAAATCAACGCTATATAGGTACTTCTCGTTGGAGCTGTACATATGTATATAGCAACAGCTGAGACGGCTCCTATTGCCAGCAAAATTAATTGTTTTTTTTTTCTTTGATTTCTTTTTTATTTTATTTTTTTATTTTTATTACTGGTAATAAAGATTATCTTTATATCTAAAAAAATATTAGACATACAATATCATTTATCAATTGGCTTATTATTATTATTGACAAATTGTTGTTTAATAATAATTTGTAATAATAATTACAAATTATTATTAAACAACAATTTGACATTAAATTTATATTGTACATATTATGCCGATATTGTAGAATGTGGAATAATGAGCTTATGTTACGTGCTGATGTCTTCAACAGATCGTTAAAGGGTCAATTTCATATAAAAAGTTCGAATTAATTGATTTTATAAGCGAATAGTTACAGAAGTACAAATTTAGATAAGAGCCGTTGCGTTGATCCACTTGAAAATTTTGAAAGTCGTCGGTTGACATATACAGCAAGTTTTTGTTCCCTTTTCGTAACGAGACGGACCAATCCTGGGGCACATCCGGCTTAGCTTATAATGAATATTTTCACCTAATGTATGTAGCCATATTCGTGCAATAAATGACTTGAATTTTAAATATAGAACAATATTGCTTTTTGACAAAGTCTCAGTCGAATTGCTTATCAGTTTTCAGTTTAATTTCGTTTGCGAATTAGAGTTAGAGTCGACTTATCATAAGAATTTGACCTTCGTGAGTTTTGAATAGCAATAAGTACAGGATAATGTACTAACAATTACACATTCAACTGTAGTTCGTTGTGTTCTACTGTTACGCAGCCCAAGATGGCGATGCATCTGGTATTCATCACTCTTAGTGACATGAAAAGCGTTCAGGCACACTATTTAGTAATTTTACTGCCGTTACAATCACCCTTCAAACTGGATCACACCATTCAAACAAGCTACTTGATGACAGAGCTAGCAGACGAGACAAAATCCGCACTAAGAACAATCCGCAGGCATTTTGGCTACGAGTAAAATTTCTGTTAACGTTTGCTTCTCCTCGCAAACTTTTAAGTACGACGAGAGATAATCCACGTGGTGTACAGGCTAATTATTATTGCAAAAACTCGTCTTTTGTAAGTATGTATTTATACGTTTTACATAAAATAAAATGACGAACTTGATACATTGATGGACACATTGATTTGCGTAAATGAGGTCCCGAATTCAATACCCGATCTGATCAATTTTGGAAACAATTTTTTTTATTTAGCCTTGGTCTGAATATTCTCGATTATACCCCCAAATATTTGTTACCCATTGATGTAAATGTATTACACTTGTTATGTGTGGAATCAATGACGGCCATGTTTCAGGTGCACGGTGCCAGAATGTGAGGGTCCGTACAGCCAGTTCGCCAACGAGACAGCTACAGCACTACTGCCAAACGTCACGTGCCAGCGGTACGAGCCCCTCGAGCCCGGGCAGACCAGCTGCGACAGGAAGCAGTACCACGATAACCGTTTAGTAGAATGCGACCAATTCGTATATGAAAATCACGACACTATATTCGCCGAGGTAATCTCACTTATTATTGTTACTGATTTGATAAGTATCATTAAGAAACCCTATGGTAGGGTATGAGAGGTGTTTAGTATGAAATCAGTTGGTCGTGACGAATTCACCAGAGAACCACCATGCTTTCCAGGGGAATCGGGTGGAGTCAACTCGAGTATATTACTGACAATACGTACATAAATCCATATTACAAACAAAAAGCGGTTGAAAAATTTGTAAATGTTTAAGATTTTACCATATCAAATGTTATATTTAACCAATGAAAGTTTAGTAAAATCAGTTTACAATTATCGTTAGAAAATATCGCGTAACCAACGACATGATGTAGCCAGTTTGGGCCATCTCCATTTTGTAATCGCAAAAATACAATAATGTTCGCTGTCACCTACGACTACGACCGTATAAAATCTATTGTGGCAGTGTCCGACGTTGATGATCATTTATATTGTATGTTCCAGTTCGACCTGGGCTGCCGCGAGTGGATGCGCACGATGGTGGGCACGGTGCGTAACGCCGCGCTGCCATTCGCCCTCGTACTCACGGGATACACTTCGGACCTGTTAGTGTTCAACGGTACCTAACCTCCTACATTACAGCGGCAATATACAATATGATTCACATGAAAACCACAAGGCAGAGAAACCAAATTTTCTATAGATAAACTAGAAGTACCTGACTACAGATAAAATGCTACATAAAAATTAATATCCACAGTCAAACTTTTACGTTAACAGAACTCCTCTTAGGGAAGATTCTTTTCTATCGCTATAGTAGCTAGGACTCTTACCTTTTTAGAAAAACTACAGTAAATAATATAAAAACTATTTACTACTGATATCATTGTAAAATTCTCTTTTCCAGAAAAGGTCGCCGAACTGCATTCTGCATCTTCTCAGCTTTTGCAGCGATCATGGGGATAATAAAAGCTTTGTCCATCAACTACTACATGTACCTCGTCTTCGAATTCTTGGAAGCTGCTCTGGGCTACGGATTTAACAGCGCAGCCTATGTCATGAGTATGTACTATGTAATAAATAAATAATTTCATTAATTAAAGTACATGTAAATTCAATGGTTAATATTTGCATGCCATTTGATGTGGCGAAACATAATGGACATCTTGTAAACTTGACAAATGCAACATCTTATCTACCATGTTTCTGGCAAATTAATTTCAATTAATTTCATTACAATTACGAGTACCATACCATAGTAATATAAGGGTATGACAACCTCACCAAGAATTTGAGAATGAGAATTTTTTATTAATTATTATGAATTCAGCGGTTAACTGTCCACTGCTGGACATAAGCCTTCCCCATAAAGGGAGTTTTGACAGTATTTGTCACGCTTGGCAGGCGGATTGGCACCGCAGTTAGTCTTTTAGAGATGTTTTAAGTCGGACGCTGCTGCCCATCCCTCGCCCTCCCTTAGTCGCCTCTTACGACACCCACGGGAAAGGAAGGGATGGCCTATTCTATGCCGGGGCACACACGGCATAATATAATGCTATTGAGAAATGTAAATGTTCATTTAATTACAGTGGTGGAGCTAGCGCGTCCATCTCTCCGCGCCGCGTTCGTGTGCGCCACAGGCGTGGCGTACGGTGTGGGCGGCGTGTTGTTCGCATTCATCGCTCGTGGCATACCGTACTGGCGACACCTGCTGTGGACCATCCACACGCCCGCGCTGTTGCTGCCCGTCTACCGGCTCCTGCTGGACGAGAGCCCGCGCTGGCTGCACGCGCGCGGCCGCACACGTGACGCCGCTGCCGTTATACGTAAAGCTGCCACGTTGAACAAGGTTGCTTCTTATTACTCGTTAATTTTGCAGTGAATATAATACAACACTTTTACTATAGATTACAAAGAAAGAAAAAGCTATATTGATAACCAGATGCATTAACAAAGTAAAACCAAATAGAGACAATAATATTAATTCGCTACAACTAGTTGTGAACGTGCCCAACGCTCAGCATTACGCCATGGCAGTTCATTTACTGGCACAGCGCTGTTATTCTGTGCAAGCCACACTGTGATTTCACGGACGACTACCTACAGTTTTAAAACAATAATAAAAAACAATACACACAAATGCAAGAAATAATCAAAAAATAACGCCATTTTTTAACAGCGTCCATCTTGAATTTATTTTGACATAATGTTGCAGTGTAACTTGGGTGGTATATATGTACTACATACGAGTACAAAATATTAATACATATAAAACAATAGTCAAAAAGACAAGAAATATAAATATATACAAGTGGGATTGCTTGCAGACTAATGAATTAAATTTAACAATTCTACCTGTATGAATGTACAGATGAAATTCCTAAATTTTAAGATACAGTGATTCAGTACCTATTAAAAAAAATGCTTACATTTACTAATGGCAATTATTATTTTAAGGTAATTTTAAACGACGAAGTTATGAAAGCACTAGAGAACGACGTAGTAAAGAAAGAAATGAACGAGAGTAAACCTTGGCTGACACTATTGAAGTCCCGCGTGATGATGATCAGATTCGCGCTGTGCTGCTGGTGCTGGATCGCTTCCACGTTCGTGTACTACGGCCTCACCATCAACTCGGTGTCGCTGGACGGCGACAAGTACATCAACTTCGCACTTAACATGGCTATGGAGGTTGTCGCATCGCTGCTCCTCATGATGGCGCTGGAGAGGTTCGGCCGCAGGCTCAGCATATTCGTAGCGTTCCTGCTTTGTGGCATCGCGTGTGTCATTCCATTTTTTGTTTGTAAGTTTATTTTAATCATATATTTTAGTCCAACACTCTATAATATTCAGTGGGCTATGGAGAGGGCTATGCTCGGATTCTCTTTGTGTGATATAATCCGAAACGAAGATATCCGCAAAAGAATCAGAGTAACCGACATAGCCCGAAGGATAAGCAAGCTGAAGTGGCAGTGGGCTGGTCGCATAGCTTGAAAAACCGACAATCGATGGGGAACAAATGGTTCTTAATTGGTAACCGCGTACGAGTTAACGCAGTGTAGGACGACCCCTACTAGATGGAGTGACAACCTGAAATGCATTGCAGGGAGTCAGTGGATGCAGGTGGCTCAGGTCCGTTCTTTATGGCAGTGTATGGGGGAGGCTTATGTCCAGCAGTGGACGGATAATGGCTGAAATGGTGATGATAATGACTCTATAATAAAAAAGTAGATGACAAAAATTAAAAATGTTATCAACGTTTACTTCTACAGCATAGATCTTATTGTATTGTATCTTATTAATATGTAATTTCTCGAAACACTTTTTCTTAGTACAGACAGTTTAATTTAGTTTTCTAAATTAGGTTTTTTTTTTTTTTTTTTTTTATAGAACTTAGAATGGCAAACAAGCTGACGGCCCACCTGATGGAAAGTGGTAACCGTCGCCTATAGACATGAGCAGTACCATGGACATAACAGAGTATACTGTTTCGCCCATGATACCCCCCATGCGTTGCCATTCCTGAGGACTCAGGTGTTATTCCTCTGTACCCAGTAAATTCACGCCATATCCCACCCTTCAAACCGAAACACAGCCATGCAAACACAACTGCTTCACGGTGACTAAGACCTTGAGGATTGTCTAGTCAAACCTAGAAGCCACAGATGTTCAGCCTTTTACTAGGCGTAACATTACCAATATTATATTGTAATGAACTAATTCCACATTCAGCTAGCGCCCGGACTGGCCTGGGGCTGTTCTTCGTGGGCAAGCTGGCGATTACGTTCGCCTTCAACTCGGTATACGTGTTCACCGCTGAGCTGTTCCCGACGCACGCGCGTAGCTCCGCCCTCGCCGCCTGCTCGCTCATCGGCCGCGTCGGCTCCATACTCGCGCCGCAGACGCCGCTTCTGGTAAGTAACTTCTAGCCACCAAGACATATTCTAAATTGGAGTTAATCATGATGTATTTTATACAACTATGAATGATCTAGATGCGGCTGATAGAACATAAGATTATGATACTCTTTATCCGTTATATGGGGACTATATGTAACGCTTCTTTGACCATCTGCACAGAAAGAAAAGAAGCTTTATTAGCAATTAACTATATTTAAAAAACAAAAAAGACAATAATATTAACTTGTAACAATTATTTGTCAACGTGGTCAGCACTAAGTTTTTTTTAATGGGTGACAATGGAATGCTAACCCCGCCTGCACTATCGATATACGCTGGCGGGGTACCAGTGAGAGCTGATAGGTGACGATGCAAGCAGGTCAATTAGCCCATCGTGATGAATTTCACTACAATTAATCACGATAGTTTCCAGGTGCAACTGCGTGGTGGTCGACCTGATAGTGTGTATTGCTAGTAATGGGGGAAATTAGACCTCATTACTAACAATCCCTGTCCCCCCAGCACTTAGTATTATGCCATGGCAGTTTATTTACTGGCACAGCGCTGTTATTCTATGCGTCTTGCATACAGTGACTTCACGGACGACTACGGTGTATTATACAGTGTTAACAATAATTAAAAAGCATATAAATAACAAAAAAGAGAAGAAAATATGAATGTATAAAAGTGGTATGGATAGCAAACAAATTAATTAAATACAACAATATATACTATTGTACATGTACTAATCTACAAGTGACATTCCTAAGGTTCCAGGTGACATTCCTCGTTTAGGTCACAGCATTCATACTGGCATATATTCAAACTAAAATACAACCGTGCAAGCACAGCAGCTACATCTTAACTGCAGAATCATGAGATGGAAGTTCCCATGTGGATCTTTTTTTTTTATTTCTCATCATCTATAGCTAGATCCAATTAATATGTGTTAATTATAAAATAGTGCCTAATAAAAATGTACTTCGTTTGTTAGAGTGCGTACGTGCAAGCGGCACTGTACGGTGCTTCCGCGCTGCTGGCGGCGGCGTCGGCGCTGCTGGTGCCGGAGACGAGGCGCGCGCTGCTGCCGCAGTCGGTGCCGGCGGCCGAGGGACTGCACGCGCCGCCCCCGCCACCTCCGCCGCCGCCCGCGCCCCACCCCCCGCCAGTGCTCTCCGTGGACATGTGATGATGTGCAATGTGCCACTTGCAGTGACATTAATTTTAATGAATGTCGCAAATGTACCCTGTCTACCAAAGTTTCGTCTTATGTGAGCTCACAAAACGTACATAAAAGAGCATTCAATTCAGAATTTCTAACTGAAAATATGGTAAAACTCACCATGTATTCCAAATTTTAGTGTGGTAGTGTATTTTATCTTGTGTAACTTGACAACAGTACTTGTAGTTACAAAAAATAAGGTACGGCTAAATTTTATACAGAGTGAAGAGGACAAGTCGGCCAAAACGAAAACAGCTGATTCAGATGGATGGTCTGAACCAGATGCCAAATTATTTTCTCACAAGAAATGCATCATAGCCATATAATTAACAATTCTTAGGTTTGACGCCGCGCAATGTATTTAAAATTTTACGACGTATTGTGCTCCACGCGACACGGGATATCTACACCGCGCGCTACTTCGTAGGTAGTTTTCGTACACTTGTGACGTTGGCCTCACACAGCTGATTCCGCGCGTCGCGGTACAATTCGATTACGAATAATACATTGCTGTTTTTAGTATTTTATAGTATTACACTGTAAAATATCACTTCTTTATATTATGACAAAATATCACAGATTACATGATTTTATATGAAAAAAAAAAACAGGTGAAAATTTTTTAAATTTCCGTAAAGTATTTCCACTAGTTTTTAGTTCAAAATAATAATCTGAATTCGCTGTTTCAGTTTTTACCAATCCGTCCCTTACACCCTGTATATACTCAATCACGTCATTTTCATTTGTGATCATTCTCATCTCATAGATCTTATATCTACTGATTATAATTTGGGTATTATAGTAGGTATTCTCGCGTTTGGATTGTGTTATAAATTAAAATAACAAAAAAAGTTATGAAAAAAGGCTCTTCTTATTTCGTTACTGAGAGGTCTTATTACAGCGAGAAACTATTTTTTTTTTTTAATTTTAAATATTATTAGTAGGCTTTATTGTTACTACGCTAGCAAAGGGCCTTGGTGTTGGTATTTATTTCGAGTGTTCCTTTCATTTAATTACTCTTGATCAGGGGTTCCCAAATTTATTTTGTCTACTGTCCACTTTAAGAATAAATTATTTTTAGTGCCCCCATTTTTTCACCTACTTCAAAAACCACTATTACTTCAAGATCAACAAATCACGCCCCAAGCCTCTACACAACGCCCCCATTTTTTTCTGGGTCTCTTACCGCCCCCTTTAAGGCCTGCAGCGCCCACAAGGGGGCATTATCGCCCACTTTGAGAAAGGCTGTCTTGATGACAATAAAAAATGATGTCATTTAACCAAATAAGTTATAATGTTTCTCCCTCTAAGCATGAAAGCTATATGATATTATTGCCATCACAATCTTGCAATGTTTTGTATGGCACCTGATCCTGACGCAGGCATGTTTTGATATTATTATAGGCCTCTCCCTCGAAAAGTCGGAAAGTTCCTAGGTTGTTTAGTTGTAAGTTATGTGTATATTTGTAAATAACTAACTCGTACAAATGTAAAATACGGTCAATAAAATTATATATATATATATATATATATATATATATATGTATATATATATATATGTATATATATATATATGTATATATATATATATATATATATATATATATATATATATATATATATATATATATATATATATATTGCCATGTGTTTGTAGAATTAAGTGTTTTCATTTTTTTTCACAAACAAATGGTCAGAATACAAACCATTCCGCCGTAAAAAAATATCACTGCCTAGAACGGCGACCAATAAACAACATGGCGAATAATAACAATAATTTGATTCTATTGTGTACGCTCGTACATAGCTACCCAGTCCGGATAGAGAAGCAGCCACCTGCAGCTGCCAATTACTTAAAAGATGCATTTTTTACTTCACTTTATACCTAAACTGAGTTCTTAATATTTCGTTTAAAAACCTATGGATTACATCATTTTATTGATATAGTTTTATACTTTTTTTGTTGTATTTATTGTAGACGTACCATAAATAAAACGACCTTCTAAATTAAATTCCATTTTTATTATTGTAAATTTATAAAAATAATGACGTAATTTATTACAATGTTTTTAAATATACACTGCTGTTTTATGCTTATCGTTTTATTTTTAATTATATTTAAATGAACATATCCGATACAAATAGTAAAAATTATGTCTAAAGTTAAATTAATCCAAATATGACAATAACTATTTGCTGTGTGTATTGTATCCCTAAGTATAAAACATTCAGTCTTATGGTTACTAGTGGCATCACGACTTATCACAATATCTTTATACTTACTAATATATAAACGTACATAATTAAACTCTCTTAAAATTAATCCAGACACCGATACGGTATGGTTATTACGTATAGCATTAAAACTTACTCAACTATAACCAGATAAGATAGCTACGACTTTAATTCGATAAGACGGTTACAGTACTTATCACCACTGTATGTTCGCATATTACACTATTACCTGCACACCTACTGCTGTACTATTGAGAAGACATTCCTATCGCCCGCTCCTGCTGCTTCCCTAACGTGCCTCATGATTACACAAAGCATATTACCATCTAACGCTGCAATCCAAACTGTCCAGCCTTATAAATATTTAGTTAATTTAATGTAATAGTAAACGTTTTAGTTTATTTATTAGCAAGGCAACAGATTACATATTAATACATTAGTAAAATAAATATTACATAAAACAGCATCAAATTTGCACTCCACTAACTGCTCTGCATAACATTCGATATTATAAAAAGAATAATGGTATATTTATAAAATAGAACAAGACGTCTGACGTTGTCGTCTCGTTCCAACAATATAATGTGTGCACTTTTATATTATGTTTGCTATGCATTGTCGATCAACGTATCTTCCAACAGTGCAGAGTTCAATGTACTCGTGTTGTATATTCCTTGTTTTTGATAAATAAATAGTGGATTCATTAGTCACTCAACAAGTCGTCACGACAATTTGAACTGCAACGATAAATAGTAGCGTGTAACCCTATGCGTTACTATTTTATAAAATCACAATTCGACCTGTACAGGTATACCGTAATGATCTATAAAACTCGAATGTTAGAAAGTATTAATAAAATGAGTTGATAAAAACAATAATTGGAACGATTACTCCATATGTACATACCACATGAACCTTAGTATTATAGGAAAATGTTACGATATATAATAACTTGAGCTTTCACAGTAAAATCTTCGTACATACAATATACCTACATGCACGACGTATCGTTCCTGAAGGAAGGAAAGTATCTTAAAAGATAAAGTGGTATATGACAATAGCAGAACACTTTATAATTGATCCTGTATTAATCCATAATAATGTATTGGACAAATAGACAGATGTATTGAACAGATAAAGAAAAGAATAGCGGGCAATGACCTGCAGAGGACATAGTCAATGAAAGGAACAGCGTAAACGTTCTTGCAACAATCTAATGCACTGGTTACAATACCAAGAACATTTTAATATATAGGAATGTATTACAAATAGGTTTTTATGCAAGATAATACGTAGTTGTAGGACAAAAATAGTTTTGAGCAGAAAATACTTGAAAATACAGAAAATAAATTTAATAAACGTACTAAATCTAATATAATATATATAGATAGGTAATAGTAACAATGTTCACATTTAAAGTCACATAATTCATCTAAACCTAGCCACGACTGTGACGCTGTGAGCCAATGAGAAGAATAGAATAAAGAAATGCGAAGCAGGCAGTGACCTGTCATGCCGAGTGAGCAAGTGTGCTTCTTATCAATACCGCTAGTAGAACTATTCAAATTCCATACGCATTTGTAATAAGTAGTCGAAGCTAAATTCAACTATTCGAACCAAAAAATTACCTATTACAATTCATTTAGTACAAGTCTATACGAAAAGTAATATAAATATATGTATTACTTTTCGAAATGGTGCCATAAAGCTAAGGCAAACAACCATGTTTGCATTAGCTCTTTTCGATCTTTTACGAAATAACTTATTTATTTTTATTTTATAAGTCAATGCCGAAATAATAATTAAAAGCCTTATTTAATTAAACAGAAAAATCACTTGAAGTCACAATATTACTTGGTCGTACTCTATTTCAAGTGACAATAGTAATGTACCATTGTTTAGAAGGGACGCTCAGCCCATGATGTCACGTCTCGTATTACTAAGCTCAAATCTATGCAACGGTTAACAGCCAATATGTACCTAACCTAATTTATAAAATATTCATATAAACATCTCTATGTAACACAGAGTAAAATAATCTTTACCAATAACCAATTTACTTTTTGGTTACACCGGTCATGCTTGATGTAAATTCTGAAATAGGCTATTTATTTCTTGGAATCGTATAAAATGTTAGCAACTATTAGCGGTTAACCGTCACGTGGTCAAGTGTGGATACGGTTATCACAGTAAGAGTGGTAGGCTACCGCGCAGGGTCCGCCTCGACGTCATCGCTCCGCAGCACGCGCAGCTCGCGGGCGGCGGCGGTGGTGGCGGTGGTGGCGGCGGGCGCGGGCGGCGGGCGCAGGCGGCCGTAGACGAGCCGCAGCGCGAGCAGCGCGGCGAAGGTGAGCGCGGCCGTGGAGCCGAAGGTGGCGTCGGGCCCGTGGCGCGCGTACACCGCCGACACGAACACCGGGCCCAGCGCGCGCGACACGCAGCCCGCGCCCGTCAGCACGCCCATCCACACGCCCTGCAGCCACAGCGCCGGCAAACTTATTACTTCAACTAATGTCATATCCCATAGTGCACGTCTGCTTGCCCAGGGCCCAGTAAATCATCCATCTATTATTTTCAACAGTACCTACACTTGGGAATAGCGCTATAAGTGCCTTGCCGTGTGGTTCGGTCAGTATTGTAAGAGACGACTATAGGAACTTAATGATCGAGGGATTAAACATAACCAAAAGCCTAACTGTGGTTGCCAACCCTGCCAACCCTTGCCTGCCAAGCGTGGCAACTACTGGCAAAACCTCCCTTCCATAAGGGAGGTTTTGCCAGTGAAGCCTGTGTTCAGCAGTAGACAGTCGACAGCTGATATTAAAATGATGACGACTTGGAACAATATTAAGAATACTCCCACTTCCCTGTAAGATTGATAGATACACGTGTAGTTCACTTTCTATCGGGTGAACAGTAACTTAACCCTACAGTGCATTCTGTACCATATCTGGTCAAATAAAATAATTAAGTCTACTGTTCGTTTAAAGACACCTAGCGTCATTTGTCGACCGACAGAATAATCTTTATACATTTAGCAACGGTTTAGTAATGGCAATTGTCACCAGTACGTGTTAGCTATCGATTGATATTGTATTTCGTACACAATTTCAAAGATCGACGCGAACTCGTGGTTTACGTAAATAGAAAATTCTTAAAAAAATAGCTTTTTGAATATTTGGAAGCGGAAAAAATATATTTACCTTGGATATAGTGTATATTAAATGAAGGTAAGTTATTTTTTGAAATATTACTGTTTTATGTTCTAACATATCAACTTATTTAAGAGTACCAGATATGGCACAACATGCATTAGTTCACTTCTAACATTTTGTTTCGATTGGATTTTATTACAGATTATGGTGAAGAAGGTATTATCTAACGAGTTGATTGAGCAGTATTTGGGTATATCGTCAGGGAATGAAGACGGTCAAGGCTTTTTGGATGCGGAAAATGATGATAACATGGCGAGAATCTGAGAAAACTTGCACCAAATGAATAAAGATAGTGACTCTTAAAATTATATTGACCCTACCAGGTATGCATCATTTTCTTCTACTAATTGTGGTACTACCCTCGCTGAAAATGAGAATAAAAAAATCAACAAATTCTCAAGCCAGCACTTCAGGGACAAGTACGTCATGACACCAAAGTAGAAGTTTTTTCACTATGCCAGTTTTGGAGTTCTTTCTTGGAAAGTATAAAATAAAAATGCATACTAAAAGATGGTGTCTGCGTTTATTTTAACATTTTCTAGACATTGTCACCATAAATTGCTGGCTACTGCACAAAAGGGTAGGAGAATAGAAGAGTGAGCTAACTCAGATTAAATTAAAAGATTTTAAACTGGAAATCGCTAAAAGACTTTGTATGAGTGGACCATCATTACAAAGAAAAAGAGTAAGATCGCCTTCTACCACAGATGACAAGATCGAGAAAAAGAAAAAAAGAGTAATCCTTCCCCCTCGAGATGTAAGATTTGATAAATTTGATCATCTTCCTATATGGAATGAGAAGAGACAATGCTATAAGTATCCACAATGTAAAGGAAATACATATATATTTTGCGAAAAGTGTTGTGTTGAGTTGTGTTTGAATAAAGACAATAATTATTTTAATAAATTTCATTCATAAATAAAGCTATTCTTAATGTAAAACTAAATATATGATTATGTTCATTGTTCCTAATTAAAAGCCAAATATTAGTGTTAATGCATACTGTACCACATATGGAACAGAATTGAAAAAATAAATATCCACAAAATCAATGAATTTTAATTGTTATTATTATCATTTATTATGTCTAGACACTATATAGAACCACATATATTTTTTTGACACGATTTAAAAAAATCATGCATTGTAGGGTTAAAAAATTTAACACCAAACGGCAACACGAGTAGCAGCAGCGGACAGGAAGCTTGTTGCCTTCTAAGTTATACCTATAGAACATTTAAATCATCATCCAATTATCTTAATGAAAGAGCTTAAGCTATTCACCTGAGGTCGTGGACCCAACACCTTCGAGAAGATAGTCTGTATCAAGGTGACGCCGAGCGAGTAGCCGACCGAGATGCATGCGTAGCCGAGGAAGAACTGCGTGACGGAGAGCGCCCGCGAGGTGAGGCACCAGGGCTGGGTGGTGGCAGGGCATCCCCCGCCCGCCTCCAGCTGTGCGGGCGGCGCGGCCGGCGGCGGGCCCGGCCCCCACGGGATGCACAGCACCGACGCCAGCCCCGTCAGCAGGAACCCGCCCCACAGCAGCAGCCCTCTGGCAAACGTCATCATCACGCTGCTCAATCATCCTTGTTTGTGATTGTTGTAAATATAACAGTGAGTTTGTTTTATTATTTTATATTATTATTATATGGATGTTCCGTGTAGGTCCCGGTATAGAATAGCCCATCCCTTCCTTTCTCGTGAGTGTCGTGTAAGGGAGAGCAACGGATGGGCAGCAGCGTCCCTCTTAAAACAACTCCAAAGACTAACTGCGGTTGCCAAGCCGCCTTCCAAGCGTGGCATCTACTGGCAAAACCCCTCCAAGGAGGAGGCTTATGTTCAGCAAAGGACAGTTAAAGGCTGATATGATGATGATAATACGGGATAAATATTTTTATTTTTTATTTATTTATTTATTTATTTATTTATTTATGGCAACAAACAGTCATTTACAAAATAATATGTGCATATTATAGTCTTGCCTCACTCTGCGTGTTCTACCGCTTGTACAACGGATTGTGCTCAGAGGAATTATTCAATATGATGCCTACGGCCACTTTCTATCATCGTACGGCTCGCCATCCACAGGGAGTTCACCCTCATACCTTACAGCCTAAATGGTCGCGTACAACGCGGTTTCAGAGATGCTTTCTCCCACGAACACTCAGGTTATGGAATGAGCTCCCTGCCAAGGTTTTCCCGAGAGACTACAGCATGGGGTTCTTCAAAAAGGGGGTAAAGAGGTTTCTTCAGGGTCGGCAACGCGCGCGTAATACTCCTGGTGTTGCAGGCGTTCATAAGCTACGGTAACCGCTTACCATCAGGTGAGCCGTATGCTTGTTTGCCACCTCAGTGGTATAAAAAAAAAATAATTATAGTCTACTTTTTATTCGGCTCAGTATATCTATGAGTATTCCACTGACGCGGACAACTGACGGCGTATCAAGACAAAACGTACACCACATTCTAAATTTGACCTTCAGGACCACAAGTGTTTTTTTTTTTCTAACTGTAAGTGTTGTTGGCCGCAGATGGCCTTTACAACTTCACCGAACGCGTGTGTGCAGGGGCGAGTGCGGATGGCACTCCAAGCCCGCGAGAGGGGAGCGACAGAGGTGTCGACTCTTTCTAATGGACTGCGGCGTGCGCCCGAGGGCGCCTAAGTGGCTCGAACCTCGGCTCGGGCCGCCGCACTTCGACCCCCGTCGAGGGACGGTGGGTCGGTGGAGCGATCGGGGGAACGAGGAGACGCCGCGGACGGCGCACTTTCGGGCGTATATCGAATATTCCGCGAGCGCGAACCGGGTGTTATGAGTCTTCGCCCACGCCGGCGGGGACGGTGTGTGCGGTGTGTTGGTGTGATGGTTGCGGGCCCAAGGGACGAGAGTTCCGCGGTAGTTGGGGAGGACGCGTTTGCCTTAGTTATGGAATCGTCGGGGTCTAAGAGTGCGTGCCTCGGGCGACGACGTCTAAATGTGACGTTCACTCTCGGGGTGTACGAGCCCGCCTTGACTATCAGCGGGTTCGGGTGGGATTCGGTCGCAGCGAAGTAGCGTCGAGACGCTTCCTTCATGTACTGCTTAATGGAGGGGATCTTGAGATCGCGGTGAAGGTCCGCGTTGCGTACGAACCACGGAGCGCCCGTGATTAGTCGCAGACATTTACTCTGCACCGCCTGGAGGCGCTGCAGGTAGGAGGGAGCTATGTGGGTGAAGACGACGCTAGCGTACGTCATCACCGGTCTTATACAGGCTTTGTACAGTGTTAGCTTCGCGTTGAGCGAGAGCTTGCTGTACTGATTTAAGAAGGGATGGAGGCGACCCCGTATAAAGTTGGCTGTCGCCCGGATTTTTTTGATGTGTGGTGCAAACGTCAGTTTTGCGTCGAGAGTGACACCGAGGTACTTAGTCCTCGCGACCCAGGGAATGGGTGTGTCGAACATCCTAATCTGATTGGGAGGGGACAGATTGCGGTTCACCGTGAAGAACACGGCGGCGCTTTTGTCTGGATTGACTTCTATGCGCCATTTTCTGAACCATTGGCCCAGCTCGTCGGCCGCCCCCTGAAGGCTGTTGCCCACCAGGGCGGCCGACGGGCTGTCCACGTAGAGTGCTGTGTCGTCAGCGAAGAGGGCGAGTCGCACTCGGGGCTGGCGTGGGATATCGTTGGTGTACAACGAGAAGAGGGTGGGCGAGAGGACGGCGCCCTGCGGGACGCCGGCTCTGATCGGTCGTGCGCTGGAGCGCGCGCCGTTGACGCGGAAGCGATAGGTCCTGTTCGACAGGAAGGCTCGTATGATGTGCACGAGCCTGTCCGGCACTCCCAGTTTGTGCAGCTTATAGACTAAGCCGCTGTGCCAGACTTTGTCGAAGGCCTTCGCCACGTCGAAGAACAGGACACCGGTGGCCCCTTTGGGCTTATAGTGTCGGGCCTCTAGGATGTGCTCCACGAGGCGGTGAACCTGATGAACAGCTGAGTGCTTGGCTCTGAAGCCGAACTGTTCATCGATCAGTATGCCCTCGGACTGTAGCCAGTCTTTCAGGCGCGCGAGTATGAGCCTCTCATACAGTTTCCCCAGCGAGCTGAGGAGGCTGATGGGGCGGAAGCTGGAGGGGTGGGACCTGTTTTTCCCCGGTTTGGGGAAACCTATCACGTCGGCCTCTTTCCAAGCCTCCGGAAAGATGGCATTGGAAAGGGCCGCGTTGAAGATGGCTACTAGGAGTAGCAGAACGCGTTCGGGCAGGCTCTTGAGGAGTCTGTTCGTGATTCCGTCGGCGCCGGGCGCCTTGCGGGTCGTGGACTTCTTTATGAGCGTTTGCACCTCATCGAGAGTAACGGGGGGGAGTGTGGTAGTGGGTGGGATCGACATTATCCGCTCTACCTCCGATTCTACCTCCTGCAAGTGACCGTCCGGCACCGGAAGGGTGCTCGGTGAACATTGGGCTTCGAGGCTGTCGGCTAAGCATTCAGCCTTGTCCTCGTCGAAAAGGGCGGGGGTATCGTTCTCTCGGACCAGTGGCGGTAGGTCCGAGTAGTCTTGGTCTGTTTTGAGCGATTTGGCTGCTCGCCAGTACGCGGTGTTGCTGGGGGTGAGCTCCCTAGTGAAGCTGTCCCACCTGTCTCGCCGAAGTTCCGCCATGCGTTCCTTTACGTCACGTTGTAAAGTTCGCAAGCGGATTCGGTTTTGCTCTGATGGATAGCGATCGTAATATCGCGTGGCCGCGTTCTTCGCGCGCAGCAGAGCCCTTGCGTCATCAGGTAGGTTCCATCTGCGGTCTCCCGTGTCCGGAACCTCCCTGGAGCAGTCCTTGACTGCCGACTGCAAGTGCTCTGTGAGCGCTCCTATGGCAGCGTTAGTGTCGTCTGCCGTCTCGATGATGTCGGGGATGCGGTCCAGTGCCGGAGTGTCGATCGACTCGAGGACTTTCTCGAGCCGGCTCCAGTCTGTGACCGTTTTGAGTTTCGGCGCCCCGTCAGGTGGCGGGCCGAGAGTGACTACGACGGGGCGGTGGTCTGAGGTCAATTCGGCATGGACCTCCAAAGAACTCAGCCTCAGAGCTATGTTCTTTAGCAGGGCCAGGTCGAGAATGCAGGGCTGGTGCCGAGGGTTTACTGGATAGTGGGTCGGATGAAGCGGTGGCAGAATGTCGAATTCCATGGAGTGCGAGAGCCTCTCCAGGGTGTTTCCATTCGTGTTGGGACGAGCACAGCTCCAAAGTGTGTGCTTGCTGTTGAGATCTCCGGCTATTATAACCGATTCTCCCAGGTCCAGAAGGGACTGGAGGTCGGCGCGGAGGATCCGTTTGGTGGGAGGTAAGTAGGCCGATACGAGATAGATCGGCCGGTGGTCGGTCATTGCTAGGAGGCATACCGAGGCTTCGATGTTTTCGAGCGGAGGCGTGTCGATCGGGATGCATTGCAGGGACCTTCGGTAATAAATAAGCGTTCCGCCGTCCTTGGTGACGCGGTCGTCTCGCTTGATGAGATAATTGGCGATCCTGGGATCGCGCATCGAGGGTTTCAGGAAGGTCTCCTGCACGAGGAGAACGTCCACCTGATGGTCGGTGAGAAATTTGTGTACCTCGTCTTTTTGATGTTTCAGTCCGTTGGCGTTGAAAAACGCCAACTTAACTGACCGAGGTTTGCACCTTTTGGCCCTTAAGTCCATAATTTAGGCTTCGAAGTTTAATATGGCGACTACGACGCCGATATGCTCGCAGACGGCCGCGAGTCTGTCTTGAGGGGCTGTAATGGTCCTCAGTTTGGAGGCCAGTGCGGTAATTTCGCCAGCGTCGATGGAGCTGGCGAGCTTCGCTACGAGGGCGAAGTCGGCTGCGAAGCCGGAGCCGCCGCTCGCTTTTGGTTGTGGGGCGGGGCGGGGTGGTGGCGGAGAGGCCACTATCTTGGCCAGGGTGGGCGCTGCAGGATGAGCGGGGGTCGGGGGGGTCGCTTTGACGACCGGAGGTCGAACCCACGCGTTTTTAGGCGGTGGGGGCGGCGCAGCGGCCGGCTGCGGGGCTACGGGTGGTGCAGGGCGCGTGGCGCGGGATGACGGGGTCTTAGCGACCTGAGTGGTGGCCTTGTGCTGGCTTGGACGAGGGGCGCGGGGACATCCGCGATAATTGGCCGTATGGCCTTGGTTGCCGCAGAGCACGCAGCTCGGCGGGGTGGAGGTGCCGCTCTCGCGGGGGCACTGCTTGGTGCCGTGGTCACCCAGGCACTTAACGCAGCGCTCGCGCGCGAAGCAGTTGCGAGCGGAGTGGCCATATAATTGGCAACGATGGCACTGGCCAGGGTAGGACCGCTTGTTTGGCGGTTCGATTGTAAGGCCTGATATTAGACAGACCTGTTTAATATTGAAAATGGTTTTCCCCTCTGGGGAGAGGTCGAGGACTACCAGCACCATGTCGAGAGGAGCCTTGGTCCTAGATCTAATCATCCTGTGCACTTCGTGCACCGGGTAATTTTGGGCCCGAAGGTCCGCCAGGACATCCTGGCAGTCCAATTCGCGGGGGACTCCGCGGATTACCACCCGCAGGCGCTTTTCTTCCTCTAGGGCGTAAGTGTGGTACCCCACACTATTAGCCCTTAGGAAGGACGTGAGCTGGCGGTGGTCCGCTGAAGTGGGGACCACAACCCTGATACCCACCGAGGTGACCCTCGCGTGGGTGAAATTGATGCGCCTCTCCTTGAGGGCGCCGGACACTTTATTCCAGGCTGCTTTGTCCTGGATAATTATTGGGGGCGGTTTTTTGTCTCCCGCGTGATCGCGGGTCGCGGGAGCAGCGGTAGGGACGGATGCGCCGTCGTTGGCGCGCTGGGTTTTGGGCGGGGGCAGATCGCGAGCCCGCCGCGTGCGTTTGGTGCGCTTGGCACCGACTACTACAAAGTCGTCTTCCGACGACGAGGAGTTGCCCGAAGGCAAATCGTCCTTGGGGGGGTCGGCCGGAGCGTCGAGCTCCATACCGGCCGGGGAAGAGGGACGGCTGGTCTCGCCTAGCTCTGCACCGGCGCTAGGCGAATCTGGGGGAATTTCCCCAGGAGATGGAGGGGCTGACAGCTCCCCGGTGTCCTCCTGAGTGGCGGACGCCGGCGAGGCGGGAGACTCGTTGTGCACCAGAGGGGTGCACTTATCTTCTAGGAAGGCCTTGATGAGGCCGGGACCGAACTTCGCCTCTATAAAGGCGAAGAACCGCGGGAGGTCTTCCTGCGTCAGCGACATGCTGGCACAGTCGACCCCCAATAGGAAAAATTATTCTAATATGATTGTCACCCAACTGGAGTCGGGTGTAATTATATAAGAATAGCACTGAATTAAAAAAAAAAAAAATTAATCGTTATCAATTTTAATTAAAAGCTAAAAATTAAAATTAGTTAAAATAAAAATTTTACTACTAATAGGCCTTTGGAGAGTATGTCAAGATGGCGGGCGAAGCCGCCGCTCGACGGTTTGTTTTCCTCCCCGCCGCGAGGGGCAGGGGGGGTGTGTGCCTAACGGTTTTAACGGACGATGATGCAATAGTAATTACTTATTATCCTAGCACGATACCTGTATTGTCTCGATACCGGGTGTCAATGTGTTGTTGCCTGCGATGGCAACCCGCTTATGTGTAGCGGCGCTAGTCGCCTGCACCGGCTGGGAGCCGGCGTGCAGCGCCTTCAGCACAGCAGTGCCTTCAGCACAGCACACCACCACACTGCAGTCCGGTGCACTACTCCACTCACTGCACTAGTCCACAACACAAAAGCACAAACACTTTCTAACACTGATTCGCGGAACGGCCGGCCGTTATGCTAACGCGAATCGCGGGAGCAATTTCTCGAAAAAACGCGGCGAAGTAACCTAACTTCGATGGCGGTTAAACGATGATGATAATGATAACGAGGATGTTCGAATAACAATGGATAACAATGGATTTGCGATTGCCTATGATGCCGCGTGCGTCACCGTCGGCCGTCGGAATAGGAATTGACCACAAGTGTAAAAACCGCATGCAATTTAGAGTAGTAGTTTTTGCATGATACCGGTACAAGAATATAAAGAGACAGACAGACAGACAAAATTTATAAAAAATATTGTTTTGGCTCCTATTGCTAAATAAATGATTTGAATTTGAAATTTGCTCTTATTAAGTCACCTCATAATAATATGACGTGATATTTGAGAAGAAATAATTCTTCTCTAATATCTCCCATAAAAGACGACTAGGTGTAGTTTTATTATATTATTAATTAAGATATTATTGTTTGCATGTACCTACATCATCATATAATTAAAGTCATTAGATTTAATAACCATAATATAATGAACAATGGCCCTTCTATAGAACAATCTACAGATATTACTGACACCTCGCCAGTTTTGCCCTTGGCATTCCAAAGGTGTTTTTATAAAGTACACCTACCCTAATATTAAAATCTAAGCAGGTAACGACCATTTTTTTTATAACAAGGTTTTAACCCCATGATAATAAAAAAACGAATAAAAATTCCTTACAATAGCTGGTAGCTATTGTATCTTATTAAAAAAAATCATGGTGCAGTCGTCATAATAGGTATAGGCTGGGGGGAAGGTATTGTTAGTAATGGAGACTGAGAATCCCATTGCTAGCAATATACCCAACCAGGTCGACCTCCACGCGGTTCCCCCTGGAAACTATCATGGTTAATTCCTGATGAATTCATCATGATGTGCTAACTGGCCTGTTTTCATTCTCATCTATCACCCTTCACTGGTGCCCCGCCAGCGTATCCCGTTAGCGCAGGCGGGGTTACCATATCATTTTCACCCATTAAAAAAAAAAATAGGTATAGGCTAATCTTTGGGTATAGGTTGTTGTAATGGCTGGAAAGAAGCCATTACAATATATTTAAAAAAAGAAAAAGTTTTTTTTTTTTATTTTGTTATACCATTCTTGTATCTCTCAATATAATGTTTAATAATTATAAATTTATATGAAAGTAAATATAATAAAAATAAATAAATAAAATAAATATAAAAACACCAGTGGAACTATAGAAGTGGTATCATTTTGGAGTACGTCGTTTAAGTCAGGAATCCGTTTCTGGCCAACACCAAACATCGTTAGTAGCAATATAAACTTCCGCTTAATTCTCCGGAGATGGAAAATACCGACGTCATAACAAATTAATCAATTAACCAAACCACGTTGAATTCTAATTATTATTATTTTAACCATTAACTGCCCGCTACTCAACATTCGTGTTTCTACCGTGAAGCGGTTGTGTTTGCATGGCTGTGTTTCGGTTTGAAGGGTGAGAAATGGTAGTGAATTTACCGGGTACAGAGGCATAACACCTAAATCCTCAGGAATGGCAGCGCTTGGGAGAGGAGGGGTATCATGGGCGAAATAGTATACTCTATGTCCATGGTACAGCTCATGTTTATAGGAGGCGATTACCACTTTCCGTCAGGTGGGCTGTCAGCTTGTTTGCCATTCTAAGTTGCATAAAACTGACTTGATTAATTCTTTGTGAATTGGACTCACTTCAAACTCGCCTGCCATCCTTCACTGGCACCCAATTATCCCTCAAAAAAGACGAATATTAACAAAAATTTACCTCTCTTCAAAGACTTTAGTAAGAGGGCCGATGAGCGCGAAGGTGGCGCAGGCGACGAGAGCTCCAGCACTCATGAGCGCGCCCATGTACTCGAGGGCCTGCTTCTTGCTCCACGCGAACTGGTCCATGGTGAGGCTGGTGGCGAGCGTCTCCAGCAGCACGAAATTGAACACCAGCACGAAGAACGCGCCCACCAGCGTCCAGCTGCTCACCAGGTCCGGCTTCATTTCCTTCAGGGCTTCCTTCTCTATTGTTGAGAAGAATAGAAATGAATATATAGGGTGGTATCAAAGTTGTTAGACATATGTACGCGTATAGTACGCGTGCACGTTATACGTATATTGGGACAGAAAATTCGTGAATTAAAAATTTAAAAACAGCAATAACTTGAAAATATAGGTATAACGGTGCCCACACGTATCCCACAAAATATTTCTGGAACGGGAGCCCTACGTCGTTGACCCAGACTGATACACAAACCACTATCTCATACTAGGCATGCTGCTCACGCACCCACTAATCGTGCATTGCACTTGATTGGGGATATACTTTCTCGGTACAACAATATAGACATTACGCTGATAGACTGAAAAAATTGGTTGTAGCAGCTTATAGATTCCTGAATTCGCTATGGCATATCTATAATGTATGTATATATTGACGTATAGTTTGGCATTGATTTGGACATTGTATTATATGTATATGATTATTGTATTCCATTGTATTATATAGTATTGAATTGACATTGTATTATGTAAATTTAAAATATAAACATAATCTCTTATAATTAATTATTAATACTAAATATTTATCTATTTATTTGACATGTACAGAAATTATAATTACCTGTAATGTATTGGAATTTAATCATATAATATGTAAACTGCAGGTAACAATAAATAAATAAATGATTATGTCATTCTTCGAGCCACGACCTTTTTGCAAAAATGTTCATTTTAATTGGTAGAATACATACGACCTTAAAAGATACTACCGATTCCACCACACGATGAAAATGATATGGTAACCCTGCTTGCACTCGTATGTACAAGATAATAGGTACCTACTCGTGCCTACTTGATGTTAAACGGAACAGATATTTAATGACGGAATTAATTATGCTTTATAAATATAAATAATTATGCTTCGTTTGCACTTTGCACGCGTTAAACAATAGATGTGTAAGTACCTGGCTACTTTATATTCAATAGCGTCCTATAAATAAAAAACAGGTTTTTCAATGCGTAACTGAAAGGCGATGATAAAATATCCCCTTCAAGTAAAGTTGTAGGTAGGTAGGCCTGCGCGGAGATTATTGAAATGTTTTGTGTAAGTTTTTAATATTTTACGATGGACAAGTCAAAGAACAATATTTGTTTGCTACCGAGCCTGCAATATAGATATGAAAACTAGTTCGTTATAAATAAAAGACCGAGAATAACCAGTCTACATTCAATATTAATGAGATTAGTGGTAGTAAAGCTTGTTGCGTCCAGCATGAATTAGATGGGTATAGTAAACTATCCTTAAAAGATAGACATATTTCATCGCGGACTTTTTTGTAGACCTTTAAACAATCCTACCAACACTACAAAACAATGCATGTTTTGTTGTATTTCAAACGGATTAGGCAGCGTTTTCAATGAAAGCTCTCAATCGATTTGATTTCTTCTGATATATGAACAATTATCGTTATATTTTAACAAGTTAACACAGAATAATATTAAACTATACATATAATTCTTCCTCTTGAATTCATCCAACTATTGATGAAATCGCATTAAAATCGGTTGCGTCGTTTAAAAGATCGAAGCATACAGACAGCGGGAAGCTACTTCGTTTTATACTATGTAGTAATATATATTCTATAAAATGGATAAGTTTCACATAAAATTAATGTGCTTAGATACATATCTACCCATCATTATCAGACCTTAACCATTTACTGCTAAACATAAGCCTCCCCCTTGCAGGGTTTTGCAAGTAGTTGCCACGCTTGGCAAGCAGATTGGCAATCGCAGTAAGACATAAGAGATGTTTTAAGAGAGACGCTGCTGCCCACCCCTCAATTTATAAGACCCCTTAGTGGTCTCTTACGTCACCCACGGGATAAGAAGAGGTCGCACATTCCATAGCGGGTCCCGCTACACGGCATGAATTCTAACAAGCTACATACCTGCCTACAATTGACAAATTACATGAAAATTTTACTGTCAACCTTGAAACGTCTATACATAATTTACAATCGAAGTTTATGATAATTTATTTCAATTGGGTAAAAGGTGTTTATTTAAACACGTCATTAAAATATGCCTTTTACCGTAAATATGTTCATTGTTCCTATTAAATGGGCATCTTGTAAACTTGACAAATGCAAAATCTCACCTACAATGTTTCTGGCAAATAAATTTCATTTCATTTCAATGAAATGAGTCCCTGTATATTTTTTTATAAACCTTGGAACGACAAAAAGCTTCCTAAAAAGTAAAAGAACATCTCATAAAAAGTATCCCTTTTGTATTGCCAATACCATCCCCGATAACGAGTGTTTATTTATTTATTTAATCGACTAGATGATCTTTACAGTTGTCCACTGTTTGTCAAGAAAAGTATCCGAAATAGAATAAATACTGTAATAAATATTAATGAAATGCAAACAGTCAATAATAAATGTACATGAAATGTATTGACGTAGCAACGTGGTACAGATAATCCGTAACAATATTATAAATCTGAAAGTGACATTGTTTGTTTGTTTAAAGCGCCTTAATACCAATCACTATGAAATTTGGTATAGGCTTATACATTATATGATATTATATGAGATAGAGTAGAATATGAGCTACTTTTTATCTCGCTCAGTAAACATATACGGGCCACTCGGACGAAGTCGCGGATAAAAGCTAGTAATATATCATAATAATAGTAATAAAACTTTATATTTTAACTAGTTTAACATAAACATTCCACGGTCACTCGACGAAATTTCAGCAAGTTAGAAGCAAATGCGTCTAGTTCTGGACACTGACTCTTAACAGCTTCATTAATAAGAAGACAGCTTCGTTATACATAGAATACGCGAAAGTGGCAACAATAATCTAAACATGTTTATAAATAAATTAGATAATCCTCTTGTAAGAATGCTTGCCGAAAGGACTAGATCATTATTAGTGACTAACAAAAATGGATCCAAGTTATCTAAAATAAATTAATTAAATAACATAATCTAGTAACTTATCTCAATGCAAAAGAGAGGTAAGCTTGCTTGGCCAACTCTGCAAACAAGTGCCGTTACCATACCCTTCAATCTAAAATAAAGTCATGTAAAGCACAGCCGCTTGACACCAGGGACACACAATCAAAATGACTTTACTTCAAAATCTCAAGTGGTAAGTTTTAAATGATTGCCTACCTGAATTCTTCCCGTGCACGATCATAGCTTCTCTCGCAGCTATGGTCCTCTCCTTGAAGCACCACGGCAGGAATAGCACGAAATTAACTAGTCCGAGGAGCGCGTTGATCCAGCCGGCGGCGGTGTACATATCGAGGCGGAAGGGCGCGGAGTAGTCGCCGGGCGGAGGGTAGGGCGCGCCGGGCCCGAGCGGCGCGGCGGCCGCCTGCAGCGCGGGCCCCACCACGAAGCCCAGCACCTGCGCCAGCGACACCCACGCCACCGCGCGCGTCCGCTCGCTCACCAGCGTCGCCGCCGACAGGTACGACCGGGCCACCGCGATGTTCGCTGCGGACGGTGGGCCTCGATTAAAGAACAAACGACACAGGAGAAACATATCACCAAGTAGGTTAGACTAAACGAACTACGATAAAATTCATAATGCCACACGATAAACACGGTAACGATAGCGACTTTGGCCGGTTCTATTGTTCTCGTCCAATTTAAAGTCGCCAGCGAGTCGCTAACGACCAAGATCACTACAAATATTGACGTCAAGACTTTTTTTTTTGTAAGGATTGATAATGTAATGATATCCCTGCCTGCGCTATCGGTATACGCTGGTATATATGAGGAGGATGAAAAGACAAGTCAGTTAGCCCACCGTTACGAATTCAACGATAAATTAGTCACGATAGTTTCCAGCGGGAACCGCGTGAAGGTCGACCAAATAGGGTATATTGATAGCAATGGGAACTAACCACCCCATTACTAATAATCCCTTGCCCCCTGACCGCTTCTATTGTTCCCGCCCAATTTGAAGTCACCAACAAGTCGCATACGATCAAGATCACCACAAATATTAAGAATGTCACTGGTGACCTAAGTTATTGGTATGTCGAGCTGGAGGCATTAAAGCGTTTAACAAAATGGTTGAAGGATCCAGGATGATTTAGAAAATTATTTTTTTAATTATTATTTTTAAATATATTATTGCTAATTATTAAAAATGTCTAAACATCGAAATGAAAGAAAAACGTCCATTGTCGAGACCGCATAATGCCTGTGGTAGATACGGTTCTATGTATATCACACTATATACTATGGACAGGGTAAATCGTAAACGAACCTGAACTAACGCCGATGAGGAACCGCGCGAACACCATCCAATACTTGGCATAGGGTCTGGTGAGGTGGAGCTGCGAGTACAGCATGGAGGCGACGACGAAGAGCGCAAGTGTGGCGAGCAAGGGGGCGCGCGCGGTCTTCGCGCGGTTCGCCCACAGTCCCAACAGTGGGGAAAATAACAATTGCCCTAGCGGGTTCGCGCCTACTGCCAAGCCTAGCACTTCCTTCTTCGATCCTGGCTCCAGCTGAAATTCAGACAAAATGACAATTAGAAAGAAAGAAAGAAACTTTATTCTGAACAAATATGCAACAACAGGGGGGAAAGGGGTTGTTAGTAATGGAGACTAAAAATCCCATTGCTAGCAATATACCTAACCAGGTCGACCTCCACGCGGTTCCCCCTGGAAACTGTCATGATTAATTCTTCATGATGAATTCATCATGATAGGCTAACTGGCCTGTTTTCATTCTCATCTATCACCCTTCACTGGTGCTCCGCCAGCGTATCCCGTTAGCGCAGGCGGGGTTACCAATCCATTTTCATCCAACAAAAAAAAATATGCAACAACACAAATGTATATTACAACAGTCTCAGCAAGAATGTGTGTGTGCGAGTGCGTGTGCGCGTGCGTGTGCGTGTGCGTGTGTGTGTGTGTGTGTGTGTGTGTGTGTGTGTGTGTGTGTGTGTGTGTGTGTGTGTGTGCGTGTGCGTGTGTGTGTGTTTGTGTGTGCGCGTGAGTCACAATATTTGTCAAAACGAGGTTCGTGCTCAGCATGTTGCTGTAGTGTCAGGTACGCCACAGCCCGGTTTTTAGCATGAGCCTCGGCAACCCGCGGGGTCTTAATAATACGAGTAAGAATACATTTAGAAAGGTAACTTTGACTAATACAGTGTTGCGCTTAAAGTGTATAAACTGTACCAAAATAAAATACATAAATATAATAAATTAGTGATAGGTAATTTCTTCTTTTCATTTAAGAGTTTTCTCTTGTCGGTGCAACTAATTCATGCATCTTCCTCCAGCCAGCTCTATCCCAGGCCATATCCTCGACCTCCCTATACGACATAACACCTAGTGTTTCCTTTATCTGTCCCATGTAGTTATTCCTCGATTTTCCTCTTCCTCTTTTGCTCTCTATTTTTCTTTCTACTAGTGATAAGTATATATTAAATAATAAATTATGACGTCGTCAGTGAGAGGCGTTCGATCTGCATATAAAGAATAACAATAATGACAACAACATAGAACACTGACTGTTTACTATTTTCACTATTATAAAACATGAAGGAGATATTATTTGTACACATACCTAATTGTACATTACACTTAATTGTTATCATTCAACTACTCCGCATTTGACGTCCGTTGCCGGTGCGACCTAAACGTCGGGCACATTATGGTATGTTCTTATGATCATTATATACTTTCCATTATATGTTTAATTATTTATAAGAGACGGGAATTAACGACGCACTCAATTAGGTAAACTATGATAATTTACCTGAATTATCTCGACGTTTCGACGAGGTTACAGCGGTCGCGGCCATGAGTAAACTATACCGTAATAAATGGATATAAGAATAAATGTGTATCTATTAGTGTCTGCAGACACACGACGTGTAAGAGAGCCCTAACGTCGCACCCTAACCACACCGCAAGCCTCAGTTGGCACTGACCTCTGCCCTTTATAGACAAAGAATAAACGAGAACACCGATAAAATATGTGAGTCATACCATCGCACTGGCACAGTTCAAATATCTCTTCTCTATTTTCTTTATGAGAGCCGCCATAGGCATTACAACTGTATATGTACGGTGACGTTCGTGCCGCTGATAACGATGTAATAGATAATATAATATTACTTTTATTCCGTTAGGTCAGGTAAATCATTTGCCAGAGCAAGTATAAAGAAAAATAGATACAGCAAGAAGAATTTTGCAAGAATTTTACTCGATAATAAAAACAGTGGCTTCAATTCTAACAAGCTGCAATACGGGACCAACACGGCAGTAAAATACCAATTACTAAAAGAATCGCAATCAGTTCGGAATTATCACAATATCGATACAATACATACACATTCAAGCTAATTGGGAACCTTTCTACTTGATGGAAAAATATTTACTTCTTTTTAATGATTTTTGAGACTGCTCCAAGTTTATTATGTAATAGAATAAATACATAATTATACAACTATCGAGTACGTATCTAGTAGATAAGAAACCTACTACATATCTAAGTTTACCTACATGATGAGATAAAATGAACAGATGTGATTTGTATAATAGAAAAATACATACAATATACGAGTACCTACCAATCTTAGATATCAATACAGTACAATATAGTGAATAGAATAAATTGAATAAACGAGTCACCCTTGTAGGCCGCAAACCAAAATAAACTGAATTTCGGTAAGCAAATTGGCAGCGACGTGTATGAAAATGGGACAAATTGCCAATAATAATTACCTAATTACTTAGTCAATATTCTGAGCATTCCAAGGTGAGAATGATTACAAGTAGGCATCAAGTTGAATTAATGTGTTGCTCGTCTTCATTATTGCCATTTTATATTATAAACAATTACATATTTACTTAACTTTAATAATTTTATTTACTCGAATACAAGTTATTATTACATTAAAAGTATTTAATGTTAAAGAAAACACTCTCTGCATTCAACCGTGCGGCGTGCAAATATTTCATGTGGAACTTGTTATTAAAATTTTACATTAAAATAATCTTCAAGTGAATAAAAACATTTCTCAATAAGCCAATTGTAATGTTTTTCATTGAATTTTTGTCCGTCAGATCTCTGTATTCTGTCGGTAATGTATTATATATTTTTACTTCTATGCAGTAACAATTCTTGTTGTACAATACCAATCTATGTGCAAGTACTATAAGTGGTTACTGTGCAACCTTTCTTCTTAACAAACACTTTTGTAATATCATTATCGTGTAATATTTGATTTACAAGATAAATATGTTGTGTACCAACGATAATATACTGAAATACAACGTTAGTATCTAGCTTCTCATCTCTTCCACCGGGGTAGGAGACGTGCTCGTGCCCTCGGCCGCCTCTTAATATATTCAACGTGAATGTATCTTAACCTGTCTCTCTCGTCTCCGTCACCGTACAGTCATTATATCTTTATATTATCTATGCTTATACAGGTATTATTCTCAAATATTGTGTTTTTTTGAAAAAATGTTTTATTAACTTCTGAGCATTATTATTGACAATGTTGCCGTAGTTTTCAATAGTATTTGTTTGTTTAATTTTGTTTATATTTGTTTAATTTTAGTATTGTCTAATTTTGTGTTTCGTTTACTTGTATTTTGTTTTGTGCAAATTCTAATGGCTACCAAATTACTATTTAAGTATATAATTATGTATTGTTTTAGCTGTTTGTTTGCCTTAAATAAATAAATCTTACTAATAATAATAGTAATAAAATTTTAACTAGACGATGTCTATACATGGGAGATATTTGAGAACAATAAATATGAGGGGTCTCAATAAGACCAATGGTGTCGAAACAATAATCGTTAGTAATTTTGATTGTCTGACTATCTATTTATATTTCGTTTGTTCCGGCATCACGTAAAAACTACTGCACCAAATTGGATGCGGTTTTCACAGCTGTATTCCTGAAGGTCTAACTTAAAATCTAGTGTATGTTTAATCTTGACACGCCATCTAGAAGTGGTCCATTTAATTGGTTTACCTACTTTCAAACTGCACGTACATGTACAAAGTAAGCTAGTACTAAAGTTCAAAGGTAGCATTCCATCTAGATTTCTAACTTCTGAATACCTGCGCTACAACTCTACCTCTGTCAGCTGTTTTAGAACGATTGGATACCTATTTGGGTAATAATAATATTATTGAACTATGATTTTCATATTATAATAATATGAGACTTTGTACAAAAGTCGATTGCTTGGGTACCTCTGTCCCATTCGTGTTTCAACCGTGAAGCAGTTGTATTTGCATGGCTGTGTTTCGGTTTGAAGGGTAGGATATGGCGTGAATTTACTAGGTACGGAGGAATAACACCTGAGTCCTCAGGAATGGCAACGCATGGGGATTATCATGGGCGAAACAGTATACTCTGTTATGTCTATAGTACTGCTCATGTCTATAGGCGACGGTTATCGCTTTCCATCAGGTGGGCCGTCCGCTTGTTTGCCATTCTAAGTTGTATGTAAAAAAAATTCATGATGCAGCAAAAACTGCTATGGTACAAGGACAATATATGAACGTTTGACATACGAGTAGCTATTATGTCGTCCGCCACTTGTCCAAGTGGATAATAGGTATCTAATGTACAGACTTCATGAAAGTATTTGATGAGGTGAATACTTACTGTGTCAGAAACTTACAATATCTCATCTGATCACACGTAAACTATGAGTTTACATACATACACGCTTGTCTCCTATTAGGTTTTTTTTTAATGGGTGATAATGGAATGGTAACCCCACCCGCGCTATCGGTATACACCGGGGGGACACCAGTGAAGGATGATAGGTGAGGATGAAGCAAGTCAGTTAGCCCATCGTGACGAATTCAATAAGAATTGTTCACGATGGTTTCCAGGGGGAACCACGTGGAGATCGGCCTAATATTACCTAATAGGCCTAATATATTGCTAACAATAGGGCTGTCAATTTCCATTGCTAACAATCCCTTTCCCCCCTCTCCTATTAGGTTAGACAGAAACAATGGAACGCCAAATGCTTCGATTCAAACAGATCTCTTTCGCTTCCTACACATTCATCAAACTTTTCATACACTAATTAAGCCTTCACTAATTGTATGATTGCTATTTTAGTATACATTAACAGTTATCTGTAAGAGCTGTATACGCCTCCAATTGATATGTTGATCTAGCCTTAAGCTAAGAAAGAAAGAAATGTTTTTGTTCAAGTAAACTTAGATTTAAACATTTTTAAATTGTAATTTTTCATTACTTACATACTTATAACATTGTACATAGTCTGTTTAATTATTGTGAACATATTGTTGGTGTATCTTTTATAAATGAATAAATACACACTCGCCGATTACGGGTACTTTTAATTTGGCCCTTCTTCAGCACGTCGCCTAGTTGGTCAACATACGTCAGGCGGCACCTACAGATATCTCCATTCATTCGTGGTCGATAAATTCCTTTCGTAGTTAATCTTTCATCCATCCTCTCCAAATGGCCAAACCAATTAAAACCTTTTCGATCTTTCTCATTTCAGCGTCTTTCGATCCACACTTCTCTCTAATCCTACTATTTCTCACTCTATATTTAAATGTAATACCACATATTCTTTCAAAGCTTTTATCTCTATCCTGCTTACATGCTTCTTCTGTCATATTCACGATTCGCTTCCATAAATGATTGTTGGTATCAGTACTCCCTGAATTAAAGCGAACTTTGCTCAATACATTAACTTGTCTCAATAAAGCCCATATATAATCTTACGGGAAAACACTAACAGTACATTTTGAATCCCAAAAAGGTTTATTCTTAGGCCGTCACTTTTTTACCCTTCAAGTGATCTCGCTAATTCGCTTTATAACTTGCGAGGCTTTTTTATTCGTTATAAACATGCCTTTATATAACGACAGAGCTGGCCTTAGCCTACCTGGCGGCCCTGGGAAAGACTTTGACGTCCTCGGTCCCCCTCTATCCCCATCCCCACTTTTGACGAAAAAAACGAGGTCAACCTTTTTTACTTTTACTGAGAAATCCGCGCTGTTCACTGCTAAATTGATTTTTTTGAGATTCTTTATTAATACTATGTCGCGTCTCCTCAATTCCAATCCCTTTTGGACTTTGGCGCCACCTATACACTTCGGCGCCCCCTAGCACCACCCTAGCAGTCCCTCCTGACGCCTGAAAGATAGAAAGATAGTGGCGATTCATTGGCGTAGTGTTAATATAAATAAATTATCAAAAGTAACGATAACGACTTTCCTTTACAAAAAAAAAACCGGTCAGGTGAGAGTTGAGCTCAAGCCAGGTGTCCCGTACATACATAGGTTATATTACTACTATGTATATTATATTGCAATTCATAATTTCTTATTTAAGGTCATAATTTCGATTTAAAACTATACATATAACGCTATATATATATAACGCATAACTATGCTTTCGGAGATTTTTGATAATTTTTCAAAAACGGTGCTAGTTAGAAACATTGTTTTCTTTTTTCAGTGATATTTATATAGTGTATACCTTTATAAACTAATATTCCATTTTACAAACTTCGGTGATGGAGAGAAATGGATATATTTCACATTTTCAAACATAAGTCAAAAACTACACATTATTAAAAAAATTAAAATCAGTTTTAAAATGTACAAATGAAGCCCTTTCTCATGTGACATCTCACTTGGACTAGTAGGTCAATTTTTACCTGTTGAGGACCCGTTTTGAAAGAAACCCTTAACGAAGAAAATAAAACTATTTTTCAATTATTTCTATTTCAATATATGTGAACCAATAATATGTAAAACTACTCCAAATTTCAAATCGATAGCGTTAGTAATTACTGAGATACTCGTATAGCACTGTGACAGACGGACAGGACGGACGGACAAAGTCGCCCCATAAGGGTTCCTTTGTACCTTTTTAGTTTGGAACCCTAAAAAGGATAATTGCAATACCATTATCGAGGGAGGGATGCACTGTACGCTGACGCTGTACGCTGTTGGTGATCAGTATTTGCGGACAATGTGACATTTTACAACGAGTCATTGACTATAAGGAAATGTTACCTAAATAGTGAAATAGGAATTGTCGATTATTTATTCATTTATTTCGTCGCATTTCTATTGTTATTTCCAAAGGTTATTCAGTGTTATATTTATCTATCAGCGTAATATACATTTACCATTATCTATTTGCTATCTATTGACCTATTAGTTTAGTTTATTTGGGTGTTCAACTAACGCGCAGCCCAATTGTTCTTCAAGTACGTGCCTGCTAAACTATTATAATCAGCCTTTCATATGGGACAAGTTTTTTCCCATAAAACTAGAGTGTTATATAGGATTATAGGGTTCTATTTCGAGTTCTCCTTTTCTTGTAATACACTATATCGTTACTTTGTTCCCCTAGTGTCCTGTTACACGTGAAACGTGGCAAAGTGGCACAGATCTTGCATTGAGTTTTACTCAACGTTAAACTTTATTGCATTGAAAAATATACATCTAAGACTATTTAGGTAAGCATAATCCTTCGGCGTCTTATTTTATTTATTTACAAATAAAAAGTCGTTTCGAATACGTACTAATTTTTGTAAACGATAATTCTTCTGAACCAAGTACTGAACTACAAGTTAATAACTATCATCGCCCGTATCTAAACGTAATTTTATGTAAAGAAAATTACATTTTATATAAGTGTAGTAAGTATTTGTTGTAATTATTCTGTATATAGTATTCTGTCTTTCATAGAAAACTTTGACAAGCAAACAATCCGGTGGTTGACAATCTAATTATATGTGGTAACCGTCGCCTACAAACCAATAACACCAAGAACATCACAGAGTACACTGTGACGCCGGACGACCCGTTCATTATCATTCCTCCTTCTTTAGTACCCGTATACCTCCGTATACAGTATTGAATTATAGTCACGCAACAAAGTTGATTGCCAACTGAATAATCTTTGTTTGGAATACCTGCAGTAGTGTGAGTGTAATGTAATCACCTTGTCGAGGTAGGGCCACACACCGGTGAGCGCAATGCTAAAGCCGAGGGACATCTGGAACATGGTGAAGTAGATCACGTACACGCTGCGCCAGCGCTCCCGCCGCTGCTCCTCCGTCTCCAGGAGCTCCGCCGCCCTCTCGGCGCCCGCTTCGCCGTTCAACCCGTTCTTCCCTACACTCCCATTGCCCTCCGATGCCTCACACTGTAGCATTTTAACAGCTTCTTTCTCCATTGCTTATGTATTAATAAAAAAACAAATTCCAACGAAACACACAACTCCACGCGATGACTAGACTGTGAAATGTGACATATAATTAACTATCGCATCGCTCCTACATAGTATTCTAATGTGACACAATATTCGTTATACACGTTGGTAGTAAACAAAGAAGTGAGCCAGATCACTTATACCGACTGCAAGCGAGCGTGCATTGCGTAAGCGCTTGCGGCGGCCGGACGCGCGCTCCGCTCTCCCTCCGCGACTGGCCCTGTACTGCTGTATTTTTGTTGGCATTGTGATTATGTCCCTCCTCTTAAAACATTCACGCCGTGAGTGAACAGAGAGCGGCGCGCGGGCGCACCTCGCAACTCGCACCTCGCACCGCGCTCTCCGTACAAATCTTTAGAAATACCTTCTAAGATTGTGCTTTGTGTTGTGATGACTCCTTCCTTAGCATTGTACATGAGTTTGTATGAAAGTCAACGCCATATCACTTCTAGCAATACGTTTAAAAAACTTAAAATATCCGTATTGAGTTCTAGTTTTATTAAGGGTTTATTCGCCTTAATACTTATCAGTTAGACAGTCATCTTTATCTGATTGATAAATAACTACTGATAATAGATGTAACACATTTACAATGCATTTTATAATGCATTTACTACGCTATATTATGCTCTTATTTTATATTAACTCTGCCCGCGACTTCGCCGAAGTAAGCAGCAGCAGTAAAAATTAGTAGCAGTTAAAATTATCAAACTTACCTAATTCGTAAAAATATTTTTATAAAGATTTAATTTAATAGCAAAAATGCTAATAGTCGTTGTATCAACAGGTAAATCTTTATAAATAACGGTCCTTTTGCTAGCAAATCACTTTGTCTGGTCGCATTGCAAATCATTGATATTAATTATTAATGAATTCGTCACAAAATACTTTTTCGTGAACTAATGGATGTCATTTTAAAAATAACTCACATCCAAACTAAATCATCTTTTTAATAATTTTAGGCGAGAATCGAACCCATGACTTTTACGTAAAGCAACGTAATTACTACTGCCCCATGGAAGGGAAAGGGATTGTTAGTAACGTGGACTACCAGTCCTATTGTTACCAATATACCTTGTCAGGTCGATCTACACATGGTCACCCTTAGAAACCATCGTGTTGAATTCCAGATGTATTCGTTACAATAGGCTAGCTATCCTAACTTTTCATTCTCACTGGTGCCATGCTAGCGTATAACGTTAGCGCAGGCGGGGATACCATTCCATTACCACCCATTAACAAAAAAAAACTACTGCCCCATTGAAATGGTACTTAATTTTAATTATGTTCAAATGAAATGTATGGTTTATTTTATCTAAAAAATACTTAAAAAAATAATGTTTCATTACATCCTTTCGTTCAATACACCTGTGTTATGCCCTATAAGATAAAATAGTATCAAAACTATCTGTGACAGAAACGCACACTTTTTTTTATAAGTTCTGAATAGGTTATTATGTCCATTTATAGATATTTTTATTTTTTTCTGTTTTAAATTACTACCTAACAACTTAGACATTTTAAATTACCTAGCTCCCTACTTTGATACCTAACATAGATTAAGAACAATTGTGACTTACATTAGACATTGACAAATAATATCTAATGTCACAGTAAGACAAATGTCATAAGTCATGGACTGAAGTCTACACCTGAAGCAAAATTTTGATCTTCTAGCAAACTTCCTTCATTTGAAGGTCCAATTAAAAGATTCATTTTCATTCCAGTTCAAGTCCTTGATTTTAGTATTAAATCGGCTTACATTTACAATTGACGTGAAAAATCCCTAATATTTTAACAAAATGCTTATGTCACGCCCTGTTTTTTCACGACTCTTTCAACAAACAGGTAATTAGTCGTGTATTATGCAACAGAATCGATATTGATTTTTACGCAGCGTACATTTTTATTTTAATTATTTTTTTTTTTCACTTCTTATATATTAAATACTAAATAATACGTATCTAAATGTAGTTAAAGTATTAAATTTCTAGTATGTTTCCTCTGTTATATAACAACAAAATATAACCTCAAATTATGCGAGAAAATTATTAAAGATAAATCAGTATTTTTTAATAAATATACAATTATTAACATATACCAATTGTTTTAAATTTCTTTAGACCTTGAAACATTACAGTCATAAAGATTTAGAAAAATCCATGTTAGTAAATCAGCAGTTCAGAAGCAAAAGGTGTTGCTTCTAATTAAAGTCTAGCTTTACGAAAACTAAATCCAATTATCAGCTTCATAAGTGTCTTTGTATGAACAGCACTTTTGGTTTTATCTTTGTTGTTAATTAATAAAATTGTTGATGTGTGCACAGTCCGTCGGTACCACCACGGCGACTACAAGACGCCGTCCATGGACGAGCTGCCGGTGCCGCGCGGCTCGTGGCAGGCGCAGTACGACGCCAACCAGCGCCGCTACAATGCAACACTTCTTTTTGGGGTTGCCTTCGCTGCAGGAACGATCATACTGGTGCGCCTTATGCTTATCTAGAAATATTTGCTGTAGTAATAATTATAAAATATTCTATCAGGGTACAAGATATAAGTATATTTTACAATTATTGTTCTTGTAGAAAGATTGTGTATAACATGTTTAGCCATATCTCCCATATACAAACACACAGATATACATTTATTGTGTATAAAAAAAAAACTGGCAGGAGTAAAACATGTGCCCTGAAATATTTGTAAATTTTTTGAAAATATAAATTTAAATTACTTGTCATATTACTCCGTACAGCCATTGTGAACAAACAATGAGCTTGATAAACAGTGATAGTGATTGGTAGTGTTAGTTACTGGTTATTAGCAATCAGGATGCTTTAAAGCCTCTTAATGACTTAACACCTGAAACTTATGATTTCACATAAGTTAGCTTGACAGCATAAAAACACTCCAGTAACATGCCAGTAGAGTGCATATGGCATTCTATTATAATAATTCCTGTGGTCTGTAAACACCTGACATTCTCTAGAACCTCTAGGAACATGAACTATTCATTTAACTGTAATTTTTTTTTTCTTTTTCAGGCTAAAACTTCCGGTTTAGTTTACCTGAACTACTCTCCCCCCAAATCTTTGGACTAAATAGCTGGCACTGTGATTACTATTGTACACATAGTTCAGTCATTGTGCAGTGAGTAGAGCCGCGACGCCGCGCGGTGTGAACAGGCACCTTCGTAACTAACTTGCTGCACCGCTGTGACAAAGACTGAACTATGCACATCAAATAAATAATTTGTATTTAGTAAATAAATCATTATAATTACGTTATTTTTTCTTTTATTAATTCTCCCTATAGTGACAATAGTACATTACTGCAGCAGCCAGCAACTAAGGCATTGATGGACGAACATGCAAATGTGGGCCGAGCCACACACATATGTGAGTCCATGAATGCCTAGTTGTGGCTAAGACTTGTATAGTACTTTTCTCAAACAATGCGCGGAAATCCAAAAAGGACAATTTTACTTTTTAAGTTCAATAACGAATAACGAACAATAATAATTTTTCACGCACCATAATGTTCCTTTGTTTTTTTTTTTTCAATAAACAGCTTTATATTTGCAAGCCAGTTCGAAATTGAAATAAAACATTTTATTAGTTACCTCCTTGGTAGCCATGTTTCGAAGTAAAAGGTCATTCCATTTTTAAATTACAGGACAGATATGAGTTTACATAGTAATTTATCTGGCCGCAAAACACAACAGATATGAATTTTCATACAACTTTTGCCGGCCACTGCCCGCATGTATCTGGCCAGTACGGCAATTTTGATTTATCTTTTCCAAGCATGTTTGAGAAAAATAAGTATGCACTGTGTCATCATTTATCTTGGATTTCAAGTAATTTTTAGAGTAATAAAGCACAAGATAGCAGTGTAGTGGACTAGTTGAAATAAACTCCTATATTTAACCATCATGGTCTAATAATATCCTCGTCTTCAGATTGAGATTTGTTGAAATAAATGGAGAAACAGTTTTGTTATTTTCTTTTGCCTTTTTAACTTCTGATTTTTTCTAAAATACTGATCTTCCATTTAATGATATAAAATGATACACAGATATGTTCATATTGTTCTATATTACAAAATTTACATAAAGACGATATAAAAATATAACTTATAACATAAATAATAGTTATTATACATTAAACAGGGCAACAATACTTTTAACTGTAAACAATCTTAATAGTCCGTAATAGGTAGTAACGATAGTAACCGAGAAACACTCAGTTGTACTGCGGTCTTTTACATTATTGGGTACGTAAATTACCGATGAAATTGGTTGAAGATGCGTTGTGAACCGGTAGAGGGCGCATCGTGTGGCGGCGCGGGGCCTCTAGTGCTCGCGCGCGATGTCGGAGAAGGCGTCGAGGATGTCCTGCGTGGACAGCGGCAGCGCCAGCCCCGCGCCCGGGTAGCACGCCGCGATTCGCGCCTGCGCACACACCATACACTCGCGCCCATTACCACCACCACCACGCACTACTGCCGCGACTCTAATATTCGTCACATCGACCATACACTACACGAACACTGAGATTTCATTCTCAAGAGTCAGAATGGCGGCGCACAACTGACCACTGCCAGTGGCGGGGCCTAAATTGTTTCTAATGTATTTAATGATCTTACATGTTGTATTAGACCCTCCCATGATACTAAAATACGATTTAAAAAACTTAAAGCGTAAAATTTTAAAAGTAAATCTACGGCATCCATGTCATGTACGTGTTGCGCCAACTCTGAAGCACCCATGTGTGTCTTAGTGCATACTTTGTTATCCACAGTGCTGTTCGTTCTTATATCGGCTACTATTTTCAATCAGGTGGGGGGAAAGGGATTGTTAGTAACTGTTCCTTTGCTAGCAATGCAAGATGCAGATCAGGTCGTCCTTTGCGTGGTTCATGAAAACCGTCGTGATTGATTTATTAATAAATTCGTTGTAGTGGGCTAACTGACTCGCTCGATCCTCACCTATCATCCCTCTCTGGTACCAAGCCTGTGTGTACAACGTTACGTACGTTATAACTTTCACCAGGCGGTCAGCTTGTTCACCTTGTGTCAGTTGGCTATGGTATGTGGTGTGTGGTGTGACCTGCAGCGCGAGGTGCTGCGCGAGGAACTCCTCCTGCATGGCGCGCCACACGACCTGCAGCAGCCCGCCCTCCTCGCTCAGGTGCTTCTCCACCGTGCGGTACAGCCGGTGCAGCGACTTGCGCACTGCGGCAACCACGCGGGCATCGTTACATACTCCGAATTAAAAATCACATTGCAAATCCAATTTAAAAAAATCGCTCAATTAACAGTGATTTTTTTTTTAGATGTGTCCGTGGACGAGCGAGACTAGGATTTACTAGTAAACAGCAGAGAGTTCCGTCTCATGCGTGCTGTTGCAATAACAGAACTATCGATAAATTACACTCGTCCAGGAGGGAAGTCCTATAAAAAGCTATATAAGCAAGCAGCGAACTGATGTAAAGAATTTTTGATTTGATTATATGGGCTGCACTTCATTTTAAATAAAACCCTGCGAAGCCAAACCAGTTCGCTAGTATTATTTATTTATAAAAATATATTTATGTTTCTCATCCATTATATCGAGTATTTTAGTCCTTCGAGCCAGGTTCAAACTGGTCTGTATTATAATCAATGGATCGATGGATACGGAGAAGAAGTAAATGTAATAATGTTATTTAAGTGAAAAGTTTGTTTAGTGTATGTGTAAATAAAATAAAAATGAATAAGTAATATAGAAAGCGGCGGTCACCCTCGTGCTCGGGGTACATGGCCAGCAAGCGGCGCAGCTCGTGCTTGCTGAAGGCGGCGCGGTAGCACACCTCGTCCTCGCGTACGCCCGCCGCCACCGCCTCCGACACGCCCTGCGCGCGGCCATCGTTGATCAAACATTCACTGAATACTAAGTACTTGTGTAAAGTATAATAAAACTTAACACGTAGCAGGTAATTAGGTTTTTTGTAGATGTCAATTAAAGTAAACAGGGAGGGAGTAAAACCTGTAGAAACCATAGTGAATAATTCTTGTTGAATTCGTCACGATGGGCTAATTGACCTGTAATTACTACCAATTAAAAAAAAAATACGAGAATAAACCATGTTACGAGAACTAGTACTTTAAAAGTTATTTATACAATAGTAGATCAATTTATCTACAATCTACTACTACTGTACTACTGGCAATCGTGAATAGACTATTACTATATATATTATCGTAATAGTAAGGAGAGCGCGGGAGAGCGGAGGGCGAGGGTGGCGGCGGGGAGGGTGTGGTGTTGGCGAGGGCGGCGCACCTCGAAGAACTGCGTGAGCTTCTCGAGCGGGCGGCCGAAGTACTGCGTGACGTAGGCGCGCAGCGCGTCGGCGTAGCGCGCGCGGCAGTCGCGGCGCAGCGCGTCCAGCGCCGGCACGCGCAGCGCCGCCAGCAGCGCCTGCAGCCGGTGGAAGTTCTCCAGCTGCAGCACGGCGCGCGGCGTGCGCGGGTGCGACGCCAGCTGGATGGCCTGCGCCATGCCGCCGCCCAGCGCCGCGTACCAGCGGTCCAGGTCGGCGCGCCGCCCGCCCGCCGCGAAGATCGCCTCGCACTCGCCGCTCAGCTGCTCGAACTCCTGCAGGAAGCTGAACAGCCCGCACTTGGGCCGCCGCGCCGCCTGCGCACGCACACGCACTCTCGCACACTGTACGCCACTCTTACAGGAACTCGAACGGATGCACACTCTATATACACTTTCTATGCTATGCTCACACTATCCCCGGCTGGACAGAACATTAGGGAAGTACAGAAACGTGTTTGACCTTATGTCACACATATTTTATAGTAATACCGTACCTCACTCGTCTCCAAACTTTCATCTTACAGTACAAACACGCACACATTCTCGCATACTACTAGCAAATACGCAAACGTATGTTGCACTTAATTCAGTATATACTGAAAGCATATATATTCAGTATATCTGGAAGCTGGAGCGCTTGGATGTCAGCTCAGTTCTCCTGAGTTGGTTTGAAGGCGGGCTACGAGAGCGGTCAACGACTCCGAGTTCACAGGCGGTATCGAAGTTTTCAGTCTAAGATGAGACTTTGTCTTCCCTTGTGTGCTTTCCCAGTCGTATAACGGATGTATTCCGAGAAGTTAAACAGGGGATTGATCCTCCCACACCGGATCGTCTAACACGAGCCGGCCGCGCGGCGATTGCATACCTGCTTGACGGCGTCGGGCAGCGCGGCGAGGCGCTCGGCCACGCAGCGGTCGGCGCCGCGCTTGGCCGCCACCGCCGCGCCCGCCAGCGCCGCGCGGGCCCACCGCGCCTCGCCGCCGCCACCAGCACCAGCGCCAGCACCAGCACCAGCACCGCCAGCACCAGCACCAGCCGCGGCCGCCTCGCCCAGCACGCGCCGCCCCACGCACGCCAGTGCGCGCATCGCCCCGCTGCAACAGAACGCGCTGCAAGTCTAACCGATTGTTCGATATGAAAGCTTTTTTAATAAATATTTAATGGCATGGTAACCTCGCCTGCGCTGTCAGCACACGCTCATACTGGCGGGCTATCAGTGAGAATGGAAGCAGGTCAGTTGGCCCATCGCAAATACATAAATAAAACACAAAAAGAATTAACCAGGACGGTTTTCAAGGGAAACCGCGTGGAAGTTGTCCAGACAGAATATATTAGTCCCCTCTAGAAACTATCGTGATTGGAGGGAAAGGGATTGTTAATAATGGGGTTTTATTAGCGTAGACAACCTCGATGGTAAAAATATTCTTTTTTATTTTTGACATTCTATCGTAGTGCGCTCGTCCACTAGTAACATTTGAGGACCGATGTTTTTTTATATATTATTTTATTAAGCTTTCTCCAACAAATTTAACAGCCTCACTGGTAACAATACCCTATCAGGTGGAACTCCACGCGGAAACCATCGTGGTTAGTTACTGTTGTATTCATCACAGTAACCAACTGACCTGTTTCGTCACCACTTGTCACCCCTTACTATTGCCCTGCCAACATATACAGTATATATAGCGCAGGCGGGGCTATAATTTCATTCGTAGTGAAAACGATGCTGTGGAGCCCGCCCGTGGTGTGGTGGTGTGGTGGCGCGGCCGCGTACTCACTAGGGGTCGTGGCGCTCGACGTGGCCGACGAGCGCGACCAGGTCGTGCTCGAGCGCGGGGAACAGCTCGGCCAGCAGGCGGCGCGAGTCGGCGCCGGGCCGCCGCTCGCCGCCGTCGCTGCGTTCGCTGCGCTCGCCGTCGCTACCGTCGGCCTGCAACACGCGGCGGCGTCAGATCCTGCCGGCGGCAAACCATCCCAACCCGCCCCACCCCGCCTGACTACCTTCACGTCTACGTCCAGGTGGAAGAACTGCGCGCAGAAGTCCTGCTCAGCGTTGCAGATGGTCTCGACGGTGGTCAGCACCTGGAATGATAGGGACGAGTGAGTACACAAGACGGGGGTGCGGCATCGACAATCATTCCGAGGTGCAGCTGTTTGTATCCCTATTAAAATTTGTATATTCTGAGAACCGACTCGACCTGAACAAGATAATATTTTAGGATTACAACAGGAACGATTTAAAATGTAGTTCTCAATGATTCGTAACTTTAAAATTTTATTAATGTCATTTTTTTTTATCCATTCACTGTTTGCGCGCAGAATAGTTGATCTTTGAATGTTGCCAGTCGCACGCATACTAATGGTAACAGAATTAAACAAAATCATTCTAATCAAGTAACTAGTAATAAAATTTTTCGAGAAAACATATAAATATAAAAAAATTAAATTCGGGCGCGTGTAGTGCTGCGGGGGGCGGGGGGCGGGGGGCGGTACTCACGGCGTCCAGCAGCGGGTCGGCGCGCGTGTAGTGCTGCGGGGGGCGGGGGGGGCGGGGGGCGGTACTCACGGCGTCCAGCAGCGGGTCGGCGCGCGTGTAGTGCTGCGGGGGGCGGGGGGGCGGGGGGGCGGGGGGCGGTACTCACGGCGTCCAGCAGCGGGTCGGCGCGCGTGTAGTGCTGCGGGGGGCGGGGGGGCGGGGGGGGCGGGGGGCGGTACTCACGGCGTCCAGCAGCGGGTCGGCGCGCGGGGGGGGGGGGGGGGGGGGGGGGGGGGCGGGGGGCGGTACTCACGGCGTCCAGCAGCGGGTCGGCGCGCGTGTAGTGCTGCGGGGGGCGGGGGGCGGGGGGCGGGGGGCGGTACTGCGTGCGGGGGCGCGCGGGGGCGGGGGGCGGGGGGCGGGGGGGCGGTACTCACGGCGTCGGCGCGCGTGTAGTGCAGCGGGGCGGCGGGGGGCGGGGGGCGGGGGGCGCGCGGCGTCCAGCAGCGCGGCGCGCGGCGGCGCGGCGCGCGCGGCGCGCGCGCGTCGCGCGCACCTCGCGCTCGTACACGCGCGCCCACGTGCTCGTGTACACCTGGCGGCGCACACTCACTGTTAGCCTGATTCCCCACTATAGTGCCATTCTATTTGTTCTTACTCCGTTCTCGGTCTAGTAAATTATTATTTGTGAAACAGCATACGTCTTTACACTAAAATCTAGTACCGACTAACAATATTGAGAACAGATCGAGAGCCCCTCCCTACCGCGGAATCTTCGCCAGGAGCCCCAGATACACCCACACACCGCATACACCATCCCCACCGACAGGGGCGAAGACCACTCATCGCAACACACGTTCCGCGCGCGATCAGATTTGTACCCGAGCGCATCCCCCGGCCCCGACTCCCCACTCATCACGACGTACCGACCCTTCGCCGTCCCTAGACAGGGGTCGAAGTGCAGTGGCCTAAGCCGAGGTCCGAGACACTCTGGCACCCTTGAGCGCACGCTACAGTCCATAAGTAAGAGCTGACGCGTCTTCTCCTCTCGCGGGATTGGAGTTCCGTCTGCACTCGTCCCTGCACACGTGTATGGTGAAGTTGTAAAGGCCATCTGCGGCCAACAGGATATACAGTTAGAAAAAAAAAGAACAGATCGAGAGTGACACTGTGAATGCTGGTGTCCCGCAAGGCTGTATACTATCTCCGACTCTGTTTTTTCTGCATATCAATGATATGTTACAGATCGGTAATATTCATTGCTATGCAGACGACAGTACAGGAGATGCATTATATACCGGTCATGCAAAGCAGTTTGTCGTATCTCCTCACTCTCAGGGCACTTCCCTTGATAAAAAGTCGAGTCTAGAAATTCTGGGCGTTGATATATCTTGCGACGTCCAGTTTTGCGGTCATCTGGAGGAGAAAGCTAAGATAGCTTCCAAAAAGTTAGAAGTGCTCAATAGGGTGAGATGGTATTTCATGCCGGAACACCGCCTGAAATTATATAAAGCTCAAGTCAGGCCGCATATGGAATACTGTTCTCACTTATGGGCAGGAGCGCCACAGTACTAACTCCTTCCGTTAGACCGCATTCAAAGTCGGGCAGCTCGAATTATTGATAGTTAACGCCTTACTGTCCGACTTGACCCACTGAAACTGTGCAGAGATGTTGCATCTTTGTGCATCTTCTACCGAATTTATCATGGGGAGTGTTCTGAGGAATTGTTCGGATTGATACCTGCTGTTGATTTTCACCACCGTACAACCCGCCACAAACTAAAGTCTCATCCCAATCATCTGGACAAGTGACGGTCTTCCACCATGCGTTTTTCAAGGCACTTTCTTCTGGTGTTGTGGGTGATCATGGGCGGCGTTAGTTACTTACCATCAGGTGAGCCGTATGCTCGTTTGCTCCGTGTTGTAAAAAAAAAAATAAAAAAATGAAAATCCGACGTTATATAACTGGAGTAAGCTAGATTCGCTTGCACAGAACAAGATCTCTTATATAATGTCTCATAATACACCGGGAATTTAAAGCTATGTATATTTTATATTTATTTATTTAAATGTATAGTAAGTTTTAAAAAACAGTTTACAAAATCCTGATTCCCAAAATAATTCTCTCCTTATACACAAAAACTTAAACCTGTTTTACCTTTTGAAATGTTTTGTTACTTCTTTTTAAATATAATAATAAATTAAGAATTTGAAGCAAAGACGTAACATGTCACACTTGATATAAAATAGGAAGCAGAAACTGGAATTGGGAATAAAACAAATTCCGTGGCGCAGTGGCCAGCGCATACTTTTTCGAGAGCGTCGAAGGCTTTCTCGTCCATGTCCTTGAGCCAGCGCATGAACGGCGCGTACGGTAGTAGCTCGGCGTGATGGCGCTGCGCCGCGCCGCCCGCCGTCGCCTCGTTGCCCAAGTGGATCAGCATGTTGTTCACGTGTCGCGCCAGCGCCGCCGCCAGCTGTCACGAACGCAAGTAACAACATACAAGTATGATGATTCGTGCGACCGGGAAATCGTCAGAAGCAGGAGACGCAAACGTTGTGAGTCACCTGGTCACGGGCGCGCGCCAGCCGCCGCAGCCGTTCGCGCACGGCGCCGAGGCGGCGCCGCGCCGCCGGCTGGTCGGGCTCGGCGCGCAGCGTGGCTCGCAGCGCCTCAGCCGTGGCCAGCGCGCGCTCGCGGCCCGCGGGCGTGGCCAGCGCCGCGTCGGACGGCGGCTCGAGCGAGCGCAGCGCCGGCGGCTCGAGCCAGGCGAACGTGGCGGCCAGCTCGGCCAGCAGCGCGCGCGCGGCGTCGTCGGCGCGCGCGGCGGCCGAGCGCGCCGGGCCGGCGGCGGCGCCGCGCGCCTGCGCCAGCGCGTCCAGGCGCGCGTGGCGGCCGCCCAGCGCCGCGCCGGCCGCCAGCCCGGCCGCCAGCCGCGCCGCCAGCCGCTCGCCCGCGCCGCCCTCGGTGGCGGCGGCCAGCATGCCGCCCACGTTGAGCGCGTCCAGCCGCGCGGCGCGCTCGCCGAGCCGCCGCACGCGCTGCTCGGCGTCCGCGTCCTCGGCGTCGCCGTCCTCGAGCAGCGCGCCCAGCGCCGCGTCCGTCGGCGCCGCGCCGATCTCACTGTCGTCGCTCATCGCGACCTGCGAGTACGCCGCCACGATTTCATCATACCGTTAGTAATGAGGTGGTCAGTCCCCATTGCTAGCAACATACTCTGTCAAGTAGACCTCCATGCTATCTACTCTGATATCATCACAGTTATCATAGTGTCGTTTCACTGGTGCTTTTGTAATAATACATGATAATAAATGAAAATAAAATCAGATCCCCTAGAAACCATAGTAATTAGTTCTTGATGAATTTGTCACAATCGACCACTCCATGCACTGTGACAAATTGATGAAAAATGTGCAAATGGAAACAGGTTTATACTGTCATCTCCAACTGGTCCTGTGTTAGTATAAATCAACAGCACATTTCTGTGCTTCCCTTCCAGGTTACAGAACTATTACTATCCATTAAAAATAGATATAAACAGATTTAATTTTGAACTCACTCACTGTATAGTATCTCAAAACATCAAAAAAAACACAACTTATTTACAAAGTCATTTATTTAATGAAACAATTTTTTCTGATTTTATTTTTACATTACATATCACTTGGCATGTTAGAAATAAAAAAGAAATTTCTATCCATATATACTGTTCAAAATTATTAAATAAATTTCAGAGTTAATTTCAAATGCTATTTAATTGACAACACTTGTTTTCTTACTGTTAAAAATATTATTTCATTGACATTGCCACTCACATCTATACAAGTTTGGTCTTTGCTTTCCATTTCCCGGTACACAATTATTTCTTCTTGCTTCATGATTATTCAGTTTGACCGCCTCAAATATATATCGGCCGTAGGTATCGTACTGACAGGTAGTCCTGTAAACAAAACGAAAAAAGCTAATAATCACAGCACAGTTTTGTTACAGGATCAATCAGCGACTCAATCGGATAGCTGTCTATGTTTATTTTTTGTGAATTATCAAATAATTGTAGAATTTTAATTGTTTCGTATGTTAATCAATTAAAATTTTACTAAGTACACAAAAAAGACATAATCAACCTGTAATTAAATTTTAGGACCTTAAAGTAGCTACTATTCTTTATATACGCACGATTCATAGAATATGCGAACAGTATAAAGAAAAAAAAACAATATACAATACCTAAAAACAATTTTCAACTTTAAGAAACAATTCTGTGATATTATTTACTTGAAATTGACAAGAACGTCTACATCATAGTATACATTTCTACAAATGTCAAATGTCAACTTAAGTACAACATTTTTTTGTAATGTATTAACGGTGAATTCTGACGCTTGATACTTTCAACTCCGACGAATATCTAAGGTATGGATGAAATAATTTCCTCCTCATTTATGACAAACTAATTGTAACTTATGACTAGGTTGTATAGGCAATGCTCTTGCCTGTTTTTGTCTTTGGTTTTTGGACGCATTTTAAAAGAACAACGACGACTACATCAATATAACTAGGTTGCTTTGCCGATATAAAAAAAAAGTATCAAGTTAACACGGTAACACCAGATTTCTTAAGGTGACAGAGCAAGTAAAAAACCTAGGTATAGGATTTCAGAATGTTATTTCTTGTTATTAAGCCTAGTAGTTAAGAAAGTTAATTTTGAATATGGTCACACTGAATATAACCTTAAATTTTTACTGTCATTTATTCATTGTTTCATCACTTTGTCCTTTATTTTTATTTCCTTTTCAAATACGTACTTAATTGAAATTAAATATAATTAACAAATTTTTTATTGTTAAAATAGGTATTTTATTTCATTCAATTATTACTGATTTTGCTCTCACTCAAAATGTCAAAAAGCGGACCTAATAAAAGCGGTAGTAAAGGGAAATCAAATGAAGAAATTTTTGCCGGACTACAAAACTTGCGTACAGAACAGAGGCAATTAGCAAACAAAATATCTGAACTTGAAATGGATCTTAATGAACACAAGTGAGTTCTCCGATTTGTTCTGAATGGGTTAACAGGTGTGCCCGTGCCGAGGCTTGTTATTATATCAATTTGTACATTATTAACAAGTTTAAAAGGATACTCAATCCTTTATTGTTCCTTTACATACCCCTATATAGTTACACCCGTTAGCTTGTTGATAATTTACTTTTTTTTTATATTTATGATTGATGATTAACAATGTGTACGTTGACAGGACAGTGATCGACACTTTACGTGAAGTGGAAGGGGCGCGCAAATGTTTCCGTATGGTCGGTGGCGTTCTCGTGGAGCGCACAGTAGCAGATGTCCTGCCTGAACTAGAGAGCAACCGTGAGCGACTCCCTAAAGCACTACAAGCATTACATGAACAACTGGCGCGAAAAGGACAAGAAATTAATGAATACATAGAAAGCCATGATATCCATATACACCGTGGAGAGCGGCCTCCCCCCACGGCCGATACCGCACCCGACCAGCCCTCCAAATCCAATGTCCTTGTCGCCAGTGGTTGACATCTGCACATGTGTTAATTTGTATAAATAAAGCTTTATACTTAGGTTTAATAAATATTACAATTATGCTTTATTATGTATTGTTGCTATAATAATTGTAATGAATAAAATTGGCCTATTTCAATAGAATCTAATAAAAACTTAAATGATTAATGGAACGACTATAAGGGGGACTGGTGAATGTAGTACAAATCAAGAGTCAATGGATACTAATTTCAGATCTTTTCATTTAGAAAGTGTATGATAATTGCTACAACATTTATTAGTTATTATTATTGAATGACAAGCTTCTTCAGGCAAAAATATCTTAATGCTGCAACCTTTTGCATGCATGATCTTTTTTGCTTACCTTTTTTTTTATAGTTTGCAACAAATTTCTATCAGTGATAGGAATTTTAAGATGTTATTTGTAGCTATATTTGGGTTACTCTTTCATTAAATTCTATTGAAACAGACTATAACTGTTTAATTTTTGTGTGATGCTGATATTTATTAACTACATTTGTATGGAGCAAAATTGCAAACAATAATATTGCTATTAAGTTTTATATGAACTTCTTTGTGGCATTAAATTCCTAACAAATTATTAATGAATAAATAATATAATCAAACAAGTTATTTACATTTTGTGTTCAGTAAGAAAAATCTTTAAAAGTAGATACTTATTAACATCTATCCTTAAAAGTAATAACTTTTATTCATCTTTATGTATTTTTGAATAGTCATTGTTTATTTGAATGCAGTCCCGTGTGTCCTGACATAGAATGGGCACCTCTTTCCCATAGACGTCCCGTAGGCGACTAGGGGAGCTTATAATCAGGGGACGGGCAACAGTGTCTCTCTTAAAATGTCTCTAAAAGCCTAACTGCGGTTGCCAACTTACCTGCCAAGCGTAGCAACTACTGGCAATGTTCCCTTATGAAGAAGGCTTATGTTCAGCAATGGACAGATAACGGCTCAAATGATAAAAGATTTTTTTTATCTTTATGTAATTAGGGACTTTTGTCTTTTTAGGCACGTCAGTCCCATCGTACCTTAATCAATTTTAGGACATCATTGGATATATTTTAACAAAATATAATTAAATTCAAAAGACACCACCGATAAAAGATTTGAATGCAATTTCTGCTGAGAATAGGCAAGAAGCTCAGCTGTTGCTTTTTAAATGTTATAAAAAAAAGAATCAAATCTGTTACAATGATTCGAGTACACCAGTCTCCAATATCAGAACCAGTTCACTAGTATGATGGATTATCACAGTAATAGAATTAACAGTGTTGAATATGAAACCACTGAATCACATGAATTTTCTTGAATATAAGGTGTTCCAAGTATTGTGTTATTTCAGATTGTTAATGATTATTGACTTTAAATTTGTTTTTTAATTGAGAATACTCTTACCTTGGTATAATTCTTTTTGAGGATAAAAATAGAATGGTAACCTCACCCCACCTTTGCTATCTGTATACGATGGAGGGGCACCAGTTAGATGAAAGGTGAGATTGAAAGCAACCACGCATTTACCGAGAATTATCCACAACGTGTAATAGACGGAACCATATGGAGATCGACCTGATAGAGTGCGTTACCAGCAATGTGGCACTGTTTGAACCCCTTTACTAACAATACCTTTCCTCCTTATAACTTTGGTTCATATTAAAGGTGACGGAGTCTAACAAAACTAGACAGTATCGGGTTTTAACTACCTCAATAACTTACTAGGCAGATATTTGGCTATTTTAAAGGTTTCATAGGAAAAAATGCAAAAGGAATCCTTATAGTGCGATTTTGTCTGTCCGTTTGTAAACGCTGTATCTCGACAATTATACACATTAAACAATCAAATAAAATGTCCCCTTTGTAAAAATATTTATTCAATAACATAGCACCAAAAATATAGTTACCAAATTATTAACACAGTATAAATCGGCCAACTTTCTTATTCATTTATTTAATAGAAACAGTCTTACCAATATTCATAAACAGATACCACTTTCTAAATCAACACGATCGAGAAAAGCAATGATCAAAGTAAGTAAAAGCTTTTTACCGAGTGCTTGGACATTCGAAGATTTTCAGATCAGTAAAAAGCATCTACCTACTATTAAAACCCTTTCACAAAAAGGAGTGCAGATAATTTTTTTTTTACTTTTTAAAGGTCCAGTTTACAAAATGTTAATTTCAACAATACCCAAGTACGTAGGTATATAATCATTATAAAACTATACTGTTGTAACTATACTTAATTATGTTGTCTCGTTCCATCAGCCGTAACTCGTGAAGTATACGAATGCTGCTGTTCATGTCTATAGGCGACGGTAACCACTGAGGCACCATCCAGTGAATTATCAGTTTGTTTGCTATTTCCAGTGTATAAAAATTTTTAATGAAATGCGGTTGCATTATATAAAATACTATGGTATTTATTCATAATTAAACAATATTATAAATGGTACACCACACAGTACGTACCATTCTCTTTTCAAAATTTTATTACCGGCGCTCGTGTCTCATTAATTACGGCGTAAAACGCCGCAAAGTGTACGTACGCCAAGTGTAAAGCGTGACAGATGCTGAAGGACAAACAATAAGTACCTATCTTTGGAACAAATACGTAGAAGTCAATCATTTATTTATAAGTACGTTATTAAAGGGGCGGAGGGGGGGGGGGGCTAGTCCCTTAAGAAAGAGTAGATTACTCCTAGACAAGTCTTTGCCCACGAAATGCTTCGTTCTTGATTCTGGGATGTACCCCTGATACACGCATAGGTAATACACACACAACTGTGTTACAACCTCGTGCATAAATATTCATAGGCTCCTGTCACTTTCATGTTTTTAGTTATTCAAACACAATGTAGTATTGTTGCGAATAAATGAAAAAAAAATCTACCTAAAAATAGATGGCTGTATACGTGAAATTGTTACCGTGCATGTTAAGCAGTATTAAAATCGTGTTCAAGTATATTTAATGTATTAATGTTTCTTTAATTTAACGTAGTAGCAACGTCCTGTTCGTGTTATCAGAAGCATTAGCGCTTCCCGCACACAACGCTATACTATCCGGACACATTTGATCCGTTGAAAACATTTCGTGTGCCTACCTATATATTTATAGGTTTAATTCTCAGATGTTGTAAATAATAAATAAATTCTAAACTATTTCTGAAACAAAGAAAACATATCAAAATAATGGAAACCGATTTAAATGTTACCTCTACAACTTGATACTAATGCATTCCTACATTTGTGCATGTATATTACCTACAATTAGTCGGTTAACGTATATCAACCCGGAACCCTGAAACTGTGATAGAAGCGAGACTACTTTCCCCAGTTCCTCAGAACAAGATCAAAGTAATTATATTCGTCGTACAGAATACAAACGCTGCCGTGACACGCCTGAACGAGCCTCGTTACATGTTGAACAGTACGAGACAGCGCCGCTCGTCAACAGCACAGCTCATTAACCAGTTAGCAAACACATGCGCCGCTGCACAGTGCACCGAACACTTGCGCAATATTACTTATAAATAAAGATATTATGTAATAATATCACTTCATAGACAATTATTCTCTTTTTTATAAAGAGATGGTATAAAAATATATATTGTATCTTATCGAGACAGGGAATGTATCTAGAACACCTAGGAGTTGCTACCGAACTCGTCACGGGATTATCTCTGACGATCCAAATGTGAATACTAATGGTTGCTTAACAACCAATTCAACGTGGAATCCCTTCCGTAATCTAATCGAAAATATCAAATTTATTTTGTACGATGCGAGTTCTCTAGGTGTACAGGTCGCCGGCTGTACCTGGACTTTTTTTTAACATACAAACACGTATTACATCACATTTAAGAAAATATTAAATCACAAAACCATTGCTTATTAACGAAAACTACGGGGTCGCGTCGACTCGACGCGATTATTTTTTCGCCCGGTGCGCCGTCCCCGTCAGAAGTGCGTCAAGTTCGTGGGAACGTATGTCTCGCCGGCGTCGAGCTGTCCGCGGCGCCGCGCCGCCTCGCGCAGCCGCGCGCTCACCGCCTCCCGCGGCTCGGCGCGGCCGCGCCGTCCGCGCCGGCCGGCGGCTCGGCCCAGTCGCCGCTCGCGCCGCCCGTCTTGCGCACGACGCGCAGGTCGGTGAGGCGCATGCCGCGGTCCACCGCCTTGCACATGTCGTAGAGCGTGAGCGCCGCCACCGCGCAGCCCACCAGCGCCTCCATCTCGGCGCCGGTGCGCGCCGTCACGCGCACGTCGCAGCGCACCACCAGCGCGCCGCCGCCGCCGCCGCCGCCGCCGCCGCCGCGCGGCAGCGACACGCGCACGCGCACCGCGTCCAGCGGCAGCGGGTGGCACAGCGGGATCAGCTCGGCCGTGCGCTTCGCGGCCAGCACGCCGGCCAGCTCGGCGGCCGCCAGCGCGTCGCCCTTGGGCAGGCGCGCGTCGCGTAGGAGCCGCAGCAGGCGGCCGCCCACCACCAGCCGGCACTCGGCCGCGGCGGCGCGCGCCGTCACCGGCTTGCCGCCCACGTCCACCATGTGCGCGCGGCCGTCCGCGTCCAGGTGCGTGAAGGCGCCGCCGCCGCCGTCGGCCGCGCGCGTGCAGTAGCCGCGCGCTGCGAACGTCCCCACAGAGCCGCGACGGCGGGCGAGGAGGGCGGCCGCGGCCGCTAGCCGCCTATGAGAATCATCGGGCGGTTGTCCATGCGCGCGAGATTGTCCATACCTAGAGAAACAACGGGCAGCGTGACAGCGGCGGCGCACGCGGCGCACGCGGCGCACGCGGCGCACGCGGCGGGCCGGCGACGCGGCGGCGCGGTACGTACCGGCGTGGCGCGGCCGCTTGCGCTGCAGCGCGGCGCGCACGAGGCGGCGCAGCGCGGCGTCGTCGGCCGGCGCGCCCGCCTCGCCGCGCAGCGCCGCGCGCAGCGACACCTCCGCCGCGCCGAACAGGCACACCTGCGCACGCGCACCACACCCACCGCGACGTTAACACAAGAACCACACCGAGTACCAGTCGGAATCACGCCGCGAGGTTTCAATACACATTAAAATAAAAATAAAACTACACAATTGTCCAGGACGTTCGAGTGCCACGTAAAACAATTTTTGACCATCCCTCCCTCCGTGTAACATGCCGTAACAATTCTCATCTGTACTTCCGTACTTTACAAATCGACTTTACAGTAAATATTCACAACACTAACAAATACTGACAACGAAAACTAAATATAAATGACGTACAATACAATCGAAGGATTCCCCGTAAAACATAAACAAAAAGGGTTGCCAACTTGGGCGATTTTAATTCCCTAGCTTTTTATTAAATGAATCGACAATGTTACGTAACGCGTTGTTTGAACCCTCCTCTCGCCCCTGTAACGGATCGTAACATTTTATAAGACTCCACGCGATCCTGAGAAAAAGGGTCTTAACAGATGGACAACACAGTGATGTTATAAAAGTTCGATTTTCCTTTTGAGATACGAAACTTAAAAATAGCAGAAGCCGATCGATGGTCTTACTCATCGATTTTGACAAAAAAAGTCGACTACTCGAGGTACCTTGAGGTTGCCGTCGGCGGTGATGCGAAGGCGATTGCATGAGCTGCAGAAGTTCTGCGTCATGGACGAGATAAAACCCACCGAGCCTGCGTAGCCCGGCACGCGCCACACCTGCCAGCACAGGGGCATTACACCTTAATCCTCAGGAATGGCAACGCATGTAAAGTAAAGCATGTACGATACAGTATATTCTGTTGTGTCCATTATAATATTCATGACTAAAGACGACGATTACCATTTACCATCAGGTGAGCCGTTAGCTTCTGTTCCATCTTAAGATGTATAAAAAAGAACTTGGTCCACCCACACCTTAACAAGCTGGACTACTAGTTGCTGTACCACCTAAATAATCATTTTAGATAAAAAAAATCTAAATTCGTGTTGTGTGCGCGTGCGAGTGTGTGTACGTGCGTGCGTGTGCGTGTGTGCATGCGTGTCGGTGTGCGTGTGCGTGCGCGTACGGTGGCGGTGTCGTGGAGGCGCGGCGGCTGCGGCTGCAGCGCGGCGTGGCGCGCGCGCACCGCCTGCAGCGCCTCCCGCTGCGGCACCATCCGCGAGTCGTCCCAGCCGTTGCCCGAGAACGGCATGAACTCGATGAACCTGCCGGCGCACATACCACATACCACGTCACTCCCTGACTCAATTTAGTACTCCACCGCCATACCGTGACATTTGAATTGTATAATAGCCTACGACCTAGCCGACACCGCACACGTACGTACATTCCAGAATCAAACATACAATTCGGCCGGATCAGCGGCGCATTTAGATGATTGAACAGATGTATTTGTCTCTACTAACGACATCCGACTCAACTATACATTTATCAATATTTAAGTAGGTATTCTTTTTTCTAAGTATATGTCGAAAGTATTATTATTCAAAATATCAGCAAACAATAGTCAGATACAACTGTAGAAAATAAACGGATACAATTATCGTGCATTGCATTGAAAGGTGACCTCGCAGCTCGCGTACCTACTGATTTAATAAGTAGCCGCCCGAACATTCGTTGATGTTATTAGTTACGGCTCAAGAAAATTGGATGCATTACTCGTATCATCAAACTGGACAGATTAATAATTTTCCACGGGGACACTTCCTGATGTTTTAGGCACATAATTTGAGGGACTTTTAAATTTTTACGTTACGAATACGAAATACAATAACAATATTCGTCACGCTAGTTCGCAGTGTGCTTGAGTACTGTCCATCAGTGTGGTCGCCAATTTATTCTGTACATGAGGACAGAATTGAGTCGATCCAAAAAAATTTTTTACGTCATATCACAAAAAAATATGCCAACAAACGTGTATTGACATGCTATGAGAATAGACTCAAACATTTTAACATGAAGAATTTGGTTGCGCGTCGTAAAATTATTGATCTGACATATTTATATAAAATTGTAAATAATGAATTGGAGGGTAATTTATTGGAGTACATAAACCTGAGAGCCACTGAACACTCTTCTCGTACAACTAAACTCTTTTCTATACCACTGTTCGCAAACAATAATGTGTCATATAATAATCCAATATACAGAATGTGCAAATTGTACAATGACATTGATTGTAAATCGGATATTGACATATTCTATCAGAAATGTTCATTGTATCGAAGCACTTTACATACATTGATAACCTAATAGTTTATAAGCATAGTTTGGTAGTTTTGTTTTTGATTCTTGTTTTGTATCTAGTTTTTATCATTAATTCTTTTTGTAGTAAAAATCAACGTATTCTGTTTCATCTCTGTGAATGTTGAGTACAACTATAATTGGACTGCAAACTTATAATGCTATTGTTGTATTCTATTGGTAAAACTTTTGTTTGTAATCTGTTGATATACCACAGAAATAAAAATAAAAATAAAATAAAATATGATATGAGAAGAAGACTGTCCCTCAGGCTGGTACGGCTTGGATGGCGATCGTGCAAGATGGAAGCCTTCGTCACAGACTATGATTGTTGACTAATTGATTGATCGGTTGCCAACCTGCCTGCCAAGCGTGGCAACTATTGGTAAAACCCCCCCTTATGGGGGGGGGAGGCCTGTGTTCAGCAGCAGGCAGTTAATGGCTGGTATGGTGATGATGATTGATACAGGAAGACGAGGTAGAAGAAAATATTAACTAGCTATATCCCGTATGCGTGCACCGGCCGCGTACACCAGTACATCAAGTATTCTACGTGCCAAGTCAGAGTACAGCCCGCCCGTGTATCAAATTACATTCAAATCCGTTCAGTAGTTTTTCGTAAAAGAGTACGACAAACATCCATCAATACATTCCTCCGTCGGTCGTCACAAACTTTCGCATTTATTATATTAATAGTATAATAATAATATAAACTAATATTAGTCGTGTGATGTGACCACATAAAGGTCCAGTCAAACACTATGTGATGTACTATGTCACACAGGTACTCGTATATAACAACGCTCACCTTACTTCTATTTCTCTGTCGCGTGTGTATTCAACAAAATCCAAAATTTCGTCATCGTTGAAACCTGAAACAAATAAATACAAATAATGGGGATTCTTCACTTTACAGTTCCCTGAACTAAGTATTACATTATGAATATTGTATCGTTTTGATTGTATCAGCCTGGCTCAGTAGCTAGCTGCCTGCCTCGACTAGTTTACGATACGGGGCGGTAATACATATTGTAAATAACAGAAAATCAAAACGGCTGGTCAACATTTCGTTTCCAGATTTGCAAAAATAGATAGATAGTAGATAAATTATTTATTTCTTTACACATACACTGCACAAACTTTTCACTTAAATAATTCATTAGATACAGTCTCTTTTTAAGAAAAAAATATAAATTATATATGTTAATATGACAAAACAACATAAAAATTAAGATTACACAGTTAAATAATTACAGATAAGTTTTCAACATGTTTTTTATTTAAAATAGTATGATTTACAAACAAATGGCTAGGTATTTGTGAATATTAAGTGACAACTGTATATAACAAAACCTACCCCTCATGAGCACAGTGTTAATTTTCACAGGTCGGTAGCCGAGTTGCAGTGCGAGGTCCACGCCAGCTAGCACGCGAGACAGACCCTGTCATACGAAAGGAGGATTATAAACCGATGGTAGGATACCCTGGTGGGGCGATTCCGATGGCGAGCTTCGATGTCTACTGACTACTGACTCGCAACAACGAATGATCTAACAATCGAGAACATAAAAGTAAAAACGACAATTTTATGTTCACAAGTAGTATAGTACTTTCAAATCTACATGTACCATGAGTCGTTGCAAATATAAATGATGTAAATAGATGTTACGCGCGTGTAGTACAGTGCCTGACCGGGCGGCGCGCCATGCGCTCGTAGCGGTCGGGCCGCAGCGAGTCGAGCGACACGTTGACGGCCGCCAGCCCCGCGCGCTGCAGCGCCGGCAGCCGCCGCGTCAGCACCAGCCCGTTCGTCGTCATCGACACGCTGCGGATGCCTTCTATCTCGTTCAGACCCCCTGCGAACACCGCAATCCCTCGCTTACGTGCACACCACTACCACTACGACTTTTCAATACTCCTCGGCGGCCTTTTAATTTGAATATTATAGGAATACTGATCTCTGGGTTTTCTCGATATCGCTTATGTAACGTACAACGTCCGGTGTCCAGACTTAATGGATCACTAAAAATCTTAGCATCGATAACCTCGGTGGGAGTCTCGCAGGAAGTGTCGGAGCGACCCGTCCGCCTTTGAATTCTGTACGCAACGACCTCACAGAGAGAGCAACGAGCCAAAAGGAGCGAGAGGTACTCACGGACGATGTCGGCGAGGTCGGCTCGCAGCGTGGGCTCGCCGCCGGTGAGGCGCACCTTGTCCACGCCCAGCGACGCGAACACGCGCGCCAGCCGCAGCACCTCGGCCGTGGACAGCAGCGCCGCCCGCGGCGACAGCGCCACGCCCTCCGCCGGCATGCAGTACTGGCCTGCGCACACGCCCGCGACTACTCACTCCGCCTGCGTCTCCCTCCCGCACACCGAGACGACACTTGCGGCTCCGGCACCCACATTATACATACAACTAATCGAGACTATAGGGGGGAAGGGAGTGTTAATAATGGAGTCTAGCAGCCCTATTACTAGCAATATGCCCTATCAGCTCGACCTGCACCTGGTTCCTTCTGGAAATCACCGTGGTTTATTCTAGTGGAATTCACCGAGATGGGCCAACCGACCTGTTGTTATCCTCACCTTTCAACCTTCACTGGTGCCCCAAAAGTGTATGCCGATAGCACCTTGTTCAGTTTTTCTGCTAGCGGAATGGGTAAACAGCCTATACAGCAAGCTTTTCATTAAACATATTGTTACTAATTCTTTTATGAACCAGGGGCCACCCACCAATAAACACCCCTAAGCAATAAAAAAAAATTGCCAACTATTTCAAATAAGCTTGTTTGCCCAATAGTAAAAATTTTTTTAAAGAAAACCAAATTTTATCATTTCCATTAAAAAAACTCTACATACCCCTAGTTCCGTGGGTAGGGGCTAAAAATTGGTAGTAATAAGGAAATTATTCCTTCTTGTTAAAAATATAAGTCTTCTTCGCCTGCATCCTTTTGTTTATACATAAATTTTACAGCAAATAATTTTTTTTTATACTACGAATGTGGCAAACAATCATACAGCCCGTCTGATGGTAAACAGTTACTGCAGCCTATGGACGCTTGCAACATTAGCCGTGTCACATGCGCATTGCCAACCTTAGTTTTCTAAAGATTCTAATCAAAAAAACATACATACATTATAAATTGCTAATATAATAATAGGTTTAACCAATTAATTACCACCACCACATTACAAAAGCACCACCTGAACTATCTTTGATAAATAACACACAGTACTGTGTGTGTGTGTGTGTGTGTGTGTGTGTATGGGTAGGTACTTACACCGTAAATTACATCGTTCTGTAAGTGATATACGCAGGTAGTTGTGGCGACGTCCTATCAGGTCCACTAGTGGCCTACTGCTCACATCAGTATTTTTGCCTGTCACCTGGGAAGCCACAGGTGCTGCATCCGTTGCAACCTAAAAATACCAAGCCACACATCTATCTACATTTTTACAGAAGCTCCTCTGCTGAGGGGGGGGGGGGGGGATTGTTAGTAATGGGGTCTAGCATTCCCATTATTAGCTTTACTTACTTGGAGCATAGATTAGCTATACGTAAATAAAAATCATGGATAGTAATTTTTACTAGCTGATCACCAAACATTGTTTTACCATATACATTATTTCCAGAAAATATTTTTTTAGTTCAATAAAAAATAGCTAACACTATAAGTGTGTGGGGATGTTATTACAATTAAAAGAGGAATGAAGCATTGTAGACAATTAAAATATACTTTATTTAAGGCCTGCGATCGACAAGTGCGGGTTCAGAGTTCTATAAAGAAAATTTGTAAAAATTTATGAGATTCGCTTGGCAGCAATGAGCCCACTTTGTGATAAACTTGGTGATTATTATATTTGATTGCTATCTTGCAAGCCTATTGCGAAATATAAAAATTGCAATTAAAAACAGGTGTTGATCGTAAAAATTTGAAGTTGTAAGTATGTATTTTTCAATGCAGAATCACAATAAAATAAAAATGAAAAAAATTGTCAAATAAATAAAAAAATTAATTTTTGGGGAGGGTCTCCCTTATCATTAAAGGGTATGAAAAATAGGTGTTAGTCGATTTTCAGACCTGCCAAATATGCACACAAAATTTCATAAAAATCGGTAAGCCGTTTCCGAGGAGTTTGGTAACAAACACCGCTACATGAGAATTTTATATATTACATTATAAGTAAATTATTATTAAATAATATTATTAGAAGTGTATACACACATGTCTAAACAATCTGCTCAGTGTCAGTATATCTTTAGTTGCATCACTCTCGATCCCGGCAACACGTGATAACCACTTAATATTTACAAAGTTTATTTTCATCATTAACTGATAAAGTTATCACTATTTACAAGAATTGTTTGAATGTTACGTCAACTCAATACAATTGCTTAACCACAATAATCCACATGAAACCGAGTGAAACGATATCAACTCGCGAAGAATGAATAGGAATGAAATATTGTAAATTGAAAACAAATGTCACATTATTTGCGCATCAGTTAACACAATAGCAGAAGATATTTACAGTGTGTAAACAAAAAGTCTTCAAAAAGATAATTTGTCTGGAATTTTATGATATTTACAGTGTGTAAACAAACCAAATGTTTTTTTTTTTTTTTTTGTACGTTTGTTCCGTTTGGAACAGGCTAAGGTCGGAGACCATGCTGCCTAGTCTTCAAAAAGATAATTTGTCTGGAATCAAACCGAATGTTGAAAATTGACATATTAAATTTTTTTAAACCAATGACAATGACATACAGCTGACTGATGGAATTAAATATTTTACATGTCATAAGTGAAATTTAATATAGTCTGCGCCAAAAAAAGAAATCAGACATCGCTTTGGTCACAGATATAAAATAAAGCAGACTAAGCAAGAGGGATTAAAGGCAAAGATTTTGTAATTCCTTGTTCTTGGGTATAATCACATTTTCGCTCGTTTTTGTGATTGCATTATCAGTTTGTTAATAACTAAGTATTAAGTTGCTAATATACTCGTTGGTACTTAGTAACTTATCCTAAATCTTTGGTATTTATTGAATCTAATCTGTGACCGAGGAAAACAATAAGTAAAAAAAAAATTCTAGAACTCGTACCAAAACAAATTTATAAAACATCTTCATATAATTAATATCTTGTGATTTGCGGTCACCAGTGGCGAATAAATTAATAATGAATTAAATTAATTCATAATAATTTAAAGAAATTAATACATACCTAGTAGACACCTATAAGAATCATGTCTCTATTCCCTGCTTATGCGAGTAAAGATGCTGATGATTCTAGAGATTTAGCTGGAAAATTTGATTTGGAAGATCAAGGTGTGACTAATTCAGATTTTTTTTTATAATTATGTTACTTATACTAACTACACGTATATTTTAAAATTATATACCATTACTAGATTGGCAGCAAGACGCGACTGACTCGAGAGAAAAATTCCTGCTCGCAAGCGACGATGAGGACAACAGCAAGGCTCAAGAGGAGCCTTCACAGACAGCGCCTCATAGTCCACTATGTCAGGATTTCTATTTAGATACCAAAATAGACCGTGGCAATTTACGAGTATCCACACTGTATTACCCTGGGAGACCCCAGTGAGTTAACTATAAATATGTTGCTTAAATAAATATTAATATGAAGAACAAACAGTTGTGCTTGTATGCCTATGTCTAAGGTTCCCACTGACTTGTGTTTTGGTTTTTATATGATATGAGGGATGATGGGTGATGATGAAAGCAGGTCAGTTGGCTCATCACGACAAACATGACTATACCTTTATGCTTTTCAGGGGGACCACAATGGAGAGGTTAACATGACAGAGTAACTGAGAATTTAATGATTGAAAAAATAAGGAGTCTACATCTGTATTATGCATATCTAGACATACTACAGTTTGTTCATCAGACATGTCTACGGATAAAAGTGTCCCTGATTAACTGATATAATAAATCTAACATCACCTGACATAATGTCACCCAGGAGCTCTGAAAATTAAACAAAAATTAGAATAAAAAAAGTCATTCACACATTTGTATTTTTTCCATATATACTTTATTTTGTCAAGCATCAAGGCAAAAGAAATAAATAAATGATAATTTACACTATAAAGTAAAAATAAATACCAGTTTAGTCATACTAATCCTTGTACACCTCTATGACAATTTTTTTTTAAGAATTTTACTGATTCTGTTGAATTTTAACTTTACCAATATAAGAATATTTAATTTTGATATTACCAATATGGTAAATACTCGTATTTAAATAAAAATAGGTTATCATATATGTATACATTTGCATAAAGGGATGAAAGCTTTTTGGAATTCAAAAAAGTTCCTTCACAGGTGAATATGTCCAAACATTTAAATATTCAGTATATTCAGGTATATCCACACTCCTAAAAAAGGTAATTTTTCCTCGGATGCACCTCAACAGCTACTAGGTCAGTGTGGTAATTGTCCTTACATATGAAATTGGCGTTTTGTATGGGAGGAATATAATGTAATTTTTTTTTGTAAAATATATTTAATTAAAGTATGCACAGTTGTTATCTATGCATTTTTACCATCTCAAAGGTAGCTCATTGATCCCTTTACTAAAAAACACCATGGAGGCGAGAATCGATAAGCTCTTTGAAGGCGGTTTGAACTGCCGCATCGGAGTTGAATTTTTTTCTTTGTAAGAAGTTGTTAGGGCAAGATTTGGCTGGGTCTCCAGAGTTCAGCTATTGCGACGAGCGCTTGCGATTATTCAGTGTCCACTTTTCATCACAAGTAATGATTCGATTTAAAATCCCTTCATTATTGTGTCAGTTGAGCAAAGTAACACTCAATTCATGAGGGGTACCTCATCGTTCAAGTTTTTTTACTTTCCTGATGTGCTTCAAGTGAATAAATATAGTTTTATCACCCCGAAACCTGCAAACCTATCTCTGAAGTGTTTTGTGATGGATCCTTCCATAATAGCCTTTAATTTTTCATTTTCTACTTTTGTCACCGGCCGTCCACGGGGTCCACGTCCAAGTTAGAATTTTCCAGAATGAAAAGGTTGAAACTTCTATTGAAAGGTCTGCAGCACTGATGCCACGGTAGAACTCGTACTCGTAAATATATCGATATTTCATGTTTTCCATTGTACGATATTGAAAACAAATGTATGATTGTTTTCAAAACTCAAATGTACCAACTAAATGTATTTAGAAATTTGAATTTATAATTCTGAACCAGAGAGGAGATATTTCAGATCGAAATGGTCAGTACGACAAAACGCTAAGTAAGGACTTAATAAAACACTCAGGTACAGCGTGGCCGGCGACGAGCGAGAGGCGCGCCGCGCCCGTAAGCGGCGCGCATGCCGCTACTTCGACGCCGATAGCACCGCGGCTGTCGCCGACGCCGCCGACGACGCCGAGGTCACCGCACGGGTCGCCGCATTCCGGGGCATGCTCGCCGATAACCCCTGCGACGAGGACCTATGGTTGAGGTTCATCGATTTTCAGGTAGGAAAAACTAGCGCAAGCGAGCGAGGTCCCCGGGCGGCGGCGGAGGTGCGCTAACGCGCGGTGCTGCGTGGTTGCAGGAGCGCTGGCGCGGCGGCGCGGCGGCGCTGGCGGCGGCCGAGGAGGCGGCGGCGCGCCGGCCGGCGGCGCGCGCGCTGCGGCTCGAGCGCTGGCGCCTGGCGGCCGCGCACCTGCCCGCCGACCGCTACCTGGCCGCGCTGCGCGACCACATCCGCACAGGTAAGCTGCACCTAGATAAACCCTTCTTTCGAACAAACTCAGACCTGTGCACCTTTTGACTACTACAGTGTTTGTCGTTTGCCAACTGAGTAGTGTAGACGAGAAAAGGAGAAAATGCTTCAGTAGCTGATAATATTTATTAATTTATTTAAATAAATAATACTTGGTTCTCGAGTAACCAAATTTGTCGCCATGCGACGCTTTGCGCTATGAGTCTCAGTTATGATTCAATTGTTTTTTTAATAATGCATTAAAAAAACAATTGAATCATAACTGAGTCTGGGACTCGGACGAGCATTCGAATACTTGTATGCAGAGGCGTATGTAAGGAGGTACAAGATGAGCAGTGTTCCACCCACGATACGAGCGGAGCTTTTACTGTGCGAAAAGACGTGTCCGAAAGTATATATTGTAGGCCGAGCTCCTGACAAGTATTCGTAAAGACGTCAATGCTTGTAGGGCTATTCAAGCACTTTATTAGATTCAACTACTTTTCCAGTTAATTTTCGACGTGCATATCGAGCATATCTACGATATTGTAACCAAAGCTTCACAGACACTCAGATTCCTAATGCACAGTTCAACATACTTTTAGCAAGCCAAAACCCTAAAATTCTATGCTGTTCATTAGTTAGAAGTAAAGTAGACGTAGTACGCTTCACAGATTTGGAATACGAGATATAAAATTTATATATCACGTCTTGAAAATATCTAGAAAAAGTTCATTCGGTTTTTGGCTTATATTTTACCTAATCTTTATAATTCTTAAAAATATCTTGAATTCTGTAAAAAAAACACCACTTTCTCCCACTCGAAAAATGCAGAAAAATCGCGGATATTGCAAATCTGATGAGGATAGCTTCTAGTGTGGTCGATTGCCCTGAACTACTATGTAAATTAAAATTAAATGTACCCATCAAATCTAAAAACTCTATTTGTCCCTCTAGTGTAATCACGATACTGACAAAATTCGTTCTTTTGGCAAGCTAGCAACAACTTTTAATACTGTCTCTAAAACTTTTAATATCGACTTATTTTCGGAAAATATAATATCAGCGAGAGACCAACTGAGTATGCATTTTTTTTTTATTAATAGACTGTTTGAATATGTATTAATTTTGGATAAAAAGAAGGGTGAAGGAGAAACCTGGTTCACGTAGTCCCCGCGTGTAGGTCTTTTATACGCATTCTTGTTAATCTTCAAATTATCCAACACTTTTGTCGATTCGCTCAAGTGTCACTGTATGTTGCGCGAAGATCGCGGCTGATTGAATAATATGCAACTGGCGGAGATTTATTTGTAATCCTAGCGGAACTTGATCAGCTCGACGCACAGTTGGATTACAGATTGATTTTGTCCATCTACCCCCAATGTGATCCTAGATTTGGTCGGGAATATGGATAGGTAAGGAGCATAGAAGGATATTGCGTTCGGAAATGTTTAATACATATACAAATGATGACGTTATATTAACCAATTGTATTACCATATTTTAGTCAGGTATTTCCATTAATTTTTATCTTTTTTTTTTTTTTTTATACATATATCTATTTAAAATTTAGTAAAACCAGGTCTATACTAGTGTATAGTATAGCCCTGGTTTTCCTGTAAATAAATAAATGAATATTTATTGATTTTTAATGTTTAGTTCTATGAAGATATTAATGTTATTCAATATTTATTTTTATTTGGAAGTCAAAGATTTAGTATTAGTGTATACAATAAAGTATAAATAAATAAAGAGAATATTAATAAAATGCTGAAGTAGAAATACGAATGATAAATATAAGTAGTATTTAAGTACATAAATCCTGCCAGTACTGGAAATCAGTGCTGTAGCCTATCGACTGCCGCACAATGCCGAGCGAAGACTTTTTTATCAAAAAGGTTACATTTCTGTAAATGTCTATATGATGCATAGTGATAACTGTCTACCTATTGTTTTGTTAACTCAACGTTAATTTATTATTATATATCATCATGATCTCCCTACCCTTATCCCAATTTGGCTTTTAGTTTTACGACCGGCCGCCTTTCTATTTCCCAAAGACGGTTGAGGTCAGGCAGGCAGGCAATATCCAAGAGCACTGCTCTCTGCATGCTTTCCGGAAGTGAGTTGCCTTGGAATCTCAACGTCTGAGGTGTCGTTACAAACTGGTCGGGATAATAAGACCGTTCACTAACAGATACATTATATTAATAGTAATTCTATTCAAATACTGTCTTTAAGAGTTCAGTATATTGCTCAAGTATCGAGTGTCTAGTTAGTACTCGAGTCAGAAGTTTGCTCGCTTCCATTCTCATCTTGAGGGTTCACTGCGTGAAATTTGTATCGCAGAGAAGTCGAGTCGCGTGCAGCTAGAACTGTGGGAGCGGCTGGTGCGGGCGCTGGCGGCGGCGCCGGGCGGCGACGCGGCCGCGCCGGCCGCCGCCGTCGGCGCCGCGCTGGCGCACTCGGCGCGCGGCGGCGGCTGCGCGCTCGCCTACCCGCGTCTCCTATTTGTCTACGGTGAGGCCGCTGCGCCTTCTAGCTCGCGGCTTCCGAAAATCTCCGAGTCGGAGACCGCGCGTCGCTCGATAATAAAAGATATGGGGTCCCGCTCGTTAATGTGTCGTTCGTGTGATTCAGGCGAGTTCCTGCAGGCCGCGGGGCTCTGGGAGCGGCTCGTGCTGCTGCTCGAGCTCGTCCTCGCGATGAGCTTCCCGCCGTCGGAGGCGTTCCCGCCGCGGCCGAACCCGCCGCGCGCGGCCGCGGTCGAGCGCCGCCTGCGCCAGCACGAGGACGAGGTGCGTGGTCGGACGCGGCGCCGCGCCGCGCTGCACTCTCGCGGCGGGACTTCACCTCACGGCAGTCGTTCCGGTTGCAGCTGATCGCGAGCGGGCTGCCGCTGAGCACGGTGTGGGCGCGCGTGGAGCGTGCGCGCGCCGCCGCGCACTGGCGGCCCGCCGCCGCCGCCGACGACGCCGAGCTCGCCGCCGACCCGCAGCGCGCGCCGCTCGCCGCCGACGTGGCCGAGCTGCTGCGGCCCGTGGCCGACGCGCGCGCCCGCTTCCTGCTGCTCGTGCAAGCGCTGCGCCTGGCCAAGGTGCCGCCGCTGCCCGCCGCCGGCTACGTGCTGCGCGCCGTCGGCGGCGCCGTGCCCACCGGCGGCGAGGCGCTGCTGCCGCTCGTGCGCGCGGCGCGCCGCCTGCCCGCCGCGCACCCGGCGCGCGCGCCGTCGCCGGCCAGCGCCGCCACCGCGCTCGCAGCGCTCGTCGACCCGCCACACTACTTCTCCGACGACACCGGTATGGATTGCCCGATTTAGTTATGCTTATCGTTACCGCTTCCCGAAGCTCGACGAGCGAAAACGTACGAGTGTCCGTGTTGTCAGGGTTCCTGAGCTGGGTCGAAGGTCTCTGGGAGGCGGCGGGCGACTGGACGGGCGGCTCGCACCGGCTCGCGCTGCTGTGCTGGCGGCTGCGCTGGCTGCACGCGCTCGCGCTGCTGGCCGAGCCGGCCGACGAGCGCGGGCGCGCGGAGCTGCGGCGGCTGCGCGGCGTGGCTCGCGCGGCGCTGCGCCAGCACGCGGGCGGCGCGGCGCTGCCTTTCGCGCTATTCGCGCGGCTGGAGGCGGCGGCGGCCGGGCCGCGCGCCGGCCGCGCCGCCGCTCTACACGCGCTGCGCGCGGCGCTGCGAGACGCCGCGTGCCCGGTGGCGCAGCGCCTCCTTGTGGCCAGGTTGGCGGCTCCTTCATCGCGGCCGGTCACTTGATCTGACGGTTACGGACGCTCTTGTCGGTTCTCGAGCCAGAGTTACCCGGTCGGTACAGCGATGCCTCTGCGTGTGCAGGGTCGTGTCGGAGCTAGGCGCCGCGGTCGAGGGCCAGTGGGCGGTGGCGTGCGCGGTACTCGGTCGTGCTGCGCCGTCCGACGATGAGCTCAGCGGCGCGCCGCCGCCGCGCTTGCTCGCCGACGCGCTCAACGAGGTGAGTGCGGCTCCTCTATTGCCGCGTCGCGGTCGCTGGTCGTATCTCGTCCTACTCCCGTTTCTAGTTTTTTTTTGCATGTGGCTCACCTGATGGTAAGTGACTATCGCCGCCCATGATCACCCACAACATCAGCGGCATTGTAGGTGTGCTGCCGGCCTTTTGAAAAGGAATATAGTCTTTTATTGAAGGTTATGTTGTCGTATCGGTTTGGAAATACTGCTGCTGGAAGTTGATTCCAAAGAATGGTCGTGCGTGGTAAAAAGTGCCTTGAAAAACGCACGGTGGAAGAGCGCCACTCGTCTAGACGATTGGGATGAAACTATTCGAGGATTCTCGCGCTGGATGATCAGCCGTGGTGTTTCAGTGCGAGAGGCGGTGCGACGAGGTGGAGCGGACGCTGGCGGAGGCCGCGCGCGCCGGCGAGGAGGCGGCGGAGGAGGACGCGTGCGCGGCGCTGCTGCCCGGCGCCGCCGAGTGGGCCGGCGCGCGCGCGCTGCTCGCGCCGCCGGCGCGCCGCCGCGAGCTCTGCGACCGCTTGCTCGCGCTCTCCGTCCGCGACTTGGCCGTGAGGAATCCTTTTAAAATTGTTTACATACTTTTTGTTTTACTAAATACATGGCTAACGCGTATACTGCATATTTATGCATATTTTAGTCGAGCATCTATATTTAGTATACGTAAGAATCCATTGGGGGCTCGTAATCTATTTTAATCGATATTAGTGTAATCCTAGTTTTCCTGTATAAATAATTTGCCGAGACGGTGCGCGTGCGCAGGCCGCGGCGGCCGAGCGCTACTACGAGCAGAGCGCGTGTGCGCTGGCGCGCGCCGCCGCCGCGCACCAGCGCGCCGCCCGCACGGCGCGCGCGCTCGCGCCGCGCCACCCGCACTCGGCGCTGCTCGCGCTGCGTGAGTACCGCCCGCGCCGCGTGTCGCCCCGTGTCGCCCCGTGTCGCCACCCACACATCTGCTCACCGCGCCTCTGTTGCAGTGGGCGAGGGCGCGCCGCTGTGGGCGCGCGACGCGGGCGCCGAGGCGCGGCCGGCGGGCGCGCGCCGCGCCGCGCACTGCGCCGCGCTGGCCGCGCTGCTGCCGCCGCTGCTGCGCGCGCCGCCCGCGCGCTGGCCGCCGCGGGACGCGCGCCGCGTGGCGCGGGCAGCGCGCCGCCACGCCCGCGCGGCCGCCGGCGGCGCGCCGCTGCTGGCGCTGTGGCTCGAGGCCGAGGCGCGCGCCGAGCGGCCGGCGCCCGCGCGCGCCCTGTACGCCGCGCTCGACGCCGCGCCGCACGCCAAGGTGAGGCCCCGCCCGCCGCCCGCCGCCCGCCGCCCGCCGCCGCCCTCGTGGCCCGCCGCTAACCGCGCCGCTGTCCGCAGTGGCTGTACGTGCGCGGCGCGCAGTGGTGCGGCGCGGAGGCGGCGGCGCTGGCCGACCTGCTGCTCGAGCGCCAGCTGCGCCTGCACGCGCTGCGCGACGAGCTCGAGCCGCTGCCCGCCGCCGCTGCCGCCGCCACCGCCGCCGCCACCGCCGCCGCCACCACCGCCGCCGCCACGGACACCGACCGGACCCTTGACCGCGAGGACATATGAAGAATGGCGTTAAATTGTATGTGCAGACGTATACATCTAAGATAGAAGTGATCGTCGACCGACTGAGAAAACCAATATACAATAATTAGTATATAATAAATGTGTAATTTCTTACTAAAGTTTTTCATTTTATTTGTCACTTACGATTCCGATACTCTGGAGCCGACGCGGAGGTGGCTCCGAGCTGGCGACGGCCTAGTTTTCGTCGGACCTACCCTCATTAACCCTCCAGATGCGATTTGACTTAAAAAAAAAATAGTAAATAAAAATATAGGAGCCGAAAAATGTGCTCCGTACTTGTATGTTAACATTTCGCACTTTCTAGCCGCTCGGGACTGATTACACTTTCCTTCACAATAATCTCTTGATATTCGAATTCTTTTTCTCTTATAAAATCTCTAACCTCGAATTCAGTTTCTCGAAGCATGTATTCTCGGCATATGTCGAAGTATATTTCAAAACAATTTTGAGTAGAAGATAAAAAGTATTGCCATTTTCACATAACAAATAACAAACGATAAATTAGTTGCAGTTCGAATCAACATCATTCGCTTGGAACGGTTGCGACCGCTCGTATCTAATCGATTACAGATATCTATTAAGTGGAAGATATTTAAGAAAAATATACATTAGGTAGATACCAAAATAGTAATTTTACAATACGTAATTGTAATTAATTCGAATGCTGTGTTTCGGTTTGAAGGGTGGGATATGGCGTGAATTTACTGGGTACAGAGGAATAACACCTGAGTCCTCAGGAATGGCAACGCATGGGGGTATCATGGGCGAAACAGTATACTATGTTATGTCCATGGTACTGCTCATGTCTATAGGCGACGGTTACCACTTTCCATCAGGTGAGCCATCAGTTTGTTTGCCATTCTACGTTGTATTAAAAAAAATGTACAAGAATCTGCTCTATGACTTGTAAATATTACGTATTTGTGAATTCTACTTTTTCTTACCATAAAAGTGGCAATGAAAATTAATGTCCAAAGGCTAGTGGTAACTACGCCTGCAACACTCGGGATGTCCTGAAGAAGCTTTATTTTACCATTTTTTTTTTTTTTTTTTTTTTTTAAGAACGCCATACTGTTTCTGGGGAAAACCTGAGCAGGGATCTTATTCCACAGCCTGAGCGTTCGCAGGAAATTTCTTTTAAAACCACACTACGTAACCATTCAGATGGTAACCGAGCCTTTCGGGTACCAGCTTGACACTATGTTATATGATCTCGGAACTCTACAGTGTTAGAGAAGTTGACACCGAGGATTCCAATACTTTAGGGGATGATAATGGTTTTTTTTTTTTTTTTTTTTTTTAATTGGTGATAACGAACTGGTAGCCCCGCTCGCGCTATCGGTATACACCGGCGGGGCACCAATGAGAGATGATAGGTGAGGATGAAGCAGGTCAGTTAGCCCATCATGACGAATTCAACAGGAATTGTTCACAATGGTTTCCAGGGGAAACTACGTGGAGGTCGACCTGATAAGGTGTATTGCTAGCAATGGGTTCATTAGACCCCATTACTAACAATCCCTTTCTTTTAATATTTTAATATTTGGAAACTAGCAAGAGTACTCTAGATTTCAGACAAGTTCTTCGCGGTTAGTTACTCACCATAAGGGAGCCAGGTATATTTGCACGGCCCGTGTAGTATGCATCCGTAATACTATCATTCGCTTAAAAATTAATGTCGACCGTAGCCAGCAAATCATTGATATGCAGCAAAAACAGCGTTGAGGACAGCTTTGCGGGACGCCGGCGTTAATGCTATCGGAGCTACTACTGTCAACCACGGTTTTAATGCATTTGCCGGACAAAAAGCTGGCCGTTCATTTGCATAATCTGTTAATAATGTTGGACATTACAGTATTGTCTATTCAGTGCCAGTGTCTTCTATGCGAGATTTTAATAACTGTCCCTTTAAAACCTATTGACTACGATACGAAATCGACAGTATCTGTGAAAATTATTAGCACGTGTACAACCGTATCAAAACTTTAAACGAGATCTCATTCAAAATTTGGACCATATAGGTCGAGCTTAGAGGCTTTATATTAGAGGTTTCAATAACTGACATTGCCTGACCATGAGATCAAATCGTGCAAAATATTGAAATGAAGTTATGTATTTGGACTAGCGATGTATTAATTAATTACGATAATTACGATGCACGCATGATATTAGTAACTCAAAACTTGATGGGCTGATCGTCGGGGCGCATTGTGCTCGAACACTGCTCTAGTTACGGCACTGTCCCTATTATCAGGTTTATATATATTTATAATAAATTTACTATTGTAATCTTTTGGAGGAAACAATAAAGAGTATCTATCTATATATCTAGTATAGGCCTAGCTTTCCTATATAAATCTAATATATAAAATTCTAATGCCGCGGTGTGTTACCAAACTCCTCCGAAACGGATTTACTGATTTTTATGAAATTTTATGTGCATATTGGGTAGGTCTGAGAATCGGCCAACATTTATTTTTCACACCCCTCAATGATAGGAGTGACCCACCATTTTTTTTTTTTTTTTTTTTTTATTTTTTACTATTTATTTTATTTTTATTTTATTATGATTATTTAGCATTGAAAATACATACAAATTCAAATTTTCACGCCGCAATATGGTTGCAAAATAACAATCGAATATAATAATTGTAGTACGATATATTTTCATGTATAGTTCTAGAAATAATGTAGGTATGGTAAACAACGTTTACCGAGTCAGCTAGTAAGTATATAAACATATGCACACTAATTTCATTACCGTGCTAGTTTTTTGATTGCTACTTCGTATATTATAATTTTAATTGGGGGGTGGGGGGGAAGGTATTATTAGTAATGGTGACTCGCTAGCAATATATCCAACCAAGTCGATCTCCCCGTGGTTCCCCCTGGAAACCATCGTGCTGAATTCCAAGTGTATTCGTCATGATGGGCTAACTGACTATGCCTTTTTTTTTTTTTTTTTTTTTTTTTTTTTTTTTTTTTTTTTTTTTTTTTTTTTTTTTTTTTTTTTCTTTCTCAATTGTCATCCCTCACTGGTGCCTCGCCAGCGTATACCGTTAGCGCAGGCGGAGTTACCATTCCATTATCATCCATTAAAAAAACTTCGTATATTATTATGGGGGGCATCCACATAAGTAAAATACAAATTAAAGATTAAATGTAAATAATTGACCAAAATATGGCATATTAAAACTGACTATGAATAAAAAAATTGCTTACTCAGTTGGTTTCTCACTGATATTATATTTTTTTGAAAATAGATCGATATTAAGAGTTCTAGAAAGAGTATTAAAGTTGTTGCTAGCTAGCGAGCTCGCCAAAGGAACAAAAATAATTTTATTATGCTAGTAAGATACCACTCTTAAGGCCGCACCCCATCAAACACAACAAAGAATGAAAGAAGTGTCTAAGCAGACGACTTTACACAATTCCCCTCCGATAAATATTAAAATCAATATAAATTTTCGAAGAACGTCGCTTCCTTGGACACGTCCCTAGACAGCTATGTGCTCGGATTCTGTACTTGACCTAAAACACTATAAAGTATTTAGCAGTAGTATTATAACTTTTTATATTTAACCATATAAAATTGTAAGAATACTGACGTAGAGCCGTGGCAGATGTCAATATAGACAATAGAAACGGAGCTCGCGGCGATAAGCGGTCGCGGTGTAGATGTGATAGTGGTGGCGGTGACGGTGACGGCGGTGACGGCGGTGACGGCGGTGACGACGCTATCCTCGCGCTGGTCGGCGGCGGCGGCGGCGGCGGAGACGGAGCACCGGGCGCGGCATGCGAGCGCCGGGCGCGCTGCTGCTGGCGCTGCTCGCCGCGCACGGTCAGCTCGCGCCGCCCGCGCGCCACCACACGCCGCCCGGCCGGACCGCGCCGCACTTCACTCAGCTTCTTTCTTTAATAAAACGATAAGGACACAATTCCGAGATGTTTACCTACGGACGACCATTGTGTTTTCATAAAAAGTTACCCGTTTACCCCTGATAATAATAGTTCTGATCGCACCCACGGAAAAAAGCCTTATTTCATATTTACGATATTATTCAAAGTAAACACACATACATTGTTTACATATTAATTACGTATTTTTACCTGTTGTACACAGAAGCGAGCAGGGTCGTACGGTCTGCACAACCGAGCGGTGACGACGATGCTGATGAAAATGATTCAGCTGCGTTCGTAGTGAGTGAAGAAATATCCAGTACCGATTAGAGGAGGCCAGTCGGGTTTCGCCCAGGGGCGACGAGGTCTAACATAGGCGCCAGTAGGAGGGGCGGAGGGGGGGGGTTGTTAATAATGCGGTATCTATCGTGTTGGATTCCAGGTGTATTCATCACGGTAGGCTAACTGACCTGCCTTATCATTTTCACCTAATATCTCTCACTGGTGCCTTGCTAGCGTATACCGTTAGCGCAAGTGGGGTCACCACTCCATTGTCACCTATTTACCTTACCAAATCGACTGCGATCGCCGCGATCTCCCTGGAAAGCATTATGTTTAATTCTTGTTGAATTCGTCGCGACGGGCTAACTGACCTTCCTTATGTATAACTGGTGCCCTGCCAGCTTATACCGATAGAGCAGGCAGGGTTACCACTCATTATCACACACAGGAATCGAAAGATATGCGCTATCTTTCGATTCCTGTGAACTCGACTTCTCGCAACTGTGACTCGTTTCCTCGCAGGTAGTGGTGGAGCATCCGTCCGGCTGGCGCTGTAGCGGCTCGCTGGTGTCGCATCGTGCCGTGCTCACGACAGCCTGGTGCGCGCGCGGGCCCGCGCCGGCGCCGGCCGCGCGGCTGTGGGCGCTGCCCGCCGCCGCGCTCGCCGCCGGCCGCGCCGCGCCCGCCGTGCGCCGCGTCTCCCGGCTCGTGCTCGCCGCCGGCTCCGGCGCGGTGAGCGACCGTCGCCACCCCGCCCGCCGCCCCGGCGCCGGGCCGGCGGACATACTCAACCGAGCCGTCGCCCCGCAGGAGCTCGCCCAGGGCGGGCGCGGCACGCGCGGCTGGAGCGGCGCTGCAGCCGACCTCGCGCTGGCCGAGCTGGAGGCGCCGTTCGGCCGCGGGGCACACGCGCAGCCCATCCTGCTGGC